GCTCTCAGCGACCGCCAATAGACATGACGAGTATGGTTGTCTAACCATCACTGTGACTCTCCTTCGCGACCCGTCTGCTGGCAACTGTCACACCACCTCTAGCTTACACCGCCGAGACCCTGTCACCCGGCGGTATGCTTCATGTCCATCAGCGCCGAGTTAAATGTACGAGAACGACGGTAGGGGAACGGCTCGCAGTCAAATGGAGGTGACCTGCAAGATCCCTCAGACCCTGGACTGGTATCCACCAGACGCTTTCCTCGATGAACAACGTCACCCAAGATGTGCACCCTTTCGCACGAAACCACGTCGTTCCACTCCTTGACCGAATGCCTCAACACGTCTTCATGTTGCTTTTAAAGACGCACACGCCTGCATTTTTTTCGTCGCCTGCTTATGCATCAGCCCGATTCGGGGCTTGGCAAACGCTCTACCACAGTTCTGCCAGCATGCCGTTGATTGATCCATCAATGGCTATTCTTTTGTTGCACAGGTTTAGACACATGATCCCGACTCGGGGGGGCATGGGCGACGTTACGCGCCAGTATTCCGCAGATTCTTGCAAACGCTTTGATGCCTCTGCTTCTATACAGCCATCTTCCGCCAAAACTGGCCCTCGCCGTCTGCCAGCCTTGCCTTGCTCTATCGCCTAGCCTCTTACTCCTCTGTTAGCGTTAGGATGACACATTGATTGACCCCCGGCTCAGTGTCGCACATTCCATGCACGCTGAACTGCCATGTGCTCTCAAGACAAGGCGTGTTATAGATACCATGTCTGCTTCTCGCGCCTACGATGAGCCGGCGGATCTACACGGACCACGATATAGTCTCCAATCCACGGACAGTGACACAAGTCAACATAGAAAGAAGTTGGCTGCATTGCACCAGGCTGCGGCAAACTGATACTCGTGTGTTTTTGTCTCCAAACCTACTACACAACAAACTGGGGCTATTGCCTACATTCTCCGCTTCTCAATGGCCCTAGCCCTGGAGCCCTCGCGCCCCGGGGCACCTGGAGGAAATCTGCTATCCATATTCCTGAGAAACGCCAATCGCCTCAACGACCAGAGCTCAACCTGTTCACACTCGTTTGAGGATCCCCTGTGGCACAATTGGCTAGCGCGTCAGACTGTTAATCTGGAGGTTCGTGGTTCGAGCCCACGCGGGGGAGAGAATGTGGTTAAAATCCACGGTACAGAGTGAAGCAAGACACTTTTGGTGCTTGTCCTGATTCATTGGCTAGCTTCAGTGTTCATTTTTGGGGGGATGGGATAGATAGATACTCTCACTCGTCTATGAGCGAGCGAGGATGACCAAGAGGCATAAATAAATATGGATAGATATTCTCGCCCATTCTCGGTTCTGGCAATCGACCCGCCGGCCCCCTAGCACCATGATCCACCTTCAAGGCAACGACAGACATATTACTCCGTATTGCTGCGCCTAATGCTCTTGGCTATCAGCGTAGGGCATCAACAGGACGCGAGAACACAGGATATATCGTCCGCGAGATGGTCAAATCAGCCAATTGGTGCCGCTTGCTGCGGTTCATTTTGTTGATTTGTGACAACTCTGCCTCCCAGTGTCATGCTTGAACGAAACGCGCAAAATCAAGTCGTCACATGATGGCGAGTGGCATTCGATCACAGTAACTCAAATTGTCTCCTTGTGGCGGTTGTCAGACTTTCCTCTAACGGTCTTCGAGGATATCGCCCCCCAAGGAAGAAACAGCCATAGGTACGTCTCATAAAAAACTCCCGTCGTCTGGGCAATAGAACACTCACCGACGGCCATGACGACTCACCGACTCGGTAAACTGTTATGCTACAATAGACATACTCAGTAGCCTTGAAAAGGGGGCAATTCTCCACCACAATATCGCTAGGCCGGAAGCCTCAAAAGCTTGACGCCGGCCGGCTTGGGGTACCTACGCGCCCCTGGTATATTTATCTCGTAGCTGATATGTGATAGATCACCTACCAACGCGTTACAGCCCTGTAGATCTCTCACCGCCTGCAATAGCACTTGCTCTGTTCCTCGAGGTGGGAAAGCGGCAAGGATAGCAAGATGAGCATGGGAGTGAATATCCCGGCCTCGCTTCTCTGGTGCGGTATTCCCGACCTTGGAATACCCCAGCAGAGTTTCGGTGCCCATCACACGTGTCGCTTGAGCCCCCAGCGTTCCAGCGTTCCTGAAGCAGGCATTCTTCAAGGCTGCTACGACCCTCCAGGGGTGTTCTCACGTCACACAGCTTCAGGCGTACCGGTTGCGGTGCCACAAATCACAATCCTGGCAGGCGACAGGCCCTCTGTTGCTCGCCTCGCCTTCACTCTATTATCGTCTGCTGTCGTTTAGATCTCCTTGGGAGCCCAGCTTCACCGGCTAGCTTCCGTCGGTCAGGCTGTCCGGTGGTCGACATGGGCCCCGGGATATCCGGAAATCACCATGTTGGGAGAACGACAGGTCACGATACGCTGACATCATGGTCGCTAGATGTACGTGGCCACCAAGGGCCCATTATAGACATCATGGCCTTTTGGTAAATTGCCTTACACCGCTGGTTCAGCAAAGCGTGGATTACGCTCAGTTCCAGTGGCTGCGAGCCTCCAGAGTGACGACAACGTTGCGATTCTAGCTGTGGAGCAACCCACTCGTTGACTCACACTTTGGCACATGGTAGAAGTTGGTCTGTCTGGGGTCGGAAACCTTGCCGGGCCGAGCCAAAGAGCCTCTTGGCCGCACCTAGCAAGTTTTGGGCTAAGCGAATCGGGAGCTGGGTGCGGACCGGAAGTTCCTTCATCTATTCTAGAATAAGGAAGCCGCATAGAACAGCATGGAACTTTGAGGCTTTGGCTAGACGTACTCCTCACCTCATCCATCAACCGCACCGCAACGCCTGGGACACGTCAGAGCAGGGCTGACGTGTACGCCCGGTTCTTGCTATTTACAAAACCTGCTACGGCAAAAAGGATGCCGTGTAATGGCATTTTGAACATGCATTCGTGAAACGGACCTGGGTGATGACTGGAAAGTACGACATGGGTATGTGTGCACGGTAACCGCTGTCTTGCCAGTTCAATCCCTTGGCGCAAACATGGATTCCCACGAGCCGGATGTATGTGTCCTCACGCAACTGGGAGATAGGCAATGATGGAGGGTCATCTAATGTTAGAGGGCAAACCCGGACTTCCAGTCGGGCTTCGCCCGGTCCTGTTTTGCCAATTGAACTAGCCTATTTGGCTAGCGGCTCTATATATCATCGAAAACAAAGAATGCCAGTATCTGACGTTGCTGACAGCGCTCTGGGTGGCGATGCACTAGCACGAAGGGACTAACTACGTAGCTGCAGTCCGACGAGCCTGGGTCCGATCAATATCTATGGTTGACCTTTAGTGGATAAGGTCGCTCTGGACATGTCGTGGATGGAGGGCTGTCAAACTTGACCACGCATCAGTGCTTCCGAGCTGTGATACTCTGGAAGCTAGCTGCATATGACACAGCTCGGATGGACCTACGATGGCAGGCCTCGATTCTAAAGAAGGCAGGGTGCTGCAGCTCGTGTTGACCGAGACTATATCTGAGTGGCTGGCGTCCACTCGGTGAAGCAACAGCATGGGTTTTGGCCCGGTACATCCCCATCATGTTTAGGGTACATCTTGTGTAACGTTGACCGGACTAGATAGGCAACGCACGCAGTGAGAGAGGACTGCAGCAGCGCCAGCGCAAGCAGAACCCCGAGCTTCTGATTGAAGGACAATCACAACAGGATGCCTGGCGAGTGCGGTGAGCAGACATACGGATAGAGTGCAGCCGGGCGAGGAGGTCAGGCACCACCCGACCGCCGGTTCCGGGCGACGTTGGGAGCTGCTGCGGGACACACGATGTTTGGGATGCCTTGGGCCTGTGCAGGGTGAGAGATGATCAACGGCCCAATGACCTGCATTCATGACGGCGTTGTCTATTCTCACCAGTCAAACGCATGCAAGCTATCGGATGCTGTGTGCAGAGGGAGCGCCTATCACGGTGTTCGGGGGAAAAGATGCAGAAGACGTGCTTACAGCTCCATCAAGTGACGAGGAGTAAGCGGCTGGGAGCTCCCGTCCAGCTGTGTGACCTGCGGTTGTGTGGGCCTTGGTCCCGGCTTCCTCTATGCAGCTCCATAATCGCCCGTACCGTGTATCGCACAACAGCCGACACTGTATCTCGGGTTGCGACTTTATCACTGAGGGAGTGTGTGTCTTGATGTCGACGCCATTTAGCTTGGCTTTTACAGCTGCGTTTTGTGTGACGTGCCGAGGTAAGGGAGAAAAGTACAGGTGACTGACTGAGCGACGCAAGGCAACCTTGACAATGCGGCATGTTCTCGGGTTATGCTGGTCGCCGTCCCCGATCTGATTTATCAAAATCATCGGCTTCTGTCATGTTCCTATGTTCCTTCTTGGACGAAGAAGGAATGGCCCAACCAAACAACAACAACTCCCCCAGGGCCACTGTTTTCTTCTTTCTCCCACCTCTCCCTGCAACCTCACTCGCCCTACCTACCTACCTACCTACTCAGCACCTAGGTAGCTATCAATCCGCGCACCCACCTAGCCAGCCACATGCCCATACGCCCGCCCTACACATCGGGTTATCCGACGCAACGCTACGCTCCGCTCCGCTCATTTTCCGTCTAGGTAGCCCAATCGTGGAGGAGACAACAACGGCCTCCACCCTGACCTCTTCCCTCTATTTTCGTTGGGTTTCACCACCTACCTACCCACGCACGACCTGCCTGTCTGAAGCCACCCATCCGGTGCAAGCCACGAACCACACACGCGGACCCTCCCTCGTACGCGCAAAAGCAAACAACCTACATACAGCAAAGGCATCGCAGCACCAGTTTCACCACCACAACCACCACCGCCACCACCAGTGCGTGGCAGCGCATCGCATCGCATCGCATCGCATCACACTATATCGACCGACGCCGACCGGCCAGTGATACAAGACGGGTCAAGATGGCCGGCAAGAAGGGAGCAGATAACAGCAAGAAGGCCGCTGGCAACGCCCGCAAGGCCGAATCAGCTGCCCAAAAGGCCGCCGCCGAGGACGCGAAAAAGGCCGCAGCCGAGGATGCTGAATGGTCAAAGGGCGCCAAGGGCAACGCGAAGAAGTGAGTGCGAGCAAGAATCTGAGGGGGCGGGGGCGGGGGTGATGGCACCATCAATGTCCCACGATGCGTCGCACACAGACACGCATACACTGCCCCGTCGCCACCCTGATCCATCACCCATCACAAATCATGCGAGATAATCGTTATCCCACGCAAAGAACCGAACCAGGGCCATGGCTGACCACACTATCCATCGTCCAGGGAGGCGGAAGCCGCCAAAAAGGCAGAAGCAGCTCGCAAGAAGGCCGAGAAGGACGCTCTCCTGAAAGAGGAGGAGGCCAACACGCCGGGCCGGCCGGGTCCGAAGAACGCCAAGACAGCCGTCAAGAAGACACGCGGACTGGACCTGTCGCAACTCGACGATGATCGCAGCGGCGGCTCGCTCGGAGCCCTCAACGCCACGGGTATTGACAACGCGCTCGATGCCCTCTCCCTGACGACTTCCGACGCCGCCAAGGTCGACAGACACCCCGAGCGACGATTCAAGGCGGCGTACGCGGCCTTTGAGGAGCGTCGCCTCAAGGAGATGGACAACGACGGCACCGGCCAGGGCCTGCGTCTGCAACAGAGGAAGGACAAGATCAGGAAGGAGTTTGAGAAGAGCCCGGAGAACCCTTTCAACCAAGTGACCGCAAAGTTCGATGCCACCAAGGAGGAGCTGGCCGAAATCAAACAGAAGGAGAAGAGCAAGATCGAGGCCAGACTTGGGAAATAGAGCTGAGCGGACGCGCCCGTCGGCACTGTCCCTCTGCTGCTTCACCATGCTCGGTGACACACCTTGCTAGGATTGCATGTGTACGTGGCAGAAGGACTACAGGAATGCATAGAAGCACGCACCAGTCACTTGATCAAGCCACATCAACTTTCCGATAGGAAGACATCATCAGAGCGGAAGCGGCCCCTCCTTTCCCGGTGTTTGGTGTATCGCCGTATCCACTTCCACGAAGCACTCTGGTGTGCACCGCATGAGAATATGGCCGACCCTCCATTAAGCCATGCATGTATCCTGCTGATCCGTCATTTCTCCCGTTCATTCTCGTTGTCTCCTTGTTTTCTCCCGCCCGAACCGCCAGCCGGGAGGGTACAATGACCGATACAGCCGAGATGACAACAATTTTTTTGGCGGGGTAGATGTTGTGTGACGTACCAACAAGGTGGGGGGGTGTGACCTACACAAAGTGCCTAGGCCAGCCTTCGTCATCGATAAGATAACTCGTCCCACCTTATCGCGATAAGAAATAGATCCGGCAGAATATCCGACCGCCCTTCTTGACCGCCTTGCTTCATGCATGAATGATTGCCCTATGCAATCGTCTCAAGTCACTTCATCTCATCAGGGCGCATTCCATCTCATCAATTGTTTCTTTGCGAATGCCTCACCAAAATCCAACATGGCGAGTCTCCGCATGGGCAGCATGCCTTCGTTGAGGCGGCAGCGCCTCCTTGCCGAATTGTGAGACTTTCTCTCTACACTCTCCCATTTCCATGTCCGAGTAAACATGGAATTGCTAACCCCGGGATACCAGCGCCGGCCTGAAGCAGGCGTGTCCACAGGGTGTGTTTGTGAGCTTGACGCCCGGGGATCCAATGTTGTGGTCCGGCGTCATGTTTGTGAGGCACGGTATGGAACCCTGAAATTCCGCCATGATGAGATGGGCGACAAGTATTATGGGCATGGCGAGACTGAGACGCTTTTAGGACCCTATGCTACGGCCATCCTCAGATTCCAGATTTCGTTCCCGGACACCTATCCCCGCTTACCGCCACTTGTCACCTTCTCAACAGACATGTTCCACCCCCTGATAACACCATTGACGACGTACATGTACACCACCGACATCCAGGACAATGGCACCGTCAGCGCCACCGACGCCGAGCGCCTGCCGCCTGGCGGGTTTAGCCTGCGACACGGGTTTCCGGCCTGGTTTGGGCGGGGCAGCCGGAGCAACGTTGAAAGTAGACAAGTAAGCGGCCAGCAACAGCCGCCTTCGACGCCAGCCAGAGGCGGTCCTTCCAGCACCACCACGACACCAAACTCAAAGGCCACGCCTGAAGGAGGCCAGCCGAAATACCTCGACACCTCGAGGCGAGAGGTCTCGACGTACGAGGTCCTGCGGTATATCCGGAGCACATTCGACGACGAGAGCGTGTTGGATTCGGTGCCGCTCGAGGCGGCGGGGAATCCTGGTGCGTGGCATGCGTGGAGGACACGACAGCGTCAAGCGGGCAAGACGTTCCCTGGGGACCCAGCTGCTCAACAGAAGCAAGAGAATGAATCGGAGACCGGCGGTGCTGCCGTGGAAAAGGAAGAAAAGCCTCCCGCACCTCCCGCGCCCGAGACGAAACCAGCAAGTGGCGGTTTCGTCATCGCGAGGAAGCCCATCGGCGGCGCGGGTGCTGCCGCGGTCCCTAGAAACCCCGGAGAGTGGAACTGGGAAGGCGTGTGGGGAGACAGGGTGCAAAAGAACATTGCAGCCTCTCTATCGGAGGCAGTTCTATACGGCTCGACGCTGGGTGGTGGGGATGACCTGGTAAGTGGCCTTGGGGGTTGTCTTTGCCGAAGGGGAGGAAATGACGCTAACTGCACTACAAGATTAACTTCCTTCCGATGGACGAAAGCGACGTGGAGTCTGCCAGGGATAACCTGTTGCTGACGTTGGGAAGCGGCGCCGCGACCCACCAAGACCTCAGCAGCAGCATGCAGAGCGTGCGCGCGGCGGAGTGATGACCTTGCCCTTCTTGACAGCGACTTCCTCTTACAACCTTATGACATACATAGCCTTCCCTCCATATTCTTTCTGTTCCGCCGTTGCTGAGCTTGCAACCCATGCCTGTGTAGACATTATTCTATCTTCCTTCCACGTAGCTCTCACAAGAATCCTTCAATGCATAGTGATCATCGTTCTAAAAGGAGCCCACCCCGGAGAGCAGAAGACAGCCCTTCTATTCTCATCATCGTTTCTTCGCATTATGGGCCTCTCGCCGCCTTTGTTTGTAGTCCTGATTGTGCTCGCAACCATCGTGCCTCCCCTAATCGCAGGGGCTCTCCTGACTCGCTTCGTCTGCCGTAACTTCAGAGACGCTGCCGGCGTTGTCGAGCCCAAGCCCCGACGATGCTGGTTTGGCCTCCGGCGCGTCAGGTCCATCAGCAGCAACGCCACCGACAGCCTCGCAACCCGCGCCCAGAGCTACGCGGACTCGTGGCAGGACCTGGAGAGCCTGCGCACGCACAGGGACACGCCGACACCGTCGCTCCGTTACTGCACCTGCGAGGAGGTCCCACCGGTCAGGGCACCAGTACCTGCGGCCATTCGGTTTCAACCGCAGCCGCCGGAGACATGGCATCCCTCGAGGGCGAGCCGGCTGACATGGAGCTTCTCACCCACGAGGCGGGACCAGGGTCACCTTCGGAGATCCCGCAGCCGCTTAGGGTCCTCAAAGGATTCGGGCGTAGTCCTGGAGGGCTCGTCGGAAGAGGAATGGAGAGCTCGAGGCGAACGAGCATCGAGACGGATGGAAGTGTAGACAGTGCGACTGAGGCCCTTGATGAGCCCCTTGTGGTGATGAAAACGAGGGGAAATCGAGAGCATAGGCTGGCTCCGGGGCCAACGGAGGTTAATGAGAAGTCAGGCTTCCCCGGAAATATGCCGCGAGCAAACCGTAAGTTCTGATCTTGCCCTTTGATGGAGACTTGCTGATTCAATCTAGGACTACATGGTTCCGAGAGCATCACCGCATCCATCATGCCCAGGCTGTCGCACGATGGCTTTGAAGAATTGTCTCATCGTCCACACCATAGTCCTCTACCTCGCTTTGGTACAGCTTCCGAACGGAGCTCGATTCCCGACTCGCGAATCCTCGTGCCTCGAATTTCTGTCACTCCAGAGGTCGAAGCCGTCGATGACAACACGACATCCATCTGGGCTGCCATCAAGGTTTATGGGTATGCATACTCGCAACAAGACAGATCACCTGGTCCAGGCAGGTTTGTCGGGGTTTATAAATCATCAGCCGACAAAAGTATGTACCGGGACGCCGAAGGTATGTTTGATATGGCCCTCGTTTCCTCTTGCACTAACGTCCGTCTGTCTAGATCCTTGGAAGTACGGATGTATACATAGTATGAGTATCCAGATCATGCCAACAGGGAATAACTGCATTCTTGATGTTATCCGGGATAACCCGATACCAACGTAAGAACTCACTCAGGCGGCACTGGGGCGTTTTAACAAGTCTCACAGGACTCTGGGCAACAACGAGATGATACTGCTGCTTGTGCATATTCTTTTAGATCAGTCTCGCCCTAAAAGTCAAGCAGGTCATGTCCGGCAACGATCAGACGAGCTGATTGAAGATCTGCAATATCAACTGGGAGACTCTCGGTTAGATTTTGTTCGGGTTGTTGTCAAATACAACCATTCTGCGTTCCCTCTTCAATCCCGTTCTGAAGCCGTCGATGGCGTTGTTGAAATGGGAACAAAGCTGGAGACTTCTGTCAAAGCCATCATCAAGCATCGCAATTACCAATCGCAGTGGTCACCCTGCCCCGCGCCAACCACCAATCCTGTTTTGAGCATCACCTACGACTGCTGGGAGCTAGAGAAAGCCCGGAGCGCCATGCGCCGCATCACTACTCAACCAGCTTTGCCGCATAAGCTGGCCAAGCCAAGATCCAGGACGAACTTGCCAACGGAAGATAAGCTGGTGGTCACGCGAACGCCTCCGATTGTTCCCAGGAGGAAAGCCAGCCTCGGATCAGACGTGATGGTCCGACAGCCAGCACCACTGCACGGTGGATGGTCCCAACCTCGAGAATGCTCGGGAATGGACTGGCGGAATACCTGTGTGGGACAGGGGAAGCGGGTGCCAACAACTGCAACGTGCGCCGACGAACCGACGGCCAAGGCCGGGACCGGAACCGGGCTCGAGCTTCCGAACCATACGGGCATTCTGAAACGTCCGCGATCAATGGGCCCGGGGCTACTGAGAAGTCTGGGGGCGGACAGTGGCGGTCATGGAGTGGATAGAAGGTCTACGGCTGGAGGTTCACTCCACGTACAAGGACAGAGGCCCTCCAACCGCTGGAGTTGGACGGGTTGGTTTTCGTGAGAGTTCGTGGCTTCGAGTTTAGTTTTAATCTTTGTCAGCCTGTGGTGACTTATGTGATCGCAGCTTGTCCTCTAGCCTGCAGTCGCGGGGGCGCAAGCTTTCAGTTTAGGAATAATCGATTCATGGCACGATGCTGTTTCAACTTTTTCTTCTTCATTAGCTTCTGCTCCCTTCTATCTTTAAGCATGCTCGTGTTTGTTTTATTTAATTTTTTTTATCCTTTTTTCCCTTTCTGGATGCTCCAGGATTTCTTTACAGCAGCTCATCCCTCCAGGGGATGGAAGTCTGCGCACCCTTGCGCTCGACCGTCTTGGCCGCGGCTCGATTGGCGTTCTTGATAGCCGAGGAGATGTCAAAGGCCTCGCCCTTGGCCTGGGCGTTGACGGCGGCGACGCAGTAGGAGCCGACAAATGTGTCGCCGGCGGCAGTGGTGTCGACCACCTTGACCTTCTGTGCCGGGATGAGGTCGGCGGCGCCGTCCTGGTTGATGTAGTAGACGCCGCGGCCACCGAGGGTGATGATTACATTGAGGACCTTCTTGGCCATGAACCACTCGCCGACGCGCTTGAGGCCCTCAGGTGTGTCGAGCTCCGACTCGTGGCAGCCGGAGAGGATGGCAGCCTCGGTCTCGTTGACGACGAGATGGGCGAGGCCGTCGTAGGCCTCGTCGGGGAGGCGCTGGGCTGGGGCCGGATTGAGGAGAACCGGAACCGCGGCGGCCTTTGCGGAGCGCAGGGCGGCGAGGACGGTCTCGAGAGGCACCTCGAGCTGCATCACCAGCAAATCGGGCTTGGGGGTGAGAGTCTCGGGGAGGGAGCCGAACTTGTCCGGGGTAACGGCGTGGTTGGCCTCGGGGGCCAGGATGATTCGGTTCTGACCGGTGGGTTCATCCACGACGATGATGGCCATGCCGGTCTTGAGGTCGTTGCCAACGGCGATGCGGTCGGTGTGGACGCCGTGCTCACCGAGGTTCTTCAGGAGGAGGTCGCCGTACGAGTCGCTGCCGACGGCGCCGATCATGGAGACGGAGGCGGACTCATTGGCGGCGTCGTTGGGGGCATCGCGGGAGCGCGAGAGCTTCGCACAGGCGACGGCTTGGTTCGCGCCCTTGCCTCCCGGAGAGATGACAACGGAGTTGGAGGTGAGGGTCTCGCCCGGCAGGGGGTGGTGGGGGACGTAGGAAGTCAAATCGATGTTCAAAGAGCCGAGAACAGTGATCTGGGGGGTCTTGGAGGCGGTCATCATGGAAGGGGATTTGCGCGGGCGCGCACGAGCGGGCGGGGTTGTTCTGAGGCGTCGTAAGTCGTGAGTCGTAACAAGTGTGGCTTGTTCGTTTGAAGCTAGAGGGCGCGAGATGCACGATGGAACAAGAGATTATGTCGTCGGGTTTCGCAGTGCTCGTTACTCGACTCGCCGGCTTCTGTGCGAAAGAATGCGGTTCGGATAGTGGTCGAAATAAACGGTATCGTGGATCAGATGGTGAGGGGCAGAGATTCGACCGGCCGTGTCGAAGTTTTCCAGACTACGAACGGTGAGAGCCCCGCCATGCATTGGTGGGATGATGATGTATCCGGCGGGGCACAGCTGATGAGCTGCCAGGTTCGCGACCGGGAGGTGTCACTGGTGGAGGGGGCGGGGACCAAGTGGGAACACCACCTACCTGCTGGGAGGTCACCGCCGTATGGGGGCTGAGAGGGATGGGATGGTTGTCATTACATACATAGTACATGCTCTGCATTCTGGAGAAAGGGCCCACCCCCTCTATAATTTTCGTTGTTGATTCTTAGCAGTGGTCGATCTGGCTACCCGGACGAGATGGTTGATGGGCTTGGATTTATGGGTCTTTTGGGCGTATCTGGCGTATCTGGCCAAGGGAACGATAGATCTGGGAGATCTTGACAGTTGAGGCTCTCGTCACAGCCAATCTCGCCCAACCTCGCTAGCCTGTCCTGCCTGTAAGCGCATCCGACCCCCTGTCAGAGGCTTGGGTACACAATCCCGATCGGGTGTTGCAACGGAACCTTACCCTTCCTTGCATAGTATACACCAGACCCTTACACTCCTCTCCTTCTGCTGCCCGTCCATTCGCCGAAACGGGGATCTTCTGATATCCAAGTGCCGATGCGCCATTGAGGGTCCGAACCGCCTGCATCCTACACCCAAATGTCGGGCACTCTGTGGTGTGGGCGGCGGCGGGAAATGCCGACTGCCTTTCTGTATTTCTTCGATACATGGAAACTAATGGCATCGCAGTGGGGCAGATTTCGAGGGTGCATACGACGGCCTGCCGTGGGCTTTTGCTCCCCTGTCGTCTGTCTCTCTGTCGCTCCGCCAAGCCATGCTGCATTGGCTGCGTCCTCCATGTCTGCCCTCAAAGTAAGCCGGGGTTGCTTTGCTTGGGCGCGCCGGCGTCGGTGTGTGTGCGTGCGCGGGTGCGTGTGGGATGCTAGGGACTAAGTTGAGATGAATGACTTGAAGAACTTAGAATAAGTGGAAAAACGCATAGCAACAAGTATAGCAACGACACCGAACAAGAAGCAGGGGAAGAAGGGAAAGAACAGAAAGCGGACCCTACCTACCTACCCTACCCAGGTACCTACCTGCCTAAGGGACAAATGCAGCAGCCCTCTTCCAGTAACGGTGCCTGCCTACCTTGTCTCCCTGCATGTCCTTCCCGTCCCTATCGCCAATCTTGTCTTATATGACTTACCTCATGTTAACGTACGACGGCGTCATGCACACAGTTGGACCAACTCGGGAAGGGCCGTATTCTAGAGTCAGATGGATGCGCTCTGCCCGTCCCATTCGCTTCCCTACGAAAAGTATCCATCGCGGCTTGCTGCTCTCTTACTTGTTCTCTGTGGTTATCTTCTGTTCACCAGAACTCTGCCCTTTTCTGAGTGGCACCTTCCTTTGCCTATTCGCCATCTTGCTCTTGCTCAAATTCGCTTCACCATTCAAAGGCCCCGTTACTGGACGTCTTGCACTGGTGGACCACCTCCTTGGTCGCCCGACTTCGCTATGACGGACGCCGACCGTATCACCCCAGGCTGGACGACGCTCATCTGTCTGGCTATCGTCGTATTTCTCATTCTCGTCCGGTCGCGGTCATCTTGGGCACATCCGCCTCTGCCCCCTGGTCCACCAGGCGAGTTCCTTCTTGGCCATCTCCGTATTATACCCAAAGAGAGGACAGCCGAAGTGTATGAGAAATGGGCCAGGGAATATAGTAAGCCCCCGCTTCTTTTGCGCCAAAGACTTTTAGTTGACAGAGACTTTCTCAAGAGTCGGATATCATTCACGTCAGGTCCCTTGGCCAGTCCATGATCGTGCTGAACAGCGTCAATGCCGCCAAGGATCTCCTCGACCGTAGAGGGGCCAACTACTGCGACAGGCCCAGATTTGTCCTCTTCGAGGTGTACGTTGAAACCCCCCCCCTCGTCTCTTTATTATACTTGAGCGTTCAGTGGACATGCTAACGTATGTTATACGTCTGCAGCATGGGCTGGGGCAAGACGCTGACCTTCCTCCCCTTTGGTCCCCGCTGGCAGATGCACCGAAAGCTGCTGCAGACCACTTTCAGTAACACAAACGTTCGGCAGTGGCACTCTTTACAGGTTACAGAGGCCCGCAAGTCGGTCCACAACATAGTGCAGAACCCAGAGAACTGGGAAATGTCCATGAAAAGGTGAGGCACCTCGGATCCTCGAATCTCCATTCGAGATTCGTCTGACGATTCCAGGTTTGCCGTTGCCATTGTTCTCAAGGTGAGCTTTGGGATCGACGTACAAGATGACAACGACCCGTATGTCAAGATAGCCGAAGACGCCATGTACGCGACTGGGAACGGTGGCGTCCCCGCCAACAGCATTGTTGACATATTCCCCCTTGGTAAGCAGCGGACGCAATGCAGTTTCCGAGAACCGTACATTGATGAACTTTGGCCGGCACCACAGCTCGTTATTTGCCCGACTGGTTAGTTCGAGACTGGTCACTGAAATTTGCGCGCGAATGGGGATGGGCCATACGGAAGCTGCATGATGTTCCGTTCGCAGTCGCACAATACGAAGTGGTAACTTTATGCCCCTTGTTATGCTACGCCCGCAACGCTGACAAGCCAAGGCTCGTGGTAGGGACAGCCCATCTTTTGCGCACACGCTGTTGGAAACATACACGTCCAACACCAAGACGGGGCACACTAATGAGTGGTCACTGGACGACATCAAGGGGGCTGCAGGCGCCATCTTTATCGCAGGGGCAGACACGGTAACTTGGTCCAGCGACTGCCACGAGTAAGACATTGCTGACTCCAGTCTCCGACAGACTTGGGCCACCATTGTTGTTTTTGTATTGAATATGGTGTTGAATCCCAAGGTTCAGAGGAAGGCCCAGGCATTGATCGATGAGGCTGTCGGGCACGACCGACTACCAGATCTGTCGGACCGTCCATCTCTTCCGTACATCGACCACGTTGTCCAGGAGGTCTACAGGTAAGGGTTCCTGTGGCTCAAAGTGTATGGGGAATGCTTCCTGACGAGGAGATCCAGATGGTCACCGTTGGCGCCGTTGGGAATTCCCCACAAGGCCCTTGAGAGCGATGTCTATAACGGCATGTTCATCCCGAAAGGGTAGGTTTACTTGTCCTCAGCCCCCTCGCCGGCCCCTCCAAAAAGAACACCCGAATGCTTCCAGAAGGAAAACTGACGGCTCTACCCAGGTCGATTGTCTTCTTTAATTCGCGCGCCATGACTCAAGATGAGAGGATATACCAGGACCCCAAGTCTTTTAACCCAGACAGGTATCTGCCGCAATCGTCTGGAGGTCATGGCGAGCCCCTGCCACTTGGGCAATTCGGCTTCGGGCGCCGAGTCTGCATCGGCAGGTTTCTGGCAGACAACAGTGTCTGGATTGCTGTTGCCACGATGCTTGCCACTCTCAACTTCAGCAAGAAAGTCGGACCAGATGGTCGGGTTGTCGAGCCCAAGGTGGCCTTTACCAACGGTGGCACCTGGTGAGTTGATTTGCTGCCTCATACTTGTCGAGGTTTGTGGTGTTCTGACGTTTAAAATGAAAGCCATCCGGAACACTTTGATTGTTCGATAACGCCACGCAGCCGAAAGGCTGAGGAATTGCTGCGTCAGTCCCTCCCTCTCCCTTGAGGGAAAACGGTAAAGCGAGGAACTTTACTTTGGCTCTTACGGGGCTAGCATTACTAGATGCCAGGCTTCGAGTTGACGAAACGGTGCATAATTGATTTCGAGGAGGCTCCGGACGTTATGGATACTGACGGGGTAGATCCCTTGTAACCTTAAGGACGACCGAGTAAGCTTGCGGCCTTGAATAGTCAAAACGTGAACCAACGACAACTACAAAGCATAACCGAGCCGCGAGGAGTCGGAGAGAACGCCTGTTGATGGCAAAGTAGAGCCGAGGTTGCACTTGAATAGACCATGAGGCCGTTATCCACGCTAACGTGCTGAAATCATCACCATGTCTGCGTGCCATTCTGAACACGGCGCTCTCAGTTGCCTGAGCGTGGCTCAGGCGTGATTGGCACTCGCCATCTGCCTTTGTCGATCTTTTCAATCTCGGAAAGACTAGCTGTCACCCGAAGCCCACGTCAAGGCCCCCTAGATAAGCTTTGATTTGGTCTCATTGGAGCTGTGCCTACTACATGAGAGGAACATCGCTTAGCCCCTTGGCTATACTTGGTCCTCGATTTGTCACAACGAGGCTGGTATGCCACAAAGACGCCGAGGGCTTATGGCATTTTCATCCCGTTGGGCCATGTTCAAGGACTGCGTCGAAGGAAGTCCAACAGGTGACCTGGAAGAGTCATGCGCATAGTAAAAGTCGTGGACACGTTGTTTGTACGAATTTCAAATCGTTGCACCCGATATGTCACCCTCCTCATCTGTCGCCGTGGGAAAAGTCGTGACGACAGATACGGCACAGGAGGACCGATGAGACCGCACGAGCTAGTGTACCATGCTCCCGCTGACACGGGTTTTCTTCTATCTTCTTCTTTTCTTCGCCAGCGGGTGTATCCGCACAACCGAAGAAGCGTGGCGGATAGCACTGGACCCTGTGTAGCAGCACACCACAAAGGCCAAACAGACCAAACCTACAGGCTCGCGCTGCATGTGAACCCGCCGCCACGCTGGCAATCGCAAGGCTATGTGGGCGGCCATTCGGACAGCTCATTGCAGAGCCACGACTCGTGACGAGAGGAGAAGAGAGAGTAAGTAGGTAGAGAAGAAAGGGGAGGGGAAGGTTATTGTGCATGGAGGAACCTGGCTCGCCACGCGCGATGCAACGACGGAACGCTGACTACGCGCCAAACACGCCGACTAGGAGAATCCCTCGAAAGTCATGGACCACGCGGCGTGCTGGGATCAAGCCTCACAGCTTGTCACCGCCCTCGAGGTTGTTATCGAGGCGCAAAACGTTCGTAGACCACTCCGTTCCCCCGCCCTTCCACCGTCGAGGAAGGTCCATACTCAATTTATTTTTGTCTTTTTTTCTTCTTTCCTTTTTCTGAATCGTGAATGGTCGGGCAGCCAAGGATGATGATATACAAGACAAAGGGTTCGCAGAGGTCGGTGACGCTTGCAGACTCTGCGTTGGCCAGGACTCGCTAGTGGAGAAGCTTTTATTTTTTTTTCTTTGGTGCAGGTGACGAGTAGTTTTGTTGGTGCGTACGCAACGGAAGAAGAAAAAAAATCATTTTAGACCCAGCTGTTCGGCTTGGCCATTTGACCACTGACAACGGCCTCCCGAAGGGGGGAGTTGGTCCTTGTTTGGTGATATGGAAGCTGGGACGCTAGGCCTCCGGCGGACTTTACGGACTTTTCCCCATGAGCTCGAGGGGGGCAAGCACAGCCAGCAGTAATAGCCTCTCTTCGCTAAACTCTGACAGCTCAGAACCCTGTCAACTTGTGCAAGACATGACGCATGTCCCGGGGTGCGCATCTGTTGGGGCACGTGCAGCCAAAGTAAAGCATCAGTTCCTAAGGTGCGATATAGAGACGGTGAGACAAGGAGGGCACGGGAAGCGGCAGCCCCCAAGTAGTAGGGATCATTGAAGGTCTCCAGTCCCATGTGGAAAGGGACTCGGACGGGAGAAGGATTCCAGAAGGCTGCCAAGTTTCGAGTTAAGGAAGGCAACGACAAAGAATAGTTTTAGTGCAGCAATACAACGCAACGGTGGCGTCAGGAGTTGGAGAGGCGGAAACTGTCCTTCCTCAAGGGCGGCCCTAGGGGAGAGTTTTCCAGGGATTCCGGTTGCCGGAAATGGCCAGACTTGCGTTGCGAAGGAGGCGGGGAGACGGCGGAAAGGCGGCAGAATGGTAGCGAAAGACGGGATAAAGAGAGAGGCGGGCAGGGCACAAAGAGGAAAGGTCGAGACTCATTCTTCCCAACGCACCAGAATAAAAAACAAACCCCCAGATACAGAGCTTGATCTCCATCGGATTCCTTTTGGGGGGAGGGTTGGTTTTCCGGCGACATGGCATGGAGTTCGCACCCGGCTCGGTGCTCTGGCTCCCCAGTGACGGAGTTTGCTGCTCACTTTCTTTCTTCCTCCTACCCCTTGCGCTTGCCCTACTTGGGGGTTCGTGATGATGTGTAGGCATATCAACGGTTGTCGTGGCCGAGCTTGTAGGTTGTCGAGGGAGGTCGTTTTGTCCTTTTTGCCCTTTTCTCCCACCTCCCAGCCTTCGCCACATTTTGTTTTCTCCTCCTCCAATCTCCGTCACCCATCCATGCCCTTCCATGCCCCCCATGCTTTTATACCACTTCCCCTTGTCCCGGTAGGACGTCCAGGCCTTTACAAAATAGCCCGCTTAGCTTTTGGGACGAAACGGTCTGCTCGAATTGTGTTTTGGCTGCTGTTGGGCTTGGGCTCGACATATCGAGGAACGACTTTTGGCCATTCATGGGCATACCGATGACTCAAGTCGTTTCGGAAGGCGTAAACTTGCATCGCGACTCTTAATTTCCAACGTCAGTTATCGTCGCCAATTCGAATCATCAACGCCCGTCGTTGCCTTTGGCGACTTCTCAAGGTGCCCCCCCTTCTCAAGGCGCGGTATCCGGCCAAATCCTCCGCCGTGCTCATTCATGCTTGCCAACCAACCCCTATCCCATACTTTGGACATTCGCCAATATTGGAACTGCTCGGGCCGACATTACCGAATACCACCACTCTTTGCAACCACGCATCAGACAACACCTCATTTGTTACGGCGTCCTTTGAAACAACATCGATATTGCCATTTCTGCGACGGGGCTTTTTCAGTTCGTGGGCTGAAAGACCCAGAAACCCCATCGACGGAAGCGAGCTGCCCACTCCAAACCACGCTGAGAGATTCCCGAAGCGTCTTGTCTTGACCGGCTGTCGTACAGCGGCCCATTCTCACAGATCTTCTCCCCCTAACCCAAGCTCGCCTATTCTTCTGAAACCCAGGTCGGTGCACACTTGATCGACGTGGGAGGAAAGCAAGCATTCGGAAAAGGGCCGCTCTTGGCCCAGACGTTATATTCGTGCCGCAAAAAAAAAAAAAAAAAGAAGAAGAAGAAGAAGAAGAAGAAAAAAACCCCGGGCGAGCTCGCAGTAAATGTGACGACCGTCTGACCACCCCCCTATCCTGCACCCGTAACCTACTGCATGTTTCATCAGGCTTCGATCGCGCAAGCGGTCGAAACAAATGACATGGAGAGCCACCCTACAACCTCCAAGAGCCACGGCGGCATTGACCAGTCAGTGGCGATCGAAGACGGCAAGATATACCATAGGGAGAGCAGCCGAAACCCAAAGTGGTATCAACGCCTACTTGATGCCGGCGTCGAGGAGAATGGGGTCCTCCCAGTGCCTCTCGAGAAGCGGACCAACACCAACTACAGCAACCTCTTCACCGTTTTCTTCACCAGCCTGCTTTGCCTGCTGCCGTAAGTCTCGATTGCAGTTCCGTTCGAGACCGAATCATCGATCGCTAACGTGTGCCCACAGGATCCCAACGGGCGCGCTAGCCACTGCACAATTTGGGTTGAGTTTGAGGGATGCTTCGTTGGTGATACTCTTCTTTTCGATGCTGACAACCGTGGCTCCTGCATTCATGGGCATTGCCGGCTCTTATACCGGACTGAGGCAGCTCGTTCAGGCCAGATATTCCTTTGGGTGAGTCAATGTCTCGCTACTAGGAAAGTTCGAAATTACGCTGAACATCGGGCGGTACAGATATTACCTCGTTTCCATCCCTCTCCTCCTCAACGCCGCTACCGTAACCGGTTTCGCCCTGTCCTCCTCGATTGTCGGGGGCCAGACCCTCGCAGCCGTCAACCCCGGCCATATCGACGTGAAAGTCGGCATCGTGATTACGTGCCTCGTCAGTTTTGCTGCTTCTTTCGTCGGATACCGCGCGCTTCACATGTGGGAGCGGTGGCAATGGCTCCCCAATCTTGTCGCAATGGTGATCGCGGTAGGCTGCAGTGGGCGGCACTTGTGGGAACAGGCCGAGGCGCCCCCTCCGACAGCAGCTCAGATACTCAACTACGGGAGCATCATGGCAGGGTACTTCATTACTTTTGGCGGAACAGTATCGGATTTCACCGTGTACCACGACCCCAATAATACCACCAAGTACGTTGTATCCATTCCTCAGATGGTTAGGTGCTGACTGCTGTGTAGGCTGAAGATGTCTTCGTACATCTACCTCGGCATCTTGACCCCGTCTATCCCACTTCTCGTTCTGGGCGCAGCAATTGGGGGCGCACTCAACAACGTCCCCGAGTGGAAGTCGGGATGGGATACATATGGCATTGGGGGCGTCATGGCCGCCATGTTGGTCCCTGCCGGTGTCTTCGGCAAGGTTGTACTCGTGGTCCTCGCGTTGAGTGTAATCGGCAACGTTGCAACCTCCATGTACTCCGTCGCCCTTTGCATGCAGCTGATGCTTCCGGTATTTACCAAGGTTCCCCGTATTGCTTTTGTCGTCATCGCCCTGGGCATCATGATCCCGATGGCTATCCGTGCAGCGGAGGAATGGGCCACCTCGCTTCAGAACTTTTTGGGCTTGATCGGGTATTGGGCCGGTTTTTTTGATGCGGTCATCATCGAAGAGTTGGTTCTCTTCCGCCGGATGGATTATGATTCATACGACCATGCCGCCTGGAATGCCGCCTCCGTGTTGCCTTCTGGCCTCGCCGCCATCGGAGCAAGTGTTTTGAGTTTCGGGCTCACCATACCAGGGATGGACCAGGTGTGGTTCACAGGGCCTGTTGCCAGGACGACGGGGGATATTGGCTTCGAATCGGCGTTCGTGCTGACAGCGATTTTCTATGCTCCGCTCAGGTGGTTAGAGATCAGGAAGCGGGGGCACGTCTGAACGTCTCCGACGTACAGTTGAATAACGAGGCATAAGCTGGGACCGAGGATATGCCGAGGCAGGAGACGCACGATAGACCTTCGGTGGAGAGGCAGGCGCATATTAATTACAGGGCCCTGGCCTAACAGGGCAGTCTCGAAAGTTGATCAAAATGATACCATTTCTCGGGCGTCCAGCTGGAAGGGTTGCGCTAACGACCTGATTGACCAGCTATTGAGGTGACTGCCCAGCTAGCTGACCAGGTTTCAGGCATGTGATAGTCGTCTATGGCTTGGAGGTGGCTCGCTACGATGCTGCAGGGCCAACTCAGGTCAGCCAGGAAACTCATGGCGCGTTCGCCATTGGGGGTGGTAGGAACGGACTCTCACCTAGCCCTCGCGGCTGAGTTTGCCGCAAAGGACGATATCCTCACCAAATTGATGCCACGCTACATTTGCCAATCGTGCAGCAGGAACGGGCGTCCCGTCTGGAGTATGGACTCGCTCAGGAGAAACGACAACGCCCCCCCGTCCAAGCCAAGTGGGTGCAACGGTCACGATGACCGTGTCGACGAACTGCTGGGAGTCAGGGTTCAGGAGCGAATTGATAACCTGGCCACCTCCTTCGACCATGACGCTGTGTAGGCCTTCGCTATGGAGAACAGAAAGGATAGACTGCCAATCGAAACGCGGCTCAGTCTCTTTGGCGTCAAGAACAACAAATTTTCCACCGTGAGCTTCCAAAATGGATTTTTTCTTGGAATGGACAGCCGCCGTCGACCCGATGAGAACAAAAGGCGCGAGTCCCTTGCCTGCTCGGGCGACCTCAAAGACCTTATTGTGCTCAGTAAAGTCCCAGCGGCCGCGGGGATCCACCACGATGGGCCGAGGTTGAGCATCAAGACCCGCACCTGCGATGCGGCAGTTCAAGCCTGGGTCGTCGGCGAGAACAGTCCCAACTCCAACGAGGATAGCGTCATGCTGGCGACGCAGATGGTGGGTCATGGCCTTGGATTCGGGGCCCGATAAACGCGTACGTACTCCAGGAGCGAGGGAAAGCGAAGAATCTAGCGATGTTGCGAAGGTCAGAGTAACGAAAGGACGGCTCTGGGTCTCGGCTGATTGGATGGCAGATTCTGACGGCAGATGCGGAACCAACCAGGCGGCATCCGCGTCGAGAACCTGGAGCGTCTCCGACATGGCCGTCGTCGAGATTGTGCTGTTCCGTGGTCTGGAGAGGGTTAAGTGGCAGTAACCAACACGAGGGGCTGTCTTTTCCAAGTCTATACAATTTTCAGCTCCCTGTGTAGTGCAAGAGGTGATTCTGTGGCTATTCCAGGATTCGAGATGACCCTTAGCTCATCTAAAAGGCTACACCGCCGTCTTTGTCTGAATTGCTGATGGGAATTACGTCAGCATACCTAACAAGAGGCAGTTACAGTTTGACACACCAGTACCACTTGAAACTGCTTCTCCAGCCAAGTACGGGATGCCCTGTGATGGCAACTTTCCCCCGCCCACTGATCGATCGGGTGGTAGCCCAAAAGGGAGTCGCCAACTGCTGGCTGAGTTGGTGGCCGGGATGAGACTGAGCAGGGCGCCGAAACCCAATACTTTGCAGAAAGCTCAAGTGACGAAACCCTAAGACCCAATTGAGAAGCTACTGTGAGGCTTCGGACGATTCAAGGTTACGTACGCCTGCAGCCTGCTGGAAGAAGCTCTGAGCAGCTTGGATGACAGGACAGAACTCGAAACCGGTGCTCAGGAGCGACCGTAAGTATAAGCAGGGGCTACGGCGGTGAACAAAAAGTGGCCTGGGTTAGGTGATGCACAAGGATGCGGTTTTGAAGATATCCGGACGAGCGGTATGAGCAAGGACGACAGGTCGTGACGGTCGTCGCGATGGCGTACGAATACTGTGGCACCCGGTACAGATACCCGTATCTGGGATTTGAATGCTTTGCTACCCAAAAACTTTAACGGAAGGATCCGCAGGATGTGGGTGTCTCGGTGATATGATTCCTCAAACTTGGGGCAGCGGAAGTTTGCCCGCGTCGATGCTCCCTGTTTGCGACAAGGTCGATTCAAGGCCTGGTCGAAACGCGATATAATGTCGAAAGAGACAGACAAGACGAGACGGGAAAAGACGGGAGATGGACCGTTTCCGGAGCAGAACTGGGAAGGAAAGCAAAAAGTTGGCCGGGTATTGTTGGCTTCCCACCCACCCCCTTGCTTTCACTCGCCAGGGCTGGGGTATCTGAGCAGAGATTTGAGGCGTTGACACGGCCACTAGCGATTTCGGCGTCAAGCGCTGTTTGTGGGTTGCGTGTGGGTGAGTGTGTCTGCGTGGCTGTGCTTGTGTGCGGACGAAGATCGTGTGTAGGAGAGAGGAAGATGACGGCAGGAAAAGATGGATGATGCAAGAACGGTGTGTGGGTGTGTTGAGTTGATTATTACGGTGGTCAAGATGGAGGGTGCAATGAAGTGGGAGTGTGGCTGCTGCATATATGCAAGTGCAGATTGGGATTGAAAGTTGCTCCCCGCCTAATTCCTCGTCTCCCTCACCAATCACGCATTCATCCACTCACGGACTCACTACATCCCATTCGACCTCTACACACACACATACACAACGCATATACAAAACGAACCACGCTACTTCTCCTCCTTCTCCTGTACGATGCGTTGCAGCTTCGACGCGCCAGACAATCGCCTAGGTACCTACCTATATAATTACCGACGACAAAAATTTCGTCCCAAATCCGCAATGAGTTTGGGGGTTGATCTGTGGCTGCTTTAACCTGAGCCGAAGGTGAGCAAAGGTGAGCAAAGGTGAGCAGAGGGTGAGCCTAGGTTGATGCAGCACTACATTATATTGACGATTAAAGCCTGCATCGTTAAAGCCCGCATTACATGGCCAAGAAAACAACCTTGACTGCGCACTCTTGCCTGCGTCAATCTCACCACAAACAACACTTCCACGTCTTACTTGTTGATCCGGTTCGCCATCCTTTTAACTTGCAACAGGACTGCTGAATGCCTGTCGTCATGGCGGTCTCGGACGCATTTTATTACGACCGCGATGAGATTGCACAGAGCTTGGCGGCATATTATTCTGTCCTCGCCAGAGCTTGCTATTTCTCTCCTGAGGACATCTAGTCGCCACCGACTGAAGGCTGGAGCGATCTAGAGCTGGACGTTGACGCGCTTCGAGCCCTGCGCCGCTCCGACAAAGTCATTGACCTTTTGCGCCACATCCCGTACATCAAGCCCTGCAAAAGTGGCGATAAACCCGTGCAATGGCCGATACTTGTCCGCTCAAGGGCCATTCGATACTTGCGCGACGATGGCGACTTCTCGAACTGGTCTGCCCGTGGCGGCGACGGCCTCGCCGAGTTGGCAAACGCTCCGTTCGACCAAACCCCGGCAGGGCCCATGGATCTGCCCTCTGATGTCGTGGCTCTCAGTCGCGGATACGCTTCTAGTGATTTCGGCTCGCCGTGGTGTATCATCGACTGTGAGACTGGTATCTTGACGCCATACACCTCCGGCACGGGACCAACGGACAAGCCGTGGCAGACTTCACGGTGCAGCGCTAGGGTGTTTTTCGACGAAATGACCTCTTTTCTGAAGAGCAAGACCATCATAGCTCTTCCTCCAGTCGGGGACCTTGAGCCCGAGATTATGGGTTCCGAGAGCGATCAGAAAGTTGACGTCAGACAGAAGTTTCAATGGATCTATCAGGCGCGCGGATGGGCAACATTCGAGGAGGACCCTTCGTCTTGGCGCCGCGAGGAATGCATCGAGGTGCTTAAACGGTTTCGCATCGAACTATGGGAAGCAGAGAAAAAGAGGCTGGCGCACGAGGCCGACTTTGACGACCCGAAAGACGAGGATTTCGAGGATCCTGACTCCGATGCCGGGAGCGAAGCGAGCCAGTCCGAAACCGCAACTGAAGATGTAGATACAGCACTGGAAGACGAAGACATCTCGGTGGATGTTTCAAAGGAGGAACTTGCCGAGGTCTGGGCAGATCTCGACGAGACCGAGTACATGATGATTGACGAAGAGTTGAAGGGTGAAGGCATCCAGCACGCTTTTCACCCATCGAAACCGCCGCAACGTCTGGCCAGAGCCCCGTCATCCGAGAATAATGGACCCGGGGCTTCCCAAGTGCTTGATCAAAGGCGCTGCAACGACAGCATCGAGATGATGGCCGGCGCCATCAAGAGTCAATACCTCACCCTATCTCGCGCGGCCTTCTTCCCGCCGTCTATGGTAGAGACCGCGCCTGACAGCGGCTGGAGCGACGATGTCTTCCCTGCGGAGGAATTGGAGATGCTTGGGTACTCGGACAAGGCAGTCAGTTTACTCCGGCATCTTCCGTATCTAGGCTTCGACGAGCACTTCTGGGAGGTGCTCCCCGGCGGCCAGCCGATTCGGTATCTGCGTGACGCTGAGCTATTCGAGGATGTACCCAGGGACAAGCCGAGACGAGACTCTCTGCGAAAGCTCGGACTTTCACCGTATGATGAGGCCATGCCAGCGGATGTAGTGGTGCTCTCGTCTCCAAACCAGGACAGCTGGCGAGGAACTTGGTGGATGATTGATGCTGGTAGAGGTTGGTTGTTGTGTCCTCCTCGATACAAAAGGTTCATGGGGATTGACTCGCTCACACTTGGCTTAAACTAGGGGTCATCTTCTGCGAAAGCGGGCCGAAAACCCAGGTGGAAGCTCCTGCAAATTCTTACGAGCCTGAGTCCATCGTGACGTATCTTGAGAAGGTGGTCTCAAAGCTCAGGGGACTTGAGATAGTTCCCATCCCAGGCCTGGGCCCAGATGAGAATCAAGATCCAGTCATTTGGGCCGAACCCAACTGGGAACGCGGGGCAGATGCTTCGGCAGAGATGTCGGAAGCAGACAGGCGGATCATCCTACCAGCCAAGTCTGGTATAGGGCTTGAGGTCAGTTGTGTACATTTTCTCTTAAATTATTTGATACGAGTGAACGCTGACAAACAGGCGTGAATCGTTTAGGCCGCTCGCAAGGTCTATCGTGACTACGGATGGCCCGATGAAAATAGCTTTCGGCGGGATGAATGCCGAGAGGCGCTGGTCCGGCTGCGACAGACGACTATCTACGGCGAAGGGCTTGCAGACGATTCGGTAGACGAGGATACCGATGTGGCGATGGACGCTGCTTGACGGCAGAGGGAGAGTGATATCCACGTTGTACATGCACCTTGCGAAGGGAACAAGTTTTGAGCGCTATTGACTTTCCGTTCTCCTTCAATACACTACGGATTGCATTCAATAGTACATGCTTTGAAACTACTCGTCTATGCTACGCTCACACAGTAGAAATAACCTGGCCAGATCATGGTGCTGCAATTCTCCCCGTTGGTGCCGAGCGAGGGGTTGAGCTGGTACAACCGGCTCGGCTCGATGCCGTTATCGGTCGCCAACTGCCAACAAGACGCGCCTTGCGCGGGCGCCTCGGCAAACGTGCTGCAGTTTGCCGGGATGCCTGCGTGAGTGGCAGTCGGCTTTGCGGGACCGGCGGACGTCGTCGTAGGAGGCGACGAAGTGGTGGCGCTGCCCGAAGAGACGCCAATGCAGTAGTAGTAGTCCGGCCATATCATGGTGCCGCAGTTCTCGCCCCCGGATCCGAGGACGGTATTCCACTGGTAGAACAGGGCCGTGTCGATGCCGGCGTCGTTGGCCAGTTTCGAACAGTAGTCGCCGGCCACGGCCTGCACCCACTTGTTGCAGTTGCCCACGATGCCTTCCTGAGTCGGAGACGGCTTTGGAGCGCTCGTAGGAGACGCTGTTGGGGAGATTGTGGGCGATGTCGTCCTTGCCACTGTCGTGGTAGGCGAGCCCAGGCTCTCGGTGCCGACGCAGTAGTAGTAGTTGAGCCAGAGCATGGTGTCGCAGTTCTCCCCGTTGGTGCCCAAAACCGGGTTCAGCTCGAATAGTCTCTTTTGGGTAATGCCGCCATCGTTTGATACTTTCCAGCACGAGGCGCCCTTGTCCGCAAACACGTAGCGCTTGCAGACCGAGGAGATGCCTTCTTGGGCCGGCTCCGGTGGCGTATCGGGATTGTCAATGATGGGAAGCGTGGGTGTGGAACCAGGACCGCCGCGCACAGGACCATCGCTGTCGTCTGGGATCTCGCTGGCAGGCGGGCCAGTCCAAGAGCCACCTGGGCGACTGGAGGAGGAGGCAGTCAGCTTCGAGTATACTCGGCTTGGGCAGTACTCTATCTGGGGGTTGCTTACTCTATGCAGACGTACTGATCTTTGACCAGATGATCACAAGCACCGAGAATATGCGGGTTCCAGGTGGCTATCTGAACCGCGTTGACGATGTGGGTTGCGTTGGATGCGGATTCCGCAATCGATGCGCTGATGGGAACGTCAGCTGATGATCCTTGGGTTTGACTATTACGCAAACGTCATACCAGGTAGAGCTCTCGCTGACTCGGAGCAACTGACAAGACGGGGAGACGCAAGACCAGCCATCTAAAACAGCGCACCCGGGGGTGTTTGTCGTATACATCAAATCGCCCGTCGCTACGCCATAGATTTCGGCAATCTCGTTGCAGAACTCAAGCTCCGTCTGCGCGATGGTGGATTCTTCCATGACGAGGACGTCGACCCATTGCCAGCCCACAGCTTCGCAGCCCTCTTCCGTGTCCGGCACCGGGGCCTTGGTCGGGACGGGCTCCGAGGTGGTTGTCGGCGCCGGGGCGTCCGTCTCGGTAGACGTGACCTCCGTCCTGATGGGAGTGACGTCCCCGTCCGTTGTATGGGGGTAGTTGGGCAGTACCCTGGTGGCCAGCTCGCCGACGGTAGTCTGGCAGACCTCCTGGATGTCTTGGAACTCCCCGACCAGGTAGTCCGAGTAGTCGACACCGGGGAGGAACGCGGACGTGACGCGGGCGTACAAGAGCTTGAGGAAGCACTCGGAGCACAGCAGGTCGTTGTCGTAGAGGGACGATATACGGCGGTTCTCGGCGCTCACGTTCCTTGGATTTGTGCAAAACGGGTCGGCCGGGTTCGCGGCGCAGTCTGGTGTGACCATATCGGACCCCGTCTACTCCTGCTGCTCGATGAAGCACCATTCGTTGGATGACGAGCGAGTGCAGGCGAGTTCGAGACCCTCGAGGAAACGACCAGAAAGAGTGACCGCCTCGACAAGACGATCACCTTGGATCGTCAGGTCGTAGGCACAGCTGCTTTCGACATGGGCGTGCCAATCGCGTGCTGAGGTGAGGCAGCCGGTTTCGCACAGCGTCGTGACATCTTGCTCTTGTCACCAGAGCCCGTCAACGTTGATGGTTCGCTGGAAGAGGTCTTGCTCGCAGGCAACGGTAGCATTTCTTTCGATATCAGTCAGTCAAGGTCCTCATGGTCTACTCAAACGTCCGTCCTTCTCTCTTTCGGCCTGGGTACACTTACAATGCCACAACACAAGCAGGTGCAATCTGTAGGATCTCTGCCAACGCTTCCATTTCAACCAAGGGCCAGAGGTTGAAGCTAAAAGCTAGGGGCAAGAATGCCAGAGCCGTCAAAGACTTGATGTGAGGCGACATTTTCTCGACTGCAGCGCGCTGAGCAAGTCGCCGAAGGGTTGGTGAATCAGACCTGGCAGAGCAACGGTCGATATACAACGACCCGGTCAGGGTGACTTTCTCTCAAGCTTTGAACATCCCTGAAAGGCTGGAGCCTTACGGAAACACAATAACTTGTCTTGACAAGGGTTGCCAACCCGAAATGAGGGCATGCAACCGACACCAATTCCCGCCTTTCTAGGCCTAGACGGCGTGATAGAGGTTGCAGATATCACGCGACCCTAAACGTCCACATGCCCCATGTAACAGTCATTCTTCATTTATTTTTGGGTATCTTCACTCTGCAATATTACTCTATAAAGTTCTAGACTTAGCATTTGTGTTATCTGAGACCGGAACAGGTCTCTTTCGGGGCAGTAGCTGACAGACTGCGAGATCTGATGAGACTACCGCCAAGCCGGCGTCACCAACCTAAGTGGCCTCGGAGCGGTCGTTGCCGTAGGGTTTTCTCACTTACCCCTGCATAAGTCAATCTTCTCTCTGCAGTAGTCTGGTCGCCCAGCCTAATGAGGCAAATATTCCGTACTTCTGCACGGGAACGGCTCTCGCCAGGCGGGCCGATACCACGGGGCGACTGCGCCGTACACACACTTTGTCGAGCCACACGGGAATACATTGAGACACAGCGGCTCCGATATTGCTGACAATCTGAGAGGATTAGGAGGGAGTTAGACTTCTCATACCTCGCTTGGCTACGCGGGTAAGGCTGTCCACGAATAGACGAGACGACTTGTAAGACATGCCTCTAAATGAGGACTTTGCGAGGGTCATCATTCCGAATAGTTCAACCTTCCTGCTGACCCTTCATCAGGCGTCCACGTTGTACTGCATTGAATGAACCACTTGACCTGGTAAAAGACAAAAGGTCACGGGAGGATCGGGCGAAATCTTACGCCAAGATGGTCGAGGTGGTCTAAGAGACCAAGCGAGGATGCGAATGTAATTTGACCTTATCCGCTAAACAAGGTCGGTGGTATTCGGACGGGATTTCGGGAAGCCCACGAAGCTTCTCGTGTTTGGAAATGATATGAACGCGTTGGAGACGCCGGCCTTTCCAGACTTTTCAAAAGTTCGCATCAGATCTGACCATCTGTCTCGTCTGCCTCCGAGTGGCACGCCGCAACTATTTGCATACTTGTCCCAGCAACTTCTGGCCCTCCCTTCTTGTTGAAATGCATTTCCACTCAAGGCTGTCAGCCCTCTTGGGGCTCTTCTATCTCATTTCTCCGCTGTTAGCTGCGGAGAACTCTTCATACTTTAATCTGAATTCTGCTTTCGGTCTGCTTGGCTCTGATCTGCCTGCTCAGCTCCTCGACCTTCCTGTCGGTACCTGCAATGCCGAGACTCCTTGGGTCAATGGCGCTTGTTGCAGTGGTGTAAGTACCATCCGGATCCCAATCCAACGGGGCGCGTTTCCTGTTGCTGTGGGGAAGACATCTGACTTAGGATTCTCTCTGACATGCGTCTTGTGGATTACTGGCCTTTGCGGTTATTCTCCTACAGAATGTGGTGCTGGCAATTGCACCTCAAACTGCGATGCCAAAGCCGAATGCGGCCAATATGGTGTCCCCGGAAGGCAGACCTGTCCGTTGGGTGTCTGCTGCTCGGAGTTTGGGTATGTATATACTCTGGGTGCGTAGGCGTGGCTAACTCTTTGCAAAGCTTCTGCGGCTCGGTCGATGACTTTTGCAACGTCGACAAGGGGTGCCAGAGTGATTTCGGAGGCTGCGGCCCAGTAAAGCGGCCTTCATGCAGCAAGACTGGAAACAGCGTCCAAGGTCGGTCAATCGGTTACTATGAGTCCTGGGCCAACACTCGTCCCTGCGGCAAGGTGTCCCCCGAGGACTTGAACCTGGACGGACTGACACATATCAGCTTTGCTTTTGTCTTCTTCGGCCCGGTCAAGTTCAGTATCGTCCCCATGGATAAGAACGCTGGATCACTCCTGAGTCGGTTTACTGCGCTCAAGGAGAGGAAGCCCGGCCTTCAAACCTAGGTCAGTGTAGGCGGGTGGTCGTTCAACGACCGTGAGTTTAATTGTTCCATTAGAGATAACTTGAAGATGTGCTTATCTGTTATCTACCAGCCGGCCCCTATCAACAAGCCTTTAGTACAATGTCGAGCACCGCTGAGAATCGCGGGATCTTCATTGCCGAACTGATGTATTTTATAGAGGTAAATAACTCCCCTCTAAGTGTCTCTTTCTCTCCAATACTTACAAAGGCGCCAGACATATAGATTCGACGGCATGGATTTAGATTAGGAGTACCCCACCGCTAGTATGCAGATTCCTTACTTACATACCTTTCCCAGACATCTTCCTGTCAACTAGCCACTCAGCCATGTTATTAAAAACTTTGGTTGCTTTAGTACTTCAGTTTCGCTGATATTTGTCGCAGACGATCGTGGCGGAAAAGCCGAGGACAAAGCCAACTTTGTTCTTCTTTCCAAGGAAATCAAAGAAGCCTTCGGCAAGCAATACGGCTACTCCATTACACTTCTAGCATCGTACTAGTATCTTCAACATTTCGATCTAAAGAATCTCCAGCCACATGTTAACTAGTTTAACTTGATGTCTTATGACCTGCACGGAACATGGGACGCTGCTTCAAAGTTCGTTGGCCCATACGTGGCCACGCACACCAACATCACCGAAATCGATCTCGGTCTTGATCTTTTATGGCGCGCCGGGGTCAAGCCTAAGAATGTTGTCTTGGGCCAAGGATGTGCATTTCCCTTCTCGTGCTGATGTTTTTTAATGGCATGGCTCTGATTATAGGCTAATTCTGTGCACTGTAGTCTACGGTCGTTCTTTTACCCTTGAAGATTCCAAGTGTAATAAGCCTAATGGAGTCTGTCGATTCAGTGGTGGAGCAAAAGAGGGCCCTTGTTCCAAAGCCTCGGGTATCCTGAATCTCCAGGAGATCATAGATATCATCAAGGACAAGAAGCTCGAGCCCGTCCATGACGAGAAGTCAGGCACCAAGTGGATTCACTGGGACAATGACCAATAGGTTTCGTACGACGACGGCGAGACATTGGGTCAGAAGGCCGAGTTCGCCAACTCGCGATGTCTAGGTGGCCTCATGGTCTGGGCCCTGGACCAAGTCGCCCAGGATGCCGCCAGTCTCTTGAACCCTGACGACATGGATGAAGAGGCTCTGCTCGAGGCTGAAGTTATCTACCAGGATGAAGCGGCCAAGGGCGTCTGTGACACTACCAAATGCGGCGAAAAGTGCCGAAACGGTGACCACGAGGCCACCCAGACTAACGGTCAACCTGGGACATTGTCAACCATGGACCGCTGTCCCAAAGATGAATTCCGGAGAGTCTGCTGCAGCAAGGGCTCTATTATGGGCACCTGCCGGTGGAGAGAATACCGTGGGCTGGCGATGTCTTGTATGGGCGGCTGTGCGGAGGGGGAGGTGTCTATCATAGAAAACAGCAACAGCCGGACGGACAAGGAGGATCAGAGCTGCACGGGCGGCACGCAGACCTACTGCTGCTTAGGGTTCAAGCCTCCAATCTCCAAGGAGCAGATCGCTGAGACCATCAAGGACGAGGCAACCGACGCAGCGATTGCGGCAGCGGAAGCATTGGCGCTGGAGGTTGCGGCGAAAGCTTTCTGCCGCATCGCCATCATGGCAGCGACTGCGCCACTGCGGTTCATCCCTTTTGTCGGCAAGTCAAGCTCAAGCAACATCTCTTTGTAACCCGTCCGCTAACTGAGTGCCCAGGAATCATCATCTCAATCGCTCTCCAAGCAGCTATGCCGGCCTTAGTTGCCATCTGCTCCAAAGGTGTCGCCAAGGCGGGCAAGTCTGTTTTCAAGTTCCAGGGCAAAGACTACGACGTCAAACTCGACAAGCCGTTGGAGACCAAGGTCGATCGAGGCCCGTCCAAGCCCACGAGCAAAGCACCCGATAAGCCCGCAAGCTGTAAGGGCAAGCGCCTCGAGGCTCGCGTCAACCTCCGCAACAGGGACGTCACACGCGTCATCACTCAGGGACCTGCGAGACAGGAAGTTGTACGGAGGATCTGCTACGGAGACACCCACGGCCAGGCCTGCTACCATTACAAGTCCGTCATCGATCGCGACAATAAGCTCAGCAAGCTCACGTGCCCGGGCGAAAAGATTGGGAAGGCGTTGCGTCCGGTCGTCGCCTCCTACAACACGCAGCACAACACAGACTGGAGCAGCGGTTGGCAACAGCAGGACGATCTTGTTTGCCAACGCGACGAGTACCCTCCCGCCGACATCTGGCGCAGCCGCGACGACAAGGCGGTGTGGATCCGACTGCTGCCCCAAGGCAACAACGGAGGCGCGGGACAGCTGTTCGGCGGGTGCCCGGAAAACCAGGCCACGGAGCTCATCCACGAGGGCTATCACACCACGGAGAACGTCGGGTGCCGCGTCGTCACCATCACCACGCGCCGCGTCCGGGCCGTGGAGAAGGTCATTGAGCTCAAGTTTGACCGCATGGACAAAATGCCGGCCGACTACGGCATCGAGGAGAACCCGTGCTGGCCCAAGACACTCAACAACAACGACCCTGGCTTCGCGCTGCTCAACAACGACGACTGGTACAAGGGCGCGGGCCGCGCGCAGCAGCGCGGGTACCGGCAGTACTACTCCAAGGAGCCGACGGACATGTTCACCGTGGACGCGAACGGGGTGGCGAAGGTGAGCATCTACAAACGCGGGTGGACGCCGCCGAAGAAGCGCAAGGCGGGAGGTGGACCCGCTGGAAATTGCCGTCAGCGAGGGCAACACCACGCGCCAGCCGACGGAGGAGGAGCTGCTGGAGGACTTTGGGCTGGTCCGGTGCAGGGACGGGTCCTGCGAGAAGGAGATGCACGACCTTGGGTACGCGTCTCTGCCGGTGTCGGGCATGAAGCCGACGTCGCCGCCGGAGACGGAGGCGTCGACGACGATGGCGGTGGCCCTGCCGACGTCCCTGTCCGGGGTGCTGGCGACGGCGGCCGACGTTGCGAAGGCGGCTGCTGCGGTCATCACCGCAGCCCCGGAAGCAGTAGAGGGAGTAGGAGCGAAGTAATATATACGAATGTCTGATGAAATTGAGTAGGGAGTCAGGAGCCGGGTCACTTACCTGAACCTGCACTTGACCCGTCTCCTGGAGACAGTAACAGAGTCCTCGGCCATGATATGGTTCGCACAAAGTTGACAATAATCGAGGAATTGAGGTGATTTGTATCCTGAGCAGCACTGAGCATGGGTGACGCGAGCCTGAGCAAGAGCGGCGATGCTGACTAACCTGGCTGGGACACTTACTGCGGCCTCAGGTACATAGGAGAGCAGCCAGCCAACCACCCCACAACAACGTACGTTTCCTCGGGGAGGTGGGGCACTGGATGGAGACCAACCCAGCGGAACAGCCGACACGACACCGGATTTGGCTTGGAACAGGCCGTCGTCGGCTATTCGCGTCGGAGATATCGTGGAGAACTTTGTCCCAGGTGCTCTCAACCCCCCCTTGTGCGGAATAAGACCAACTTTGGGGGGTTGCAAACCGATGTAGGCTTTGGGAAGCTCCATGGCTGTCTACGATGTATTAGTGCTTCGACTCTGGTGACCTTGTTAAGTCGGCATCTATGTTATCGCACCCAATTCCTAACGCAGAGGTGCCTCGACCGAGACAGGTACAGGGAGGTTGAAGTCGTCTTTGCCTTTCCCATTTCCTCATTCCCATGTCCTCTTGGCCCTGACCTGGCCTCCCCTGGCCTGTAGTTACACCGCCTAGGGCTGCCCCTCCTTTCGACGTGAACTCTAAGTAGGCTCAGCGTTGTACCTGTACGTATAGTGGGGGGAAGTTGCAAGCAAATCCGACTTCGGCGCAGGCAAAGTTGTTCGAACCCGCATGGGCGGCTCGTCTTTCGCATTGACCACCTCCATCGGGGATAATGAGGAATCAAACATTCGTCACGACGGTGACAGGCATGTGCCGTCTTGTCTATCTGCTCCCGGACAGGTATTGCAAGGTGAGATGCGTCGTTCATGGTACCCAGCCAGGGTTTCTATTTTAGCCTTTTGCCGATCGACTTGCTTTCTCTGCTAATGAAAACACTTCCGAGGGTGAACTACCACCACCCCATCGTCGAAACTCCCCGGCCACACATGTTGCTCCTTGAGTGCTTTGCTGGAATCCCACTTGGCTGCAGTCTACGGTCGCACCAAGCGCCCATGACCTATCACGGGCTCTCGCTATTTCCGGCTCTCGCTCGCTCTTCTCGTCGCCGTCTTTTGCAAGCAACCCGGCAATGCACCGCTGGACGACTACAGAGTACTCGACTTCGAGACCTTCCTTCGTGTCCAAGCAAGCAGAAGCTGTCTATCCGGAGATGCTCTCGCTACGTTAGGTGTTGTTGTACCTGTACCCCAGTCTGCAATCAGTACTCTTCTACCTACCTGCGCTTTAAACTGCCTAATCTACCAAGTGAGTCTCTGTAACCTCCCAGACTGCGTTTCATAAACAAGGCTCTGAACATGCACACAGGACTACTTGGGAAAAAACAAGTAAGCCACTACCGGTACAATGACACCACGAGCATTTCTCAAGTTGGCTGCCCACCATTATCGACAAGACTTTGGGCAATCCCTGCCCATCCGATGCGCAGACCGGCTCTCTTCCTTGGACAAACTACACTATAAGCAGCCGAAGAACCACAGTTGTTATTCGGTTGGAAGCAGCCCCTGCACCCTAACTTACTCGAGGAACCACACCATCATGTCCCAATGATGTAAGCATCACTGGTGACGGGTAGCACGTGAGCAAATCGGCACTCTCGGGGCGGTTAGTTGCTTGCGACAGTCTATCGAGCCCGCAACAATCACGATTTGGTAGGTATCACACGACAAGATTCCAACGAACGAAGGTGGCCGCCGTGAGGTATAATAAGAGGGGCAAGCACGGGGCCTTTCGGCGTCGGACATGCCAAGGTCCAGCCCGACTTAACAGCGACATCTGGTAAAGGTGATCGGCAGGGCCCTTACCGAAACCTACCTAGCTTGCTTGCCCTGACGCAAGAGTGGCTAAGGGCTCTCGGCATCGTGTTGTCGCAAAGTGCTCGCCGACATTGTACGATTCAGAACGAGACGACGTATCCCAAGAGTAGCCAGCCTCGCATGCGGGTTCCAAAATACACGCCGGTCAATACTGCAAGCTTGGGTAAGGTACCTCGGAACAACCGGCGGTGATTTTTTAATTATTCTTTTTGGAACCCGCGTGCCTCAGTAACTCGGAGACATCCATCTCATCTCTGACGACAAGTGGACAGAGGGTGTCGCCTAGGCGATGGTCTGTCCGACAGAGCTGAAAGTCCCACGTCATGTCTCAGGCGCCGATGACTGCTGGCAACCGGCACTAGCTAGGTATGTGTACTACATGTACTCCGTATGTATGTTCCGGGTCCTCGATATAGGTACTTGGCTTGGCTGCCGGGCCCCAATCTTAGCATCGTCCGGGGCTAGCAATTGCCGGCCAGCGATGTGGTGCCTGTCAGCCGGCAGCTTCGTTTGCATTCTCGGTACAGAGGGACCGCCTTGTATCTGTACCTCGGTCTTAGGCTTTTTCTGTGTAGCACCACCCCATTTCAGCCTCTATTGGGCAGAAGGAACAGAGCAAGCGGACAGAAATCATCGAGCGAGCGAGCGAGACCGAACATTGCCACGCTGAGCTTTTTCTTCCGGATCTACGGGACATCTCACATCTTTTGAGGCAGAACCATGTTCGAGGCCAATACACGGGGTTTTGGCACGGAGGACGCCCAATTTGTCTTTTTGGTCCGACATGAGCCCGGACGAAAATTATCAACCAGCCCGGACCAAATTGCGGTCATCAACTGGACGTCTATGGGGGGTGATCGCGGCTGCCTTGGTCTGATAACTAGTGTATAACTCCTGCTGGACCTGTTGTGTGCCGCAAAAGGCGACCGCTGACCAAAGCTTATGTCGACCCATGCATGGAGGGCATTATTACACTAGTGTTTCGACCTTCTGCTGACCGGCCAATGCGTGGAGGGGTGGGTATGTGTGTGTGTGTGTTCAATTTGAGTTGCAGCAAATCGGTCACCAATGGTTGAGAGGGGGGGTTGACACCAGATGCCCTTGAACCCAGTCCTGTCTGCCGGCGGGAGCGGTACGTTTCCTCGCTCGATCGTTGGGAATACGTACCTTGGCTGTACCGATGTCTACCTACCTACCTGTAGGTAACACCTTTGGCATCAATATCTGCGGAACCTGGCCGATTGATCTTTTAGTGTCATTGGATGCCTACAATCGGCCCAAGGCTGTCTCTTCTATCGGGAAAGAAGATTGGCTGGACGCCACATTTGCCGCAACTCAGCTAGAATATTACATACCATTTATCACGCCTGCGCTCTTCCGTCTTCAACCACATGGCTACCACTTTTTGTCCACCTTCAACAACTCGGTTCAAACCTCAACAACGCCTAGTCGTTCTTCCTTCTCGCACCCTTCACACACTTCAGCCATGGGGTCCATCGCCCCCAGCTCCAAGAGGCTGCCAACCTTTGGTGCATCTGCACAATATGCGTTTACCACGGGGTCCACTCCGACGGACCCGTACGTTTACCAAGTCGGCTTTGGGAATCGGTTCTCCTCCGAGGCCATGTCAGTAAACGCCGTCATTATTTTCTCATTTCGAGTGCGTTCGAGCTAAAGGAAGCAGCCCGGGAGCTCTCCCTCAGTCTTGCAATGTCCCGCAGAGAGTCAAGTACAATCTGTACTCCGAGCAGTTGAACGGCACCACCTTTGTTTCGCCGCGAGCGGGCATTCATCATGCATGGTTCTACCGCATATTTCCTTCTGTGGCCCATGGAGACCTCAAGAAGATGCCACGAAACGCAGATGTAAGTGACTCTGACGAGTCAACTCGGTGATGATTGGACCCACTCCCTGACTCTCCTGGTCCTCAAGATCGAGTCCAGGTTTTCTTCCGGGAACGAGAATGTCGACTTCGTCCCTGGTGGGCTTTGTTGGACAGCATTTCCGGTCCCAAAGGCCACCGGCCCAACCGTGGATTTTGTTCAGGGGCTCAAGACGATAGTCGGTTACGGAGACCCGACGGCCAAGGAGGGATTGGCTGTTCATATCTACGCCGCCAACGCATCGATGAAGAACCGTGCTTTTTGCAGCAATGATGGAGACATGCTCTTTATTCCCCAAGCTGGCAGACTGGATATTCAAACAGAATTTGGAAGGTACGGTGTCAATGGCCTCTATTGGAAGATCCCTTTGCTGATATTGATGGCAGGATGATGGTACGACCTGGAGAGTTGGCCGTTGTCCAGGCTGGCATCCGCTTCAAGGTTAACCTACCGGACGGGCCGGTCCGGGGCTGTGAGTCTCTTGACGATTCCTCGCCGCTCACAGGGCAAACGACTGATGGGATTAGATATACAAGAGGTTTTTGGAAGCCGGTACGAGCTACCGGAGCTGGGACCGCTTGGAAGCAACGGAATGGCTCTGCCACGCGACTTCGAGTTTCCCGTCGCCTCCTTCGACATGGACAAGTCGGAGTGGGAAAGTAAGGCTACCGGATCTGTCGGTCAGCAATCCAAGCTAACTACTATTCCCAGTCATCTACAAGCTGGCTGGAAAACTGTGGTCATGCAAGCAAAACCATACGCCCTTCGATGTTGTTGCCTGGGATGGCAAGTAAGTACACGCTAGCCACGTTTACCCCTTTCACCGGCTACGATGCCAACTTGGGAACAGCTACGTACCATTCAAGTACGCGGTCGAGAAGTTTGTCAACGCCGCCTTCGTCGATAAAGACCAAGCCGACCCAAGCTTATATACTGTTCTGACGGTGAAGTCCAAGACGCCTGGGGTTCCTGCAACAGATGTCATGTTCTTCACACCCAAGTGGTCATCGGCGACGAACACCTTTCGTCCCCCTGTACGTGCTCTTCCGGAGATGCGACCCTCCCCAGCTAACTTGCAGTAGTACTACCATCGGAACATGGCAACGGAGGTTGTGGGGATAGTGTACGGTGACTACAAGGGCACGAGTCGTAACTTGCAGGCCGGTGGCTTGAGCTTCCAATCAAGCTACACGCCTCATGGAGGTAACTCTCCATGGGCCTGATACATGACTACCGACACTGACAATAGGTAGAAACACACGAAGCGTTTGTTCAAGCAACGACCGGCGAGCTCAAGGCACAACGCCTGGGAGAAGGGTACCTTGGTATGGACGCAGCCAATCAAGAAACGAAGCGCCAAGGCTGATACGATATGCAGGATTCATGTTCCATATCAGCGCACATTGTGCAGTAACACAATACGCTCTGGAAAGAAGCGGCGTGCTAGAAGGTACGGACCCCTCTCGTCTTTTGTCCCGATGTAAGGCAGACGCAGACAAAAACTAATTCGCCATATTTTCAGTGCCGCCTGCATCTCTGTGGGACTCGATGCAAGGCCACTTTTTTGAATATGTGGATGAGGTTAACGAGGATCTGCGGAGACGGGGATGGCCGTCTCTCAGATCGGGGAACACTCCTTGACACAGATCACTGTGCGATACATTCACAACTTCTGCACGATAAATGCCCCTCATCAAACTCTAATTTCAGCCGGTCAAACAGGCGAAGCATTGTGATCCGAATGCACGAATGGCTCGGAGTTTTCCTGCTAGTGCAAGGGAAGGGTAATCAACAGCCCTGGTATTCCGCAATAGAGTATTGGAGGAAGACTGTTGTTCCGCTTAGAAAGGAAAAAGAAAAAAAGGTAGGCACTGCACAAGGGAGAGATGGGGGCCATGTACATTGTGCGAAGTGTCATTGGGCCTTAATAGGAAGACAGTAGAGGAAACTCGTAGTCAAAGTTCCTTGGGAAAGACGAAATATTGACTCCCAGGCGTGATTCCGCGGGAGAAGATAGTTGGTGGAATAGACCTGGAGCGGCTAGAATACTTATGTCTCGAATGCATAGCCTGCATCTGTGGACTCCGATATGGTGTAGTGGCCAACATGATGCCCTCTCATCCAATGAGAGGTTAGGCATAGCCCCGAGTTCGATTCTCGGTTTCGGAACATTTTTGCGGTTTGGAAGATTGTTTTTATCCTGACGGATTTTGTTTACACACTCGAATGAGATGGATAGATCACATCACCATTCGTTTGTTTGTTCAGTGTTTGTCAACACATGTAGGACTCGCGCTTGCTTCCACTATCTAGCAAATAGGTTTTTTTACGTTCAGAACACTGTCCAAACATTAAACATGCTAAGACGACTCCCCGTGGCATCGCACAGCTACACAACAATATGTATGGACCATACGCAGTCATAGGAGCAGAACACTAGAGCAAAACTTCAATGGAGTGAGTGCCCGCGCACACCCCTTCCTTTGGCGGTTTGTTCTCAGCTCAAAACCTGTACCATGGGCCCTGGATAGCCGAGGCCCTGGGCCTTGCTTGTTTAGAACACCTCCCCGATGGCACTGAGACGAAAAGTTTCGGGTAAAGAGGGGAGGAGGAGGGGGGGAGGGAGGAGGACAGAGCCCCGCGGGGACTGAGATGGGAATGAACCCACCACACCACATCGATTGACTTTGCTGGTTTTGGGGTTTTGGTTATTTCGCTGGTTGTTTGGCCGTTCGGGATTGTTGATTTCAGGGTCTTCCTTACGCCCCCATCACGTTGCGACTGTCATTGTTCTTGACAACGGACCGAGGCTGGAAGCCTGTGCGTCCCCGCTGTAGACGAACGGTCTTGGTAGGCCGTGCCGGTGAGGGCTGCTCGCCCCCTTCTTTTTATACACCCAACCAAGGTGGTGCGCGTCAACTTAAATGCCGAGGCATTGGATCCAGATGGCTTGATGACGCGCCTCGCCAAATGGGCTTGATGAGCTGGGTCTTCGTCCTCATTGTCTCCCTCGCCCCAGACAATGGGAGCTATGAGAAAGGTCGCACCTCTCTCACTCACCTTGAATAGTCATTGAGTTCCCCCACTCTTGGAGGTGGTAAGGGGGTTACCAGGTACACTGACCCCAAGATATGCAGGCCAGAAGCCTACTCTCTCCAAATAGCCACGAGCTCCTGGCCAGCTTGGTGCGACAACGACCGGCCCTTTTATCGAAGGGTTGACGCTTCAGATGGTGGAGGGTCGCGGAGGGGGGAAAGGTTAACTTCTGCAAGGATTGGCACAAAAGGGCCCGTAGCTGCGATTGAAGACGAACAAGCTGAACCAGAGAAGGAAGTTTGATGCGCCCCGGCGCCAGGGTAGGTGGTAAACCAGAAACAGGAACCGGACGCCGGACCGGGTCCGGAGCGGACATCCGACCAAAGGCCCCGACTCCCCTGCTGCTGCTGCTGCTGCTGCTGCCGCCGCCGCAGTAATCCTGACGCTGCAAGTGCTCCTCCGCCATCGTCAGTACATATAACCAGGCTAAAGGGAGTCCCATAATACCCTGTGGAGCCCGGTACTGTCGGCGCCGTCTGCTGTCATCTCTCCCGGGCTGTGTCAGCGCGTTTCGTGCTATGTGTCGGCCGTGGTGGGTGCGCGGACCCATGGTCCCGCTCCGCTGACGGGACGCTCCTCCGACTCCCTGGTATCATATGGATGAGCAAACAGGCAGTCTCTAGGGATGAGAGCCGTTCAGTCACTGTATTGGGATTGTCGGGTTCCTGCCAGGGGCAGTCGGGGAGCGGAGGGGCTACAGGGCGAAAAAACAGACAAGGCGACAGACAGGCCGACGATTGTGAGACATGGAGAGTTTGGGACCAGTCCTGCTCGACGCGCTGCGTCCTGCCTCCCGACCTCCCCCTCCTGCGTTAGGTCTGCATGGATGATGAGACGATAGTAGAGAGGCATCCTACTACCCGTGTGAACGGAGTGGTGCTTTTGCTGGCTCTTCTTCCCTCCTGTTTCGTATTGGAAATGAGCTACGGTGTGAATAATAGTGTTTAGTATCCGTATACGCAGTCAGCCAACATGTACCATTTCGCTAGGACGAAAGGCAATGCCGATTTCCCGATCAAACACGGGTAGGACGGAGCTTGTCGTACCTACAGAGTGATCAGACTGGGGAAGGGGGGAAAGAACGAGGCCCAACAAAAAAAAAATCGGCTGACGAAGATCCCAAGACCCCAAGACCCCAAGACCCCCCTAGGATACCCGCGACCAACCAGTTGGAGGCGTGGCGCGTCGCCCAGAGACCTGGTGCGCATAAGCTATTTCAGGCTAGAGTCACGAGCACCACTGCAAACCTACGCCGTCCCCCTTCGCCCCGCCCCCCCCAAGCCAAGAAGAGGCACAGACCAGACAGGTTGCCTCCCGGCGCCAAGTGTGCATTGCATCCGGTCCATCCACATTTGCTCACCCCTTCGTCCCAAACATAGCTACGTTCTTCCGGGTGGCGTGGTTTTTCTTTATCGATTCCTTCGCCTGCCGCAACTCTTCTCATTTGCATATCTTCTTCTCTTCCTGTCTCTCTCTCTCTTTCTCTTCCTTTCATATACCCCTCTACGCCTTCCGACCGACGAAAAACCGTTCGCCATCAGATCGACCATCATCTGTCGCATTCCGCTTAACCGAAAGGCAATCTTAACACCCCCCGACACCGACGTTGTTAGCCGAGAGGACAAGTAATCTCTTGACACCGCACTCTCCCCTCTCGCTCCTTTCGACCTTCGAACGCGCATCGCCCGTTCTCCTTTCTTGCAACCGCAAATACCACCAAAGCAGCACATCACACAATGGCCGATCACGATAAGCCCCCCGCGTACGGCGGCCCTCCCCCCCAGCAACCCCAACAATCATACCAGGGCTACGGGTCGCCTCCTCCTCCCGGCGGCCCCGGAGGCTACGGCCCTCCTCCCCCGGGCCCTTACTACTCTCCCGGCCCGGAGATGGGATACGGCCCCCAGGGCGGCCCCTACCCGCCCCCCGGCCAGTACCCTCCGGGACAATACCCTCCCCAGGGGTACTACGGCCCGCCGGGCGGCCCGCAGGGCCCCTACCCGCCGCAGGGCGGCTACTACCAGGACAACCGCGGTGGCGGTGGCGGAAGCGGCATCATGGCCGGTCTTCTCGGTGCGCTCGCGTGCTGCTGCTGTCTTGACTGCTTGTTCTAAGCGAGCGCGTGCGTCCAAGAAACAACCAAGGCGGAGTGCGGACTACCAATGATACCCGAACCCTCGAAAGGGCGACAGAGTTAAACCGAGAAAGCCTGATCGGGACGAGCGAGACAAGAGGAAGGGAAGGGATCGATATGGCTTGGGACCAGTGCGATGCTGAGACGCGCGGCGTATATAAGCAGATGTTTATCCTCCGCCTTGCGCGGCAAGGTCGGCATGTATACGACAGAACCAGCCGGCAGACTCGGGGAAAGGGAGCGATAGAGCAGCAGCAGCAGCAGCCGACTGGGGCGGCGCTGCGCTGAACTGAGCTGAGCTGGCAGTACATTTGCATTGTCAATGGGAAAGGGGGGCTTTCCCCCGTGTGAGTTTTGCGCGGCGTCAAAAGGGTGACGGAATCTTATTCATTCTCGTGAGCAATCAAGGAAGGAAAGCTAGCAACGGGCGCTTCGGAGGCTCGCGTGGAGATGGTGGGGATTTGCTTCTACGCTTTACGCAAATTCCCCTTCTCGCTTTGTTCTGCGCGGGATTCGGGTTTTTTTTTGTTGTCGGTGGATTTGAAGAGCTTAGGAAGCCTAGGAAAGGCCGTGATGCGATCGCACCCTTCCCTATAGACGAGTTCCGAAGTAAGTAGCGGATAGCATAATATCATCATGGATCCAACTTGACCTCTACCCCACCTCTCCCTCCTTACTGTGTGAACGTGAACGGAGCACGCCCGTGGGCTGAGCTGAGCTGAGCTCGAGTACGGGGTACAAGCCTGGACCGTCCGTCACCGAGGTGGCTTGGCCGACTGCACACAATGCGTCCTAGGCAAACGCCATGGTTTCCACCAGGCAGAGCACGAACATTGAGCCAACATAGAACGGCAGGCTGCAAGGTAGCTACAATCAGATAGCTATTCATGTGCAATCCAAAAATATGTACATCTATGCTGCGCTTTTGTACAGCTCCTCAAAGTCTCGCCGGATGTTGGCCATGCAGTCATTAGTGTAAATCATCCGCTGCACGTCGGGCGAGGCCCACTTGTCCGGGACGGAGCCGGCCGACTTGTGCTCGGCGAACATGCGGTCGCGCTCCTCCTTGGCCTTGCCCTCGCCGAGGTGCAGCTGCTTCCCCGACAGAAAAGCCATGTTGACGAGCTGGGCGGTCCAGTCACGGCGCGAGAGCTCGTACGCCTTGAGGCAGCGCCGGAGGGTCTTGGGGTCGGTGTCGGGCGCGCGGGAGAGCACCTCGGCGACGACGGAGCCGTCCTCGATGGCCATGGCGGCGCCCTGGCTGAGATGCGGGAGGGTCGGATGGCAGGCGTCGCCGAGGAGGGCCACGGGTCCGTCCGTGTGCACCCAGGTCGGCAAGGGCTTGTGCATGCGCAGGCGCCACTCGCAGACCTCGCCGTCCGGGACAAGGTTGAGCATGCGGTGAACCAACGGGCAGAAGTCGTGGAAGACGTCGAGCATGGCCTTCTTGGAGCCTTTTGTGGTGTAAGTGGCGTTGGTGGTGGCGGCAAAGTTAGAGTCAGGCTGCGTCGTGGATAGATTGTACATGTTGTGCGAGGAGACGGGGTAGGCGATGATGTGGCGCTTCTCGCCTATCCAGCGAACGACCTCGTCCGAGTCGAGGAGGGCAAGGAGCTCTGGATCATCAGCCATCTGCTCGCGAGTAAGCATGATGCGGTAGGCGGCTTGACCGGTTTCCTCCTCGCCGCCGACGGCACCAACGGAGTTGAGGAGGGAGCTGCGGACGATGCTCTTGATGCCGTCGCATGCGAGGAGGATGTCGGGCTCAACGGAGTAGGCCTCGCCGCCGCGTGGCTGTGCCGTGAAGATGGGCTTGGGCGCAAACGAATCGATGGATGCGAGCGCCGTCGCGAAGTGGAACGTGATCGCGGGCTCCTTCTTGCAGGCGTTGTACATACCGCCGGCGAGCGAGGACCGGTGGTCGTTGCAGTGCGGGTGGCCGTACAACCCGCGGATGTTGGGCATGTCTACGTGGGCGAGCTCGACGTTTGTTGCCCCCTCTGTCTGCAATGTCAATCCCAAGGGCTCTCTTTCTCTGTCTCTCTCTACCTCTCTCCGGAACAGGGTGCGGGGAGCGTTTACGTCTAATGCTTGAGCCTTTAACGTCGGTACACGTCTTCTCGATGTCGGGCCAGCAGCCAAGGCGGTCGAGGACCCGGACGACGTTTGGCGGCATCTGGATTCCCGCGCCAACGAAACCGAGATTGGAAGCCGTCTCATAGACGTCGATGTGTTTGAAGCCTTTCTTGGCTAGCGCCAGCGCGCATCCCAACCCACCCATGCCTGCGTGGGATCATGTTAGTCTGGAGAAGTACGGAGAGACGGGCGTGTGGTACCGGCGCCAATGATGGCGATCGTCAAGTCTTTTGGGTTTGACATGGTTCTGGAAACAGATGCCGTAGTGTTTCTCTGAAGCGTAGTAAACCGTAGAGGTCAACTCGACCAGATCTTACGGAATTTCCATTCCATCACTTTTTTATGAAGTCGGCGCGTCGAGACTCACGTGGGGAGGAAGCGGGGGATCGGAGGGGGAGCTCGGGGTTCATCATCGGCTTGGGAAGTGGGGAAGGAGGCACGAACAATGAGGGGGAACGCGGACGGTTCGGTATCTCCTAACTCCCCCCCCCCCGGCCCATTGTAGGTTGGTAAGGGGGCCGGGATCGCAAGACGGGAAGTGAGAAAGGTTTGATGAGCTATCATCCAGGCGCTGCGGGGTTAGTGCGAACATTAATTACTGCCCAGCTCGAATTCGGGCTGTCAAAGTTGCTGGAAGATTCATTCATCGTTGGAAAGACTCGGCTTATCAGGCGGGTAGGCGTCGGGTGTGAATGTCGGCAATGCAATGATGGATATGTGTCGAGGGTGCTGCGCTGTGGTAAATGTGGCTTGCTAGCTGCATATTGACAGCTGCGGTTGTCACGGCGGATGGATAGTGTGGCTTGGAGCGAAGAGGCTGTCCAGGTTTAGGGAACATCCCCGCGAGAGAGCGTCTTGCTACCCCGGTGCCGAAACTGATATGATTTGCTTCAGTTGCTTAAGTCGTTCAGTGGAACCCGATCTTCCCTAGCTGGTCGAAAAAACGGCTGGGACATGGCATGCGGCAATGCTGTCGATACTTTGAATCGATATCAAGGTTCCCATCTCATGTGATGGCTAGTATTTATGTGTGCTCAGGTGCTGCTCGGGACTGTCGTGGTTGTGCCAAGAAATGGTCTTCCTCTTTCACTGATAGTTTCCGCTAGCCCTTGTGGGGTAATTGCCTCGGCATGCTTGGTGACGCAAACCAACTCTTCAGTGGCTTGTGGGCATAACAGCTGTCGATTCCCATGGTTGGAAATCGCATCCACGGGGCCGCACCTCGGCGAAAGCTTCGTCTTGCGAGCCGCATCGAGTACAGAGAGGTCGGCTTGCAACAAGAGTTAGAAACCAAGGCGACACGTGTTGCCAGTTTCCTCGGCGAGTCCGCGACGTAGGGCGTTTGTTTGCCTTCCAACGGGTGGCACCTCTACACAGCCACGCAACCACGCACCCCTGTGGCCGTGGCACCGCTATTGGGTTGACCGGTGAGGGAGCATGTTCAAGTGTGGAGAGGGGGTTCCTGGCGGATTCGCCTTGTCCGCGCAGGGGGCCCCCGGTTGAGGCATCGCGGGCGACGACCAGCCGCAACAAATGAGGTTTGGTTTCCACGTCTTTGTGTCGTACTTCGTACACTACGTGTAGTGGCAAACAAACAAAACAATGTTCTCTGTGCTGTGCTGTGGAGCAGAGAGTAATGAAAGGTGCTGCTGTTCCCCCGGCTCCCCAGAGAGACAAACGAATGAGCAACTGCAGCTGTGTTCAGGGGTAGAAAAGGGCTTGGATCAAGGAAACAAGGTGGTTGGCTAAGATTTGGTCGTCGTTGTTGGGACGAAGCGCGCGCTGATCTATTTACGACGTGCGTCAGCGTGGCGCGTCAATAGGCGAGACGGCGAATGGGGTTGTGTACTGAGTGTACCTAGAGGGTTTACTGAGTGCATAGTACGGATACCTAGGTAGCACATGAGGTACGGATAGACAGCAACATAGTTTCCTGCTCACAGATGGATGCTGTCGCTGACTGATTGCCTGGTGAGTGTACTCTACGTATTCGCGCACAGCCCGAAAGTTAATCGAGGAGTGCGTTGACAGCGTGACGGGTGATTGGACCGCAGGCCACCAGCGAAGCTGCTCGAAATGCTAATACCTAGTGGTGGCACAGAGTCATGGCGAACCGCGACGGGATCCCACTTTGTCCCGCAGAAGTGACAGGGGCCCGTTTCGTTTGGAGCGAGCGGCCAATGAAGCCGCTGATGTCACAGGTCCAGGATCTCTGAAGCGAAGTCGGATACCTTGTCTTTGCGGGCCCGCAGCAGCTGAAGCAGCAATAGCAGGTGCAACCACCCCTGCTCGGCACCCTGTAAGGTTGCATCCTGCACCCTGTCCAGCCAATCAATCAATCATATCAACTCTGGTCAAAACCCTTTGACTGCCATTGCTCGGCACCGTCTTCTTTTACCTCGTCGACTCTTCATTAACTGCTTGTCCGCCCGCTGATCTTGGAAGCTGTCCGTCACCGCGGTGCCTGCTCACCACCGACAGCGGTAGATAGCTCAACCATACGCTGTCCCCTTTTTTCTTCAAAGCGACACGAGTCAAAACCGCCCTACAACAAAACTATGACATCTATTCTGCTGGTCTCGTGAACGACATCCCTCTCTCCCTCGGTTCCCTCATTTCTCCCCGGCAGAGAAGAACGCTCTTCCTCGGCCACTTCGACTCCACACCTACCCGACGACTCTATCCACACTTCCCTCGAGCCTGGCCACAAGCTTGCGATTGGCTATTGACGACAGGTCGGCACAAATAGTGCAAGATGTCGGCAACTTCCACCACGACGCCTTCAAGTTCGGCGTCACTGACGGGGACGCTTGCCTCATCGTTGGCCTCGTCTCTGTCAACAGCCCTGTCTGCCACAGTCTCTGCCACCATAAGCCCAAACGGAACCATATCCTCTTCTGTATCATCAACCACATCCGCGTCGCCCCCGCCCACTACTTCGGTCGCACTGCCTGGTGTTAATGTGGAGAGATATCAAGGGATAACTCTGGTTGCGTTCCTCACTGCTCTGGCAACTGGTATCACGGTTTTCGCCCTTCAGTTTATTGCCTTCTTGCTTCTGCGGAACAAGATTGCGCGCATCTTGTGAGTGGGCCTCCTCTGAATCATCTCCGTGGCCTATGGCTGACAGAAACGCGGCAGTAAACCAAAGACATATCTTGTTCCAGAACGCGAAAGAACAGAGAGTCCTCCAAACACGCCATGGAGCCTCCTCAGTACAATGATCCACTACAACGAACGCGAGATCATCAAGAAGTGCGGCTTGGACGCCTACTTCTTTCTCCGCTACCTCAAAACCCTACTTACAATCTTCATACCTATTGCCGTCATTGTCATCCCTATCCTGACCCCCCTCAACTACAGCGATGGTGTGGGTCATGACTTGGTCACTGACGCGAAGAACGAGACCATCAACGGAACGAGCTCCGCCCGAGTCCGTCTCAGAATCAGAGCCGGCGAATCGGCCAACAGCGAAGCCAAGGATATTCCTACAGGCCTAGATACCTTAGCCTGGGGCAATGTTAGCAACACCCATACCGGCCGGTATTGGGCACATCTGGTTCTGGCGCTGCTCGTCATCATATGGGTCTGCACAGTCTTCTTTTTTGAGCTTCGCGTTTACATCAAAGTCCGACAGGATTACTTGACGAGTGCCGAGCACCGCCTCCGAGCCTCAGCCACGACCATCCTTGTCAACAGCATTCCTTCCAAATGGTTGTCAGAGGAGGCTTTGATGGGTCTGTTCGACGTGTTCCCTGGCCAAATTCGGAATATCTGGCTCAACCGCGACTTGACCACACTGCTTGAGAAGATCCAGCTGCGCGAAAGTATCCACTTGAGATTGGAGGCCGCTGAGACGGAGCTCGTGAAAGCTGCAAAGAAGAAGCAACTCAAGGTGAAAAAGAAGGAAGACAAGGCGGCCAGAAAACAGGCCAACGCCAAGGGGCCAACCAGGCAGGAAGAAGCCCTCAGGCGGCAGCGAGAGGATGCCGAAGCCAAGAAGAGGGCCGAGGCTGGTCAAGGTTTCAGCTCTGGCGAGCACGAGGATGTTCCCCACGACATCAGCGCGATCATCGATGAGAACAAGGACCCGAAATCAAGACGGTCAAGTACCTCGTCTTCGGACTCATCGGACGACGGTAATCAACCGCAGTCCAGGGGCTTCGGCCTTGGGCTTCTTGGGGGCGGCATTAATAAAGTCAGCAAAGGCTTCCTCGGCGGTGTCGGCAAAGCCCAGCAAAACTTCAAGGAATTCAGCGATGATGTGGAGGAGACCGTTGAGACAACCAATGGCTTCGCGATGCTGCATCCAAGCGAACGTCCTCGCAGAGTCCAAATTCTGACCGAAGGCGAACGACCTGAAACGCCCAAGAGTACAAGAAGCATCACAGAGCAAGCCGAGCCATCTACGAATACACAAACGTACAAGACGCACTCCCGAAATGTATCCGGCGTCTCCCAGGCCACCACCGACCAGAACTACAAGCGAAGTTACGAACCATTTGGCAACGGTAACACGGTGCGCAAAGTCAGCAACCTGGACCACATGTACGACAAGGAACAACGCAAGTTCTGGCAATTTTGGAAAGCCCCTGCTGGCGGCTACGCATCGCCCGTGCCTCAGGGATTCAACGAAGGCGAATTCCCTTTTGGTCAGTCAAAAGACAAAACTATGTGGCAGAAAATCAAGGCCTACGTTCCCTTTATGGGCGGAGCCGAGCAGGCACCCGTCGACTACCCCGAATCCAACGCCATCGGTGGCGAGTACAAGAACATCTTGGACGATGATGCCGAGTGGCGCAAGTGGGTCAAGGAGAAGGACCGGCCGATGCACCGGCTACCACGATGGGGCTTCCCCGACTGGCTCGCCTGGCTTACTTTCGGCCCCAAGGTTGATACCATCTATTGGTGCCGGTCTGAGCTGGCGCGTTTGAACGTCGAGATCGACGACGATCAAGCTCACCCTGAACGCTACCCTTTGATGAACTCCGCCTTCATCCAATTCAATCACCAGGTCTCGGCGCACATGGCTTGCCAAAGTCTCATGCACCACGTCCCGAAACACATGTCACCCCGAATCAACGAAGTTTCGCCCAAGGACGTCATCTGGGACAACATGGCCTTGAAGTGGTGGCACGAGTCCATCCGGTCTGGTATCGTCACCGTCGTCATTGCGGCCATGGCCTTTTTCTGGGCCATCCCCATTGCCTTTACGGCTTCCATTGCCAACATTGACAGTCTCGTGCAACAGTTTCCCTGGCTGAAATGGATCAAGAAGGATCCCGTCGAGAAGGTCGCTGGTGCCATCGCTGGTGTCTTGCCCGCTATCCTGCTCGCTCTCCTCCTTTTGATTGTCCCCCTGATTCTCGAACAGCTTGCGCTCTTCCGTGGCGTCAAGACCGGGTCACAAAAGGCCGAGTTCGTCCAGCGCTTCTATTTCATTTTTCTTTTCATCCAAGTCTTCCTCGTCGTGTCGATTGCTTCGTTCTTTGTTGCATCATTCGACGAGCTGTTGAGCAACTTTGAGCAGCTCTCAAATGTTACCAACATTCTGAACATCCTCGCCAGGAATCTGCCCAGGGCATCCAACTACTTCTTCTCTTACATGTTGCTTCAGGCGCTCTCTGTCAGCTCCGGAACACTGCTCCAAATCGGTGGCCTGCTCACTTGGTATTTCCTGGCTCGAATCTTCGATACTACGGCTCGCGACAAATGGAAAAGGAACACGACCCTCTCGTCGATTGCATGGGGTCAATTCTTCCCGGTTTACACCAACTTCGCCTGCATCGCCTTGGTGTACAGTGTAGTTGCGCCCTTGATTTCCCTGTTTGCAGTCTTGACGTTCGGTCTGTTATGGTTCGCGCAGCGTTACAGCATGTTGTACGTCACGCGCTTCGAGACCGACACAGGTGGTGTCCTGTATCCCCGCGCGATCAATCAGACGTTTACAGGCTTGTATGTTATGGAGGCTTGCTTGGCAGGCTTGTTCTTCATCGTCCAGGACGAGAATGGAAAGAATACTGCAACGCCGCAGGGCGCCATCATGCTGGTAACGCTTCTCCTCACGGCAATCTACCAAGTTTCGCTGAACACGTCCTTCGGCCCCCTGTTCCGATACCTGCCTATCACTATCGAGGACGAGGCGGTAATCAGGGACGAGGCATTCCAGCGAGCTCAAAACCGACGTTTGGGACTCACCAACGACGACGACGACGATGGCATGGGGGACGAGAAGACGCCGATGTCAAATGGTGACCGAGCCAGAACAGGACCTCGCGGTATTGAACTGCAGAAGATGAACAACACGGGTGCGCCGAACCGGAAGCCATCGACGATGCGTCGGGTCAAAGACGTCGGCCACTGGGCCAAGCGGGAAGGCAAGAACCTCCGTAGCAAGACCTGGAACCTGGGAGCAGCTCCCGTCCACACGGCAGCCGAGTACCGCCGCCAGCAGCGACTCAAGGACCTCGAAGCCCAGCGGGCGCTCGGGGAGGCGCTGTACGGCGGGTTCCACGACGAAATCGAAGACTTGACGCCCGCTGAGCGTGATGCACTCGTTAAGAACGCGTTCAAGCATTACGCTCTGCGAGCACGAGCACCCGCTGTGTGGATCCCCCGCGACGATATCGGGGTCAGTGATGACGAGATTCGTCGCACAAAGGAGTACAGTGAGCACATTTGGGTCAGCAACGAGGGAACGGCGCTGGACAGTAAGGTCCGCGTTGTGTACGGTGCTAACCCGCCGGATTTCTCAGAGATTGACATTATCAATCTCTAAGTCGTGTTGATACGGGGTTGTTTTCTTTTCGAACCATGTGATATACAAACATACGCATATACCCAGCCGGCGTTAGGGGAGCCTATCAGTAGTGGATAATAGTCTTAAAAAGTAGCATTAACAGCGTTAACTATTCATTAAAACATACTCTCGGTTCAACACAGTGGAAGTTCGCTCGCTCCATGAATAGTGATGTGAGATACGTAAACCATCGACACAAGGAAGAGTTCAGACGATGTAATCATACCCGGCTTATAAATCAATCGAGAACGATGACGTTGGGGATTGGCTAAGATTCAGTCAGAACTGGGCGAAGGCCGCATTCCCCGCACTTTGTATATACCAATGGCGGTCTTGTTCTCAAGCCCGGCGCAGTACCAAACTTCACAGTCCACATACACACACTCTGCTTTTGACGCCAAAACACACCCCCAGACGAAAAGACGAAAGGAATCAAGAGGATAAAAAATGACCAAGTCGGGAAAGGCCTCGGCCGTCGCGAACGGAACCACGATCGCCGAGGCGACGGAGTGGGAGGAGGTTGAGGGCAACGTCTACTTCCCACCCTCGGCGGTGCGGGCAGACGCTCTGGAGAAGTCGGAAACGACGACGTTCTGCCCGTGGAAGGGGACCGCGAGCTATTACTCGGTCAAGGTCGGCGGTGAGCCCCCCCTCCCCCCCCTTTTCCCCCACATCTTTCGCCACGTCCATTGTCTCTTCGGCTGCCCTGTACTGCTACACAACCTCGCTGCCTGAGATGAGCGGCATAGGTCCGCTAGGAAGAGAAGTGGAATAGGGCTGACGCCAGGGTGGTTGGCGGCACAGACGACAAGCTGAAGGACGCGGCTTGGTATTACCCTGCGCCTAAGGACGGGGCCAAGGAGATCAAGGACCACGTCGCCTTCTGTGAGTACTCCGAGCCGCCGTGTTGGGGGAGACCGTTGGGCTGAAGGATTGGTATCGTCTAGACAAGAGCAAAGTCACTGTTACTGTTGAGTAAAAAGGGACTCTGAACGAGCTGCCGGGTCAGACCGCGCGCATCGGGCTTGACCCCGGACGTTGCTTAGAAGGTACTAGTTTCGCCGGTGGGAGAATGGCGAGAACAAATCCGGTTCGGAAAGTTGCCACACCTGTCATCCCTGGTTCGGATATTTGAGTGTCCTTGAGTGAAGAATTCGCCAGTGAAGGGTAAGACGTGCGCGTATCTGACGGCTCCGACCGTGGGGCGTGAGCTTGTGAGCGCTTCGATATCGGGGGTGAGTTCATTATGGATGAACGGGAAACGTACCAGGGGGTCTGCCCAAAAGTGATTCTCGTCTGGGATCAACTACTCAGCCACGGAAAACCGCGCCGGGACCCGCGCACATAATGAGTACTGCAGGGCTCAGGTCTACACAAACGCATGGGGTCCGGTGGGTAGTGTATGGCACAAATACCATCATCACACTTTTCATGATTGTCCTATGAACCTGGGTATCCCTCTCTACGTAAGCCATAACCGAAGGAAAACTCATCACAGGCCTGTCTAGACCTCCACGATCTCCTCGTCGTCGTCATCGAGCTCCTCGACCGTTGAGCCGTTGGTCAGCTCCTTGAGCTTCGGCTGCTCCTCGCCTTCGGCCGGCTCCTCGTCTCTCATGAGGACCTGCACCAGCCGGTCGCAGGCGTCCTTGACGCCCTCGTCGTTGACCCGCGCGTGCGTCTCTCGAATGATGGGGTAGACCTTGACCCGTCTCAATAGATCGCGGCCTTCCCTAGTCGTTGTGAAGAGAAGCAGCGTTTCAATGTGAGTCTGGATGATCTTCGGGTCCGAGTCACGCTTCTTGTCGGGCGGCAGCAGCTGCAGGTCAGGAAGCATGCCCATGGTGTCGTCTTCGTCGTACTCCTCGCTGCCCGTGATTGGAAGAAGAATATACGGCAGAATATCGACCTCGTCCTCGTCCATGAACGTTGAGTGGAACTGGATCTCGAAGGCGACGTTCTTGATGGTGCTCGCGACTCCCTTTCTGCGGATCTCGGACGAGTGCTCGGTAAAGACCTTGAGCTTGGTGATGGGGATGACATCGTCGTAGTCCTGCCTCGTTACGAAGTGCTGGCGCACCTCGGCGTGCTTGGTGAGATCGGCGAAGAGGTAGGCGAGGTAGTCATAGTTGGCATCCTTGTTGTAGGCGCCCTTCTCCTTGACGAAGAGATCGACAAGCTGGTTGAGAACCAGGTCGTTGGACTTGAGTTCTGCGGGCGGCGTTTGCTTCTTTGAGACGATGCTGTTGAGACCATCCCACTTTGCCAGGTTGGCAAGTAGCATAGCCATCGAGTTGGCGTTCGGCTCATCGGGTTTCTATAAGGGGTGTCAGTCGATTTATGATGTCTCTGTGAGGGTGTTGCTGTGCCTACCACAATCAAGTCCAAGAGAATATCAATGAACCTCTGATCTGTCGCAACGTTCTCAAGAACATCCTTCTCAGAAGTAAGGTTGATGAGGATTGTGAGAGCATGTTCGGCGATTTGCTTGAATCCGTTAGTTGAGAGGCTGCAGCCGAAAGAGCCCGATTATGAGTCTTGCGTACGGGATGATCTCTGACTAGAAATTTGAGATGCTTGACTGGTGTAAGATTCTCCGACTTGAAGATTGAAGGGTCCGCCTGAGAGTAGCCGACCAGGTTCTCTATGGCCACTTTTCTGAGTTGAGGGTTGGGATGAGCGATGAAGCCCACGAGCTGTCGTTGTATGAGCGTGAGTCCACGTGATGCTTTGATCATGCGGCCTTACCTCTTCCAATTCCGTTGGCATTTTGATGTTCCTCAAGTTTATATGCTGTAAAATTTAAGGGAAATATGCAAATGTTCGAATAAGTGCCAGCTTTTAACTTTGTTCCAAGAAAATTGTCTCGCTTTCTCTGTAAGACAGGCCGAGAGAGTCACTCGCAGAAGCTTTTTGGTGGGGTATTGTGGCGGGGCAGTCGCTGTGTCCGCCTATGAAGTCAACAACAGGGCGTTTGATTGGCTAGAAAGTCTTTGCAACCCGCTAAAAGCCGGTCCAGGGTTCTGGGAACTTCAGGCGCGGGGCAATCGATAAGAAATCAAAAATTTCTGGCTCGGGCACAAAGGGAAAAAAAAAAAAAAAAAAAGGCAACCGCCAATCCCGCATGCGTTTCGCTCTCCGTCACGATCACATTGTGTCCGAGTATCTCGAAAATGGGCAAGGCAACCACCCCGACCGACCGCCAGGCGCGCAGGCACAACCCCCTGCAGGATGATATCCTTGCTACGGGTCCTTTGAAGAACAAGGCCCCTAAGCAGAAGAAGAAGGGCAAGGGCACCCAAGATGACGACGACCACGGCGAGGGTTTTGTCGATGCGACACGCAGTCGCACCATTCTCAGGCTAGGCCGTGAGCTAGCCGAGGAGGACGGCCCCGCGAAGCCAGCAGCCGCTGCGAAACCGACCGTCGACCTTTTCGGAATCGAATCAAGATACGGTGTAGATGTTGGTGACGAGCAGGCGTACGAGGACGAGGAGGCCTGGGGTGAGGAGGATGAGATTGTTGAGGAGATTGAGATCGATCCTGAGGACCTCGAAACCTATCGCAAGTTCTTGCCCGAAGCTGAGGACGATCCTGCGGCGATGTTAAACCAGCACGGTTGGGGCAGCAAGGGTCCCGACGACGAAATGGCTGGCGGTGGCACCAACCTGACCGAGCTCATCTTGGAGAAGATTGCTGCACACGAGGCTGCCGAGGCTCGTAAAGCAGCCGGTGTACCGGCGGTTGACGAAGACTACCAGCTTCCCCCAAAGGTTATCGAAGTCTACACAAAGTAAGTGGTGTGGCCGGGTGTGTTGCTGTGAAAATCATTGCTAACCATGACTAGGGTCGGCTACATTCTGTCGCGATATAAAAGCGGCCCCCTGCCGAAACCCTTCAAGGTCCTGCCAACTCTGCCGCACTGGGAGGACATTATCCAGATCACCGAGCCTCAAAAGTGGACACCTAATGCCGTGTACCAGGCGACCAGAATCTTCTCGTCCTCAAAGCCCCTCGTTTGCCAGAAGTTCATGGAGATCGTCGTCCTCGACAAGGTCCGCGAGGACATCTATGAGAACAAGAAGCTGAACGTGCACCTTTTCAACGCGCTGAAGAAGTCCCTATACAAACCCAGAGCGTTCTTTCTCGGCTTCTTGTTCCCTCTGCTTTCTAGCGGCTGCACGATTCGTGAGGCGCACATCGTCTCTGCAGTGCTTGCGAGAGTGTCGGTGCCAGTGCTCCATTCCGCTGCCGCCCTGAAGGGCATCACTGAAATGTACGTGTTTAGTTTATCGCATGTATTCTTGCAAGAATGCTGACATCATTGTAGTGCGGCCCAGGAAGCCTCGCAAGGCACCGAGGGTGGTGGAGCTGCCAACATCTTCATCAAGACTTTGCTGGAGAAGAAGTACGCTCTTCCGTACCAGGTCATTGACTCGGTCGTTTTCCATTTCTTGAGGTTCAGAAGTGTGGACCCAGCATCGATCAAAGAAGGCCAGTCGGTCTCCGGAGACATGGTCAAGTCGCTGCCTGTTGTCTTCCACCAGAGTTTGTTGGCTTTCGCCCAGAGATACAGGAATGATCTAAGCGAGGACCAAAGAGAGGCGCTTCTTGACTTGCTCTTGACGCATGGTCACCACTCGATCGCACCGGAAATCCGAAGAGAACTGCTGGCTGGCAGAGGGAAGGGTGTAGCGGTTGAGGAGCAGGCCGCTCCATTTGACGGCGATGACACGATGCTTGTTGACTGACCGAAACGAAAATTGGGATATGGGAGTTGGAGCTTGGCCAGCCCCGGGGTACTAGAAGGCGTTAGCAGGTCTGATTTGATACCCGTAATCCTAACCGAATGGATGCTGAGAAACCCACGGCCGTATTACCTGTTGTGCTTATGGATATTGAGTGTGCTCTCTCTATTCCAACACCTTATCGTATGACTGAAGCGGACAAGCACTTCGTACCCATACTTGATTAGGGTCCTGCCACTTTAACGATTTGCCAGGTACATTGTCGCTGCTTCTCAAAATACGTCGCCAACGGGGGTAAGTGCACATCAAAACGGCACAGTCTACCTAGGTAGGTGTCTGGAGTGACACTTTCCCGCCCTATGATACAAATAGATATAGCTTCACCTTCAACATCTCTTTGTCCCTACCTCATCGATTGGGTATTATTTTGCATTTCTCCCCGTTTCCGTATCTACCTAAAACCGACCTACTCTATACCCTGGAACAACCTTTTATCTCACTTGGTTCTATCATTTCCACTCAACATCATTATTCACCTATAGGGTCAAAGGGATTATGGTCGATGCTTCTATTCTTAGGAGCACTTATGGAACGACCCGGGAGCGACCAACCGTTAGGCGTCGTGACGTCTCCAAACCCCTTCAGCTTCCGAAGGAGGTCGTAAGACTGTGGGAAACTTGAGAGGACAAATATGGATACTGACGGGTGTCACAGTTCGTCCTCACAATCGTACCCCGCAGCCCGCCGTGATATGCAAAGGCTCTCATTCAAGACAGCTCTTCAAGTCACTTTCCCAGACACTCCAGGCGATAGCTGGGATGGTAGCAGCACGCCTAATCCAGTTCTCAGAGATGGTTACTTTGGGAAGTCGACGACAACAGAGTCCCCTTCATCCCGATCGCCAACGTCCCAGTGGGCTCCCTGGCTCACACCCAAATCTACTTCTACTAGGCGGTCGCCCCAAGATCTACTGTTGACACCGATGCCAACACTCGCCTTTGATCCACCAAGGTCCCCCAAAGAAGGATTCGAATAGGTTTGGTTCCCTGCCGGGTACTGGGCGGAAAGAGAAATTGTCTCCAAAGCGTCACGAAGAAGCAGCGGCAACAAACGTTGGGAACGGTTGATCAGGCAAAGAAAACCTCGAGAACCTGCTGGCAGCGAATCTGGAACCCACCCTCGGAACATTCTCGGTACCAGCGAGCCCTTAAGTCCCATGTCCGAGGAAGCCCTCGTCTTATCTCTACAACAACCGGGAACACCAGGAACCCCTGAGCCAATGAGCAGCAGTGGCAAACGAATGCCTGGCATCTCACAGACTATGAATACCATGTCTCAAAATGTTGGAGATAAGGTGTTGGGTTTTCAGCCACCTCTAATATCAACCCATTGCAGGCAATCCGCAACAACGAGCATCAAGAGTCGGAAAGGAATCAACCTTCCCTCCTTTTTTAAGTTCAAAGTAGTGGGTACCGCCGCTTCGAAATTGCACAATGCTCAACTTCTGACACTTGTGAAAAGAAACCAGCCGAAAGCAATGCCTCAGTACCATATCATCAGCAGGTGACCGAGTTGATGAAAGACACTTCGACTGCATCGGTGACCAAAGCTCTGAGTTGGTTCACCAACAAAGAAGAGCAGCCCGGGTCGAAACATGGAACTGGCTGGTTTGGAAAAGCGCCATGGCATCGAAAAGACTCTGACGAAACCGTCAGCAGTGTCCCAAGTTCGGTTCGGGAAGTGCTGGCTGGGAAAACACCACCAGCAACGCCCGATCCCGACAGTTTCTACTACCGTAAACCCATCAACCCGCTGTTGCGCCCAATGCTCAGAGGCTAATGTCAAATATCAGGCCAAATCGACTATACCACAACCCCATATCCGGCTGGAGTGAGCGCTGTCATTGAACCTTGAAAATATCACGTGTTAACGGTCCAAATAGGAGGCCACCCGCGTAAAAACTCCACCTACACACGAAGAAACCGCCGACGGAAAGCCACGCGGGTTCTTTACCGAGATGCTACCGCCTAGAAGGAATGAGGACACCTGGAGCCCGTTGCAAACTTACAAATCGGCAAGTGCGAAGCGATTACAGGGGAAATGTGGTGATACTCTTCCTAAAAAGCCCAAGGAATGGTGGGACGCGAAGCAGCGAACGCAATCCAGAAAACTGACATCGCTGCCAAAGTTTGAGTTCGACGTACCGGAGCATCTTCCAAATAGCCCGATGTGTCCAGCAAACCCCAAACATACCTCGGGCGGCAAAGGGCTATGCATCTATCACGGGAGAAGGAAGACGGGGTCTACGCTCAAGGTTGAACATGAGCGATAGACGCCAAGGCTCGGAAGTATACATCACCTTACAGACCGAAGAGCGATGGCGAGAGGGGATCTGATTGACGAGTTGATGTCAACCATACAGTGAAACCTTGTATATACGCAGAGATTGACCCCTAGAAGATAGTCTTGTCCCCAGCTAACTGGCATCATGCATGTCTAGGTGCTGCTAATAGTGTTTGGATGGGATGAGAGGCGAAATTACACGACGGTAGAAAGTGTGGCGCAGCGAGCTCTAGTACTCCACTAACAGTGGTTGGTTGTGGCGGGTGAACCTAGCAGCTGAGGCTGAACCTCCCGGCCCCAAAATTCGAGGCTGCCAAAGTCCAAATCATAGGTGCTTCATCGTCAATTCCCGGCGTGCTCAATTCGCCCGGCTCATTGCGTTTTCGGGCTATTCTTCCAGGCTATCGAAAACTCTAGACACTCACTTCAAACCCATTTGGTACCGCCTTTAATCTCTACAATGGCCGCTGTTGAGCAGGATCCTTTGCTCCTGCTGCGGCAATCCATCGCATCCAAGCGACCTGCAGTCCCGACAGCGTCCGCCGATGCTTCTGCACCCGAGGTGCCACTCTCGAAAGCCACTCATCTGCTGTTCTCCCACCCAGCTCCCATCTCAGTATCTCTTTCTACGCCTACACGCTTCATCTCTAGCGACCGCCCCGTCGACTTACGATCGATCTACTTCGCGTGGCTGAATAAGGATGTTGCTATTCCCGAGTACAACGCAAGTGCGACCCGTCTCAACGAGGAGTTAGGCAGCCTCGGTAAGGTCCAGAATCTTGCCTTCGTCGAACGTCTGGATCTGTTCACCTGGTTGGAAGGTGCTAGTGAGGAGAGTGAACACATCAAGCCGTTGGCTGGCGACAAAGAAGGCAAAGAGGGGGCTGGCGCGAGCGCGTCCAAGACTGCTCCGGCGACGGCGGCAAGCCGAGCTGGACGTGGCACGTTGGACCCCCGACTAGCGGTCATCTACAACGGGGAGCGCAAGATGGGGGACCGCAACTCTGTATTGCGCGGCGTGAAGCCTACAGTAAGTTGCGCGTGGCCCCAGATGTTGATTCCCGTGTGACTAACGCGAGCTTTGCTAGGACTTTTCCCATGTCCGTAAACTCGCCGTTCCGTTTGTCCAGAAGAAGCCTCACGGTGCATCGAGCACCGGCACAAACCCGTCGCTCCCTATCAATCAGAAGCCTCCGACGCGTCGGCCGGATCCCATCATCCTCCTGTCGCCGTCCGCGTCATCCTTGCTTCGCCTGTCCAATATCCGATCCTTCCTGGAGGGAGGCCGTTATGTGCAACCTGATGGCAGCGCCGCTGCCAGTATGTTGCACGTCTCTCGCATTATGAAGGATATTGACCCCTCGCGGCCCATGCGCTTCATCCTCGTCGAAGGCCCCGAACAGTTCAAGCCCGAGTACTGGAACCGCGTCGTCGCTGTGTTCACTACGGGTCAGTCGTGGCAGTTCAAGAACTATAAGTGGAGCTCTCCTCCAGACCTGTTCCGCCGCATACTGGGCATCTTCATCGGCTGGCGTGGTGAGCAGCCGCCTGACAGCGTCAAGGAGTGGGGTCACCGCGTGTTGCAACTCGGCGTCGACAGATGGCGCGATGGTACTGGAGCTCAGGAGGCTGCGAAGTTCAGGGACAAGGAGGCTGCAGAGTCAGTCTGGAGGGCCATTGAGGCGAATATGAAGAACAAGGGATGGACGAAAACCACCGCGCCCACCCAGCTATAAGGGATGAAAGGGGGTGCGATCAAGGCGGTCACAATCAGACAAAGACGATGAAAGCCTCTGGGCACTCGCACCAAGATGGCCACAAACTTACATTGTATGTACCAACAAATGGGGCTGGAAAATAAATTACAGCGAAGGCGTTCAAGGGCTATGTTTACGCCGGGCGGTTGGCGAGAGAATGCAGCCGGCAGATATTCTATGAGCTAGCTATACTGGGTACCATGATATCAAACTTTTCCGTGGAAGAGGGGCTTGAAAAGAAAATACCACCTCTCTGACGACCGATGAGATAGTGGTCAATTATGCAGTCAGTGTTTGGCCAAGGACTTTGGCTTCCATCCGGCGAAGAAGGTTGAAGATTTCGTCCAACGGAGCGCCCATTGAGTAAACTGGCGTTGCAACTAACTTGCTGGTCATTGATGTTGAGGGCTATCGGCTATTTGGACCGGCCATATTGAGCTGCCCCGGGTTCCTGGTTCAGACACAGCGGGGGCGGGGTCGGAGTCTGACGTCGTTGTCTAAGAAGGCTACGAACCTTGTGGCCGATTACCTGGCCCGACACTACGGGTTTTTTCTACTTACTTGAAAATGATTTTGAAGGCTCGTCCGACGGGTTTTAGCGCGAGACGCATGTTGGGCGAGTCGTCAGGGTGAGGTGTACGTACGTTCGGCCGGCGCAGCATTTGGTCGGAGCCTGCAGACTGGGCTCTGCGGGGGGAGGCGACCAGGTAGGGGTGGTGGTCGGGCTCACCCAGGGGACCAAAGGAAGTCAAGAGGGCAACATGCATCAGTCACGTCGGATCCGGAAGAAGGATGTGTTGGCCGAGGCGAGCTATTATGGCCTAGGGAGGCAGCTCAGACAAACACGATGACTTCAGGGATCACGAAGAACCTTTAGAATCGGTTTACACATAAGCCATAAGCCCTGCATTTCACCCTGAAAACCTGTTTCCTAGACTCACAAGCTGCCTCTCCGATGTTTTGATTTCGCCTGCAGATTGGTAGTCAGCTAGCTAGCTAGGTACAAAGAGTGTAAGCTTGGGCTGGCGTGAGGTTGCCGGAAGTCCGGGTTTGGCTCCGACTGCCTGTCTCTCATGCCTAAGACATGGTTAAGTTAAAGTACCTACTATGTAGTGTTACAGGCAGAGGCTGAGTGCAGGACAAGGAGATGGAAGTGAACGTAACCAGTAGGTGGCTTGACTGGCGTGGTTGGTCCAAGGCGATGTTGCGTAACACGCCTCCCGAGATACCCTCCGCTAGAAAGGGTGGCTTAGCATGGGCGTGGACAGCTACACTACCTAGGCAAGCTGGCTAAAAAGAGCTTTGGACAAATGATCAAATCGGGCGGAGGCTTCAGGAAAGGTCTCCCCACCGAGGAGGAGGAAAGGTAGGGAGCTCGAGGAAGCGCGCGACGCGTGTGAGGCATGGTTGGAGCAAAGAATATGACCGACGTTCTAGGAAGGGGGGACCTTTGAGGAGGAGCTGAGGCGTCCCCTTTTGGAGGGGCAACACGAAGAGCAGTGACCAAGCTAGCCGGGGAGTCCCTGAAAGTACTTCTAAAAATTTAGACCCTTACCCCATCCATCCATCCATCCATCCCTCCCTCCCTCCTGCTGCCCGCGCAACCAAACAGACTGAACGGGCTGTCAACAATAACGGTGCAATTAATATTTGTTTGCTCCCAGCGGACGCGGGTCTCGCTCCCCTTCCTTACCTCTTCCCTCGCTGAAGAACCATTTCCCTTGAAACGTCGTTGCATCACGTCTGCAATCTCTCCGGACTTGTGTCTCGGCCATCAACTTCTTACATCCGGCATTCACGAAACGGAAAGCCTCGAGCTTTTGGATCCGACGCAGCTGCATTTTGACGTCATCTCGGTGAGTTGCTTCCCACGCACGCATGTCGCAACACATGTGCCCAATCATCGCCGCGTCTCTTCCACCTTTGCGAACGACCGAGGAAAGACGGTGAGAGACCAACCATACTGTCGGGATTTTGTTTTGCTGTTTTTCGACTCCTACTGGCTGCGGGTGTACCTACCATCTCAGCCCGGACTAGCCTGCCCTGCGCTGCATCTTCGGGTTGTTGCTCTCCCTCCTCCCCGCGGTGCCTGCTTCCGTCATCCAACATCGACATACGCATAGGCATCCCTGCTGTGCAGTAGTTGTCTGTTCGACGTAACACGGCGGGCTGCGAATTAACAACAGAGCGGATCCCTACCAGATCCGCGGGGAAGCAACTGTCAACCTTCTTCCGTCTGCCTCCAACTCGACAACTGCTTGCTTCTACCCACGTGCTACCTACCTGTTCAACTGTCTATCCTCCGTCTGACACCACTACTATTGCTCCTCCACTGCGATATTTCCCGCTGGCGAACGCCTTTGCTACTTTGACTCTACTACTTCCTCGTGACGCTGCTGCTGACACCCTCGCTACCTTTAGTTCTTCGCTTCTTTTACTTTTGCCCCTCATCACTCCGAAGAACGATCGCTTTCGAGTAAAACTTCCGACAACTATTCGCTATCGGACAATCTGACAACGGATGCGGCACTGCTGATTAGGGCAGTTGAACGACTCGCTGCTTCCCATAACGCGATCGCGCCGCTCGGGAAACGCCGACTAGCTTCGCAAATCTAGACGTCACATCACCTGCTCAGCCACCGTCGACACAGCGTTTGGCCTTGCTGAGACGCCACAGGACAACTTGCCCGCACTCAGTCAACACTTCCGATAGTTCGACTGGCAAGGGCAGCTTCAACATTCCCAAGTGCATTCCGACTGAGCGATTCGTAGACAATTTGATACTTTGGGCCATAGAGGAGTGCCTCAAGCCTGGTATGCGTGTTGGGCAACATAGCAATCAGACAATCGCTAGCTCGTTGACTGCCTCTATTCACCTTCAGGATGGGAGGAGTTGATATGAGCCGCGATTACTACGCGGACCTGGAGCTTTCAGCGGACGCTGACACCAACGAGATCAAGAAGCAGTTCCGAAAGCTTGGTACGACGAGATCACTTTATTGCACGTTTGTTAGGCCACTTCATTAACTCATGACAGCACTCAAGTACCACCCCGATCGTAATCCAGGACGCGAGGCCGAGGTCAACTCCAGATTCCAGATCATCCAGTCGGCCCACGAGATTCTTACCGATCCCCAACAGAGAGCCAAGTATGATGCTGGACGGACACGATCAAGATACCCCACGGCCTCGGGGGTGAGAGGCAACCCCTGGCAGAACGCGGGTGCTAACTTCCCACCGCCTCCTCGCCGTAACGCAACGACTCGTAACCCTCCGCCGCCCCCCCCGGCTTCGGGTGCGAGCAGATATCGCAACTTTGCGTCGGGTGCTGCCCCTACGGCCAAAGCACAGCAATCGAGAGACGACCCTGAAGCGAAGCGCAACGCGTGGCATGCGTTCGAGAACATGAAGGGCGGTCGCGCCAGCCAGCCCCAGCCAAAACCCCAGCCAAAACCCCAGCCTGAGACTCCCAAGCGACCGGTACCGCGAACTCCTTCCCAGAAACAGAGAGCCGAGGCTTCATTTGGACGCAAGGGTGGCTACACGCCTCACTCCCCAGTGCCTGGAGACGAGCCCCCGGTAAACACCTCCAACTACTCCACCTCTTCCCGGCACACAAACATCTTCGCAGACAATGCCCGCAGACAACAAGAGGCAGGTGTACCGGATCCTCTCGCCCAGTTCCGCGAGGCATATTCGGATACTCGCCAGAGCACTCCGTACACTTCCAATGGCGGAGAGAAGACCAACCCTTTTGACGGAATCCCCATAGGACGAGCCAAGAGCACTCGTGAGAGCCCTCGACCACCTCAGGAGGGCCATGGCCCCAATCTTTCACCGGGCAGCGCTCGAACACGCGCCCAGAGTGTCCCACGCCAGGCGAAGACTGAACCCTCGAGCCCGAGGACATCCACGTCGACGTCGCAGGACGACCGCCCAAACTCATCAAGCGCCACCGCGTCCCGTACCCCTAAAGACCCTTTCAGATCCCGCGCAAGCGCAAGATATACGCCGCCAGACACTGCCGCGGGTCATCGTTCTGAGAACAGTCAGCCCAAGTCAGCGGCTCCGCATAATCACAACGGTGAGTCTCTTTTGTTGTCAGTATCGAGCTATAGCTAATGTGAACATCAGGAACTGTTCACAGCCAGGCAACAGCAACGCCCAAAGGATCTTCAATGTACGACTTCCCTTCTCCAACTCCATCTTCTGCTTTCGCATTTCCTCAGTCAAATTGTACTTTCACGCACGGCAACTATGGAGCATCTTCAACGTGGAAACCACAGGCTTGTTGGCATCAGAGGGCTGAACGCACAAGCGACGCCATGGTGTTCGAGTCGCCGTCTCCTAGTGGAGGCAGCTCGGGAAGTCACTCGCTCACGCCTTTTGAACGGAAGCAGGGTGAACTTTTGAGCAAGCTTGTCAAGAGGCAGGCCCCCGATCTGACGCCGCTCGGTCGTCACAAGCGCCATACAACTGCCCCTGACCATGACAATGGTGTGAACACTGCTGACAAGAGAACCAACGATAGCTTCAACTTCCCGATCGACGACGACACTTTCGCCCGCACCGTGCCGCGGCAGCCGACGTTTGACCGAAAGAGCACCGATGGTATTAACACTAGTTTTGTTAACGGCGACGGCTCTGAGGCCTACACATTCAGTGCTGGCAGCCCTATCCAGGATCCAGCTGCTAAAGCTCGCTCGCAGTCTGGAAGTCGTGTAGGCCGCCGATCGCCGATCAAACGTCCGAGCTTGAGACATCAGAAAGACACTTCTGGTCAGCCGTTAGGTTCACCTTCGGCTGATGGCAAATTTGACGCCCAGGACTGGACAAAGAAGATTGGAGCGCAAAACTTCGTGCCGACACAGTCCGCGTCGACATCCCCGACTCGTATCTCGCGAGCAAACTCTAGGAAGACCAGGGTCAAGCCAACAGCGGGTGGCGGCGCCGGTTTGGTGAGTGAGGAATATGACAGTGATGAGGAGAGCGAGTGGCGTGGTCGCAAGTCAACTACCGAGCCAGTTGGGGCGAAAAGCCCGAATGCGATGGACATTGACCCCCCACAGAGCGGGGATGCACCGCGAAGAGACCGCTCTAGCGCTGTGAGGAACATTCCCGTCGAACCATCTCGCCCGGAATGGAGGCCTGGAAATGTGAATGGAATGCAGGAGACCGGTCCCAAGCTCCCGCGTAGGGGGCCAGAGTTCAATCCTAATGCTGCCGGTTCGGAGGACAGCGAAGAATTTAGGGCCAGCCTCGCTGACCTCAAGAATGTGGCGCCCTTTACACAAAACTCTGGCCTGGGTTCTTTGGGCGACCTCAAGATGAACCTTCCTTTCGAGAGTCAGCCTTCAAGCAGAGCACCGATCGAGAAAGAGACGAAACCGCCTCTCGACTTTCCAGTGATTCCCCAGGCACCTCGACCTCCGCCGACGTTCGCAGTCGGCCTCAAGCCCACGGGCGGTGCCTGGCAAAAGTACACGCAGGACTTCCAGAGCTATGTCATGAGATGGGAGATCTTCAACGCTCAAGTCATCGAGCACTTCAATGCACGCAAGGCGAACATTGCCGATCTTCGGGCTCGAAAGAGCTATTCCTTCCTCGTCTCTCGCGGCGACGATGAGATTCTGGAGTATCTGGAATGGATGGCACAGGATAAGGAGGTTCGAAGAAAGTGGGCTGTTGCCTGTGAGGACCACGAAGCCCGCATTCGGGAGTTTATGGTGTACAAAGGCAAGATGGCAGCGTAATGGAACGGGTGTGGTTGTTGTCTTTTTAACCTTCCGCTACGCCGCAAGCTTCATTCTTTCTTTTTGGGAGGATTCCATTACCTTTTGGTTTGCTGTTCCTCGCCTTGCGAAGTGTTTCGCAACTTTGACGACTGCTTGGACTTGATGGGACATGACACGCAACGATACCCGGCATTTGGGAGGATATTGACCACGCTTCGACTTGTCTCTCATTACCTGCGGTTGTTCGATCCGCGTTGCAAATACAACTTGACCGTCGACATCTCACATAACGACGGCGATTCTTTACGATGTAGAGGAGAGGAGGAGGGGGGTTGAACGCCTCATATATGCGTTACGTTTTTCCAGGTTTATTTTTCGCATTGGACTTCGGGGTTCTTTGGTTCGACCAGTAACAATGGTCGCGTCGCCCTAGAAAGGGTTTCACACGGTCTTCAAGGGCGGCTTCTTGCCTTGGTTAAGGTATATGGAATGGGTTGTGTAATATGTACTAAACTTGGTTGTCTTCTGAGGCGTTGGGACTTTTACGCTGACGAGAGACGGAGGGATGAGATAGATAATCAACATATTATGATCCATTATCCACCAAATCCTGTATGATGATAAGTGTCTAATTCTGCGTCGGCAAAAGTTCTGGTTTCCATCGAGACAGACTCTTGAATTCCTCAGACAGGTAGATGGAGAAAGAAGCCACGGTGTGATTCCATATGTGGCATTGTTTCCCCCCCACATGTCAAGCTCGTACTCGTAACTCATTGCCGTACGTTCTTTAGAATTATCAATAAGTTAATATCGTCCCAGCTGCTACTCTGTATCTCCGGATATGTAGTGGTGGCTGAATGCACTATGTTCATACCATGCTACAGCGGCCTCACCTTCATCCTGCTTATCTGTTTTTTCTTATCCCTCATCTGCTTGGTATAGTGCCTTCTATAGCGATTGGAATCGTCAGCGCTTTTTGCAGTGTCATGTATTCAGTATAAAAGGGGAAGGTTGCACCTTCCCATAGTAGAGATGTTTCGACGGACTCATCAATACATTTACCGGCCAACACAAGCCCTTCATTCTTACATTACCATACCGCTTCACATCTGAACGCCCGGTCTGGATCGACAGATATTCTAGATAGAAGTTTACCGAAACCATGGCTCCAACCTTGTCCATAATGCTCTCAGTGAGGCGGAATGTTGACTCCCCCCTCCCCCCCTCCCCTCGCTAGAATTGCTCAAAGCCGCGCCTAAGAGTGCCTTCTTCCACGCGGTCCCCAAAAATTAAGGGGAGCCTCGCATGTGTTGGCACCAGAACAATCATAGCTAGGGTCGGCTACTCAAGCGTGCATGTTGCAGTGTGTAAGTTGAACAAATGTCTTGGGTCACTGCCCCTTCCCCCTTGTTGAAGAAGGGAAAGTCAAGAGCACCGTTATCGTTGGTAGATAGTGTTTTGATCTCATGTCTTAAAGGGACTTTTCTCTCCTTCATGGATGCAGCTGCCGAAAGGAGTTCACTCGTTGGAGGCCTTATGTTCACTTGAAATAGGCAAGCCAGACTTGTCCGAAAGAAACTAAAGTACGGGAAGGAGATACCTAGGACTTGCCCTGAGCCTTCCCCTTCCTTTCCTTCGCTTCCTTCCCAATTCATCGAGTACCTAGCTTCCGTTTTCTGCTGCTTTTGTTTCCCGATTTCCATCCAGATAAAAACCCCTTCAACCTGCTACTAGTTCTCATCTTCCACTTCGCACTCACCTTCAACAGCCACCACTTTCATTAGCCTTCAGAGCCATCCCGCTTCAGCCACTACAAGGTAGGTAGTGTTTTCCCATCTTCGATTCATATTACAGAGTATATGGTAACTGTTCTCTCTCATCGCCCTTCCCGCACACTCCGCCTCCCTCCTCCTTCCCCATATTCCTCACTCTCGTCTATCTCGTTCATATTAACTCTCGTTTTCCATTTCTACCCCTCCGGACACGTTGGCTCCTGACTTGTTCACTCTTAATATTCGACTGACTTTCTTGCAGACCTCAACAGTACCATACCTTCAAGATGGCCGATTCCACCTCTGCTAACGGCGCTCCTGCTGGTGGCCGTCCTGGTGGCTGGACCGACACCGAGCGCGTAAGTATCTCATTCCTTCGGTTCTCACTTATTCCCGACTCTTTGCTTACTTCAAGGCGGATAGTTTCAGCTTGTGCTCCGCGTCCTCGCGACTCTACTCACCGAAGGCAAAAGCGTCGAGTGGAAGAGCGTAAATATGCCTAACCGCACCCTGAAGGCTATGCAAGGCCAGTGGACCTCGATCCTTGCCCAGATGCGTGATCTCAACACAGACGGAGGTGACGCCCCTGCCCCCAAGGCCAAGACTCGTAAGTTATTACTCCCTTCTACTTTACATCCGCCATCGCTTCTTACTAATACTTCCAAAGCCCTTAAGAAGCCCGCTGCTGCGAAGAAGAAGAAGGCTGCTGCTGCCAAGAACAGCGAAAATGCCAACGAGGACTCTGGCGACCATCATGATGATGGAGAGACCAAGAAGGCGGCCACTCCCAAAAAGCGCGCCGCTGCCACCGACGCTGGTAGGTGCTAATTCGCCCTTTCCTTTACAAGAAGCCGACGCTGACTTATCCCCAATAGACGGCACTCCCAAAAAGCGTCGCACCCCTGCCAAGAAGACAGCCCCCAAGACCGAACCAGTGTCTGATGAGGCTGGTACTGAGGCTGATGTTCCCAAGGAGGAAAACAGCGATGAGCAGTAATTCGGCAGGGCTTGAAGTCGTTTCTCCATCTCGTCCGAGGGTACAATATACTACCTAAGTCGACAGGGATGCTTCGGCTACAACGTGAAGCTGCACCATTACTGCAGCTTGGTTTCCTTGTTTACGCACCGCTCCTGGATTTAGCTTTGAGGATGGCCATTTGCTGGTATGGCTTGGTTTATGAACACAACTGGTGGCACTTATGGCTCTATTCTTACTTGGATGAGCTTTCTTCACTTTGGAAGAGCATCTTAGGGATACTGGGCATATGTTCCCTCGAGTATGCAGTTTTACCAGGTAGCAAAAACCAGCAGGATCGATAACGAATACTTTACACTCTCTTTCCTGCCTCGTATTGGAAACGTACCGACCGCCGTGGTGGGTGGTGGTAAAGGCTGGAAATGGCGGCCGGTGAGTGATAGATAGATGTGTCGTCGAGCGAATCAGATTGCCGAAGGCAGCTTCCGAGGCAAAGGGTGCATCTCAAGCGGTCATGAGCAGAACATTGTGAGACCTGCATATCAATACTGACAGAAATCCTGACAATGGTGGTGTGCAGTATGAGAGCATGATCCATACCGTCCCATCTAGAGCTGCAGGCCGAACACACACACGTTGACTTCTGCCTGTCAAGACTGTTATCCGAATTTCACCATGTTACCGGACCGGCTCAGCGAAGGCTACAAGGCTCTAACATGACGCTAGTAGCACATTACATCAGCACCCGGACAAAAGTGGAGACTAGCCCGGGGATGGACACCCACTCGGGACATACACGCATATAAACGGGCTCTTATGCAACTAGCCTGGTGATCTAGTCTGGGTGACCCCATATTGGACAGATCCTGTTTGTTTGCCATCGATCGTTCCGCACCTGAAATTTTTGACGACGGGCGACGACGACGACGACAACGACAGACCGCGTAAAGTAAAAAATAAAAAAGTTGGTTCTGGGACAGCGTTTTTTCTATTGTCCTCATCACATTTCAGGGGATCACTTGTGCCGAGGCTTTAGGTACAGTTCATAGCTACCTTGATAGCCAAGAGCACTGATTTCCCGCCGTTCATTTACAGAGACATTGTTCTTGTTGCTGGAGGGTTAGGTTGCTACCATCCCGTCCTTTACCTACCCACGCTGGATGCGCTCCGTCTTCGTACGCAGAGGGACTTGCTCGAGCCTTGCATCCACTACAGTTGCAGCACCACGACCTCGGACTGCGTCCTGCACCACCACCACCATCACCACCATTACTAGCAACACCACCACCGCCACCACACTTGCTTTCCTCCCCCAGCTTTTCAGACGGCAGCACGAGCTCCTCCCGTTCGCACAACGCGGCCGCTCCCGCACTTCTCTTGTCGTTCCTGCTAGAGACATACGCTATAAGACCACGCGACGGTCCGACTTTGCCCAGACCCGCCGTCTGTTTTCCTCTGCCGCCGCCGCCGCACCGAATACGTCCTCCACTGCGCAACAAAGCCACACCTCTAGCCAGACCACCACACCCGAGGCCGCGAACATGAACGGCAACAACACATCGCCACGCACCAAGCGCAAGGCTCCGCCGAGCCCAGAGGGCTTGCGGCCTCACAAGCAGCACCGCGCCCTGAATGGGAAGCTGTCCGCCGGCGACAATACCCCCGAGGTCGAGCTTGAACATGGTGCTTTCGTCGAGGAGGACGAGTCCGATTTTGAGGACCCCGCCAGGCTGAACAGCATGTTTCCCATCACTCAGGAGCCTGAGGCCTGGCAGAAGACCATTGAGAACGTCGTCAGCAACGTCGTCTCCATTCGCTTCTGCCAAACGTGCTCTTTCGACACGGACGCGGCGCTGACAAGTGAGGCGACTGGCTTTGTGGTGGACGCTCAGAAGGGGTATGACATACTTGGCGCTGATACAGATGCAAGGGAGACAACCGTGCTAACATCGTTGTGGTACAGTTACGTCTTGACGAACCGACACGTCGTTGGGGCTGGACCGTTCTGGGGATACATTGTTTTCGACAACCATGAAGAGGTCGATGCGTACCCCGTTTACCGTGACCCCGTCCACGACTTCGGTATTCTGCGTTTCGACCCCAAGGCCGTCAAGTACATGAAGCTAAACGCGCTGGTGCTTCGTCCAGACCTTGCAAAGGGTAGGCAAACATCTTGATGGCCACAAGCACTAGAGTGGGTCACCGCTAACGCCTCGACAGTCGGTGTTGAGATCAGAGTCGTCGGTAACGATGCCGGAGAGAAGCTCAGTATCTTGTCCGGCTTCATCAGTCGTCTCGACCGAAACGCCCCCGAGTACGGAGAAGGTTACAGCGATTTCAACACGTGCTACTACCAGGCCAATGCCGCCGCAAGTGGTGGTAGTTCTGGCAGTCCTGTTGTAAACATTGACGGCTTCGCTGTTGCGCTGCAAGCAGGTGGACGATCCGACGGTGCCTCTACAGACTACTTCCTTCCCCTCGACCGACCTCTACGAGCTCTGGAATGCATTCGGCAAGGCAAGCCCGTCACGCGAGGTGACATTCAATGTCAATTCCTTCTCAAGCCTTTCGACGAGTGCCGACGTCTCGGTTTGACGCCAGAGGAGGAGGCCGCAGCTCGTCAAGCTTTTCCCAAAGACAACAACATGCTTGTTGCCGAGATTGTTCTTCCCAAGGGCCAGTCTGACAAGAAGATTGAAGAGGGTGACATTCTCATCAAGGTGAATGGCGAGCGCGTTGGGCAGTTCATCCGGTTGGATGATTTGTTGGACTCAAACGTCGGCAAGACCATCCACCTGCAACTGCAGAGGGGTGGCGAGGATATCGAGGTTGATGTTGATGTCGGTGACCTGCACCAGATCACTCCTGACCGCTTCGTGTCCGTCGCGGGTGCCAGTTTCCACAGCCTGTCTTACCAGCAAGCCCGTCTGTACGGCGTTGCATGCGAAGGTGTCTTCGTGTGCGAGGCCACAGGCTCGTTCAGATTCGACAACGCGGATAATGGCTGGCTGATCCAGACCGTGGACCACAAAAAGACCCCTGATCTGGAGACCTTCATCGAGGTGATGAAGGCGATCCCGGACAAGTCCCGCGTTGTTGTCACTTACAAGCACCTCCGTGATCTGCACACCCTGAACACCACAGTCATCTACGTCGACCGACATTGGTCAGCCAAGATGAAAATGGCCGTCAGAAACGACGAGACGGGTCTGTGGGACTTCACGGACCTTGCTGACCCCCTACCCCCTAAGGCGCCTGTCGCCCGCTCTGCTTCCTTCATCGAGCTGGAGAATGTGAAGCACAAGGCTATTGCTGATCTGGTGCGAAGCTTTGTTCATGTCAACTGCACCATGCCCGTTAAGCTTGACGGCTTCCCCAAGAACAGGAAGTGGGGCATGGGCTTGGTCATTGACGCGGAGAAGGGTCTCGTTGTCATCTCGAGAGCCATTGTGCCCTACGACCTGTGCGATGTGACCATCACCATTGCGGACTCGATTATTGTCGAAGGCAAGGTTGTCTTCCTTCATCCTCTGCAAAACTACGCCATTGTGCAGTACGACCCCAAGTTGGTCAATGCTCCCGTCCAAAGTGCGAGATTGAGCACAGACAGCATCACCCAGGGAGCTTCCACTATCTTCATGGGATACAACAGAATTGGCAAGATTGTCCATGCCACGACAACGGTCACCGAAGTCACTGCTGTTGCCATCCCGGCCAACTCTGGCGCGCCCAGATACCGAGCCATTAACGTCGATGCCATCACCGTTGACACCAGTCTTAGCAACCAATGTGGAAGCGGCGTTTTGGTTGCTGATGATGGCACTGTCCAGGCCTTGTGGCTCACGTACCTTGGCGAGCGTTCGGCCTGCAGCAACCGGGACGAGGAGTACCATCTTGGTCTTGCAACGCCCACTCTGTTGCCCGTGGTCTCTCAGATCCAACAGGGCATCGTCCCCAAGTTGCGGATGTTGTCCGTCGAGTTCCGAGCCATTGCTATGGCCCAGGCCAGAGTTATGGGGGTCTCTGACGAGTGGATTCGCAAGGTCACCGAGGCCAACAAGACGCATCACCAGCTTTTCATGGTCAGCAAGCGGACCTTTGAACGAGGCGAGCAGTCAGGCGCGCTGCTCGAGGGTGACATTTTGCTCACTCTCAACGGCAAGGTCATCACCAGGGTCTCCGAGCTGGATGTCATGTACTCTCACGAGGTTCTTGACGCAGTGATTGTCCGCAACTGCGAGGAGATACACATCAAGGCTCACACCGTCGCCGCCGATGATGTCGAGACTGACCACGCCATCTCCTTCTGCGGAGCCATCCTGCACCGACCTCACCACGCCGTCAGGCAGCAGATTAGCAAGCTGCACAGTGAGGTGTACGTTTCGGCCCGCACCCGTGGTTCACCGTCGTACCAGTACGGCCTCGCGCCCACCAACTTCATCACCCATGTTAATGGCAAGCCGACGCCTGATCTTGAGACTTTCCTTGCTTCTGTCCAGGGAATCCCAGACAACACTTGTAAGTCACTCTATCGCAGTCTCTCAATCTACACATAAGCTGACCATCATGACCAGATTTCCGGCTCAAGGCTGTCACGTTCGACAGTGTGCCATGGGTCATCACCATGAAGAAGAACGAGCACTACTTCCCAACGACGGAGTGGATCAAGGATCCCGCCGAAGCCTGCGGCTGGAGAAGGAAGACGTATGAGGGCGGCAAGGTGTTTGAGGGTGAGGGCCCTGATGGCGTGCTCCCCGTTTCCGAAGACACCGAGATGGTGGAGGAGCCTGCCGCCCCCATCTAAGCCATGGAACAAACCGCAAGCACCATTCACGGCCAAGAAAAGCCGCCGGAATCGATGTCGGCACTGTGTACTTTTGCCTGGCGTTTTTTTCGAGCTAGGCACTTTTAATGATAGCAACATTTAGGGACTTTCAGGACATGACAGACAGGGTGTAAAGGCTGAGGGATTCAAGGGCATGGGCAGGCGAGCACACGGCCGTGAGGACAGCATTCTTCGCCGTATGTTATGTATATATATGTAAACACAGGGGCCACAGAAGGCATGTTACCTCGAAGGAACGTGGTACCTCTTCTCCAGGCTTTCCTATTCTTTTCGCTTCTCGATTCTCTTATCAGTCCTATTGAACACATGCCGTACTCGACTGCTACTCGTCGACGCGAGGCTGCTTCGCACTCAAGTGCCCTCGGCGAACTACGCATACTCGCGAAGCTCGGAGCTCCACCTCCCCTGTGAAGCCCAGCCAATGTGTAATTTTCTAGTCGCTTACGCGCCACGGCCCATTGCGAATCTGCGAGTAGCGTGAAGTCTTTGTCATCTGATGGCAAGTTTAATGCGACCAGGTTGGGGGCAGCTTTTGCTGCGCGGGAGGGTCAGAAGGGCAAGCTTTTCGCCGCGTCTACCTTCTTAAAATATTACCCACTGGACAGAAAGATGGTATCAAAGACGATGATCGGGCAGGTTTATCCTCATCTATCCTAGCTCAAAACATATTACATGTGCTAATTTTCAGCCGATGCGTCGACAAAGTATTGGGGGGCTAAGGGAGTCAGGGCAGGACCCTCCCACGCAGATACAACGTCGGCTTAGGACTCCATGCGATAAGAACGCCTCACGATGATTTCTTGACCAATACGAGTAGAGTTCGATGCATCCCATTGGACGACGGGAAAGCGCATTGGCGCAAGACAATTGCTGAAGAATCAAGGTCCAGGATGGGGGCTGCAGCTAAAAATCGATAGATGTGAGCACGTGGGGGCTACATATAAAAATAAATAGATGGGCGCACTTGGGGGCCCTTTTACGGCTGTTATTGTGTGTAAGAGGATTCAATGTGCACCGGGTCCCTTTTCAAGAAAATAAATATATCTTGATCACAGTCTATCCGGACACCAAAGGACACACGAGCGGCACAGAACCGAATGAATTACAAGCTACATCGAAATCTGGACAGCCACGCTACCTAACACAACTTTGACAAGTCTTGGTTCACTAGTCGTTCACTCTATAGCGAGTACCATAACTTGAAGGAATCGAAACATAAGATGGCCTTTCTTGAAAATTTTACCAAATTCAATCACGGTCGACTTGGAAACTCCTTCTGGAAGACTCTATTCTGGCAATCGATACAGGCAGAGATACGGAATGTACAGGCCATTTCTAGCCAACTCAGTATCCCAGCCATCGGGATGGGGGTCATCTTTTATGGTCTTAAGCACTTGAGGCCCTTTTTCAGTCTGCTCGGTCTGGTTAAACGCAGCATGGTCATGGTCAACAAAGCTATTCAGAAGTCTCCTCGAATAGTCCATTGGGTCCTCGGACGGCATGATATCGACTCTCCTTGCAGCACCTTGACAGTCCTTGATAATCGTACGAAGAGGCGTTACGAAATCCCCATCAGGCGCAATGCAGTCAGCGCCCTTGAGTTTCAAAAGATCACTACTGCTCATTGCGGCATTGAATCTGTCGGCCAAGTTGACTTCGGCTTGCGTGTCCTCGATCCCGGCTACCGCAATACCGCCTGCGTGGAATCCAACATCACCTTCGTCGACGGCAAGCGAGGCTACATCCAACTTCGGGGTTACCCCATAGAGTACCTTGTTGAGAATCATGACTACGAAGAGGTCATACACCTCCTCATCTGGGGCCGGCTACCCGACGCGGTAGAGAAGAAAGAACTTCAACGCAGGATTGCTGCAGGTTGCGCTCCTCCCGAGCACGTCGTCCAGGTCATCACCTCCTTCCCCAGAGACTCTTTGACTAGCACAATGGTCATGGCCGGTATGGCCGCTTACGCTAGCTGTGACGAGGGAGCCGTTAGCACACTTCAGTCCGGCTGTCCGGCGTACTTGGGCCAACCCGACAAGGTTGATGCCGCCCTCATCAGCACTATATCCGCTCTCGCCACCGTCGTCGCTCTCACGTACTGCCACAAGCGCGGTAAAAGGCTCGCTCCTGTCGATCCCGAGGCTTCATTCACTGCCAATGTCCTAGGGATGATGGGCTTTCAAGAAGGAATGAGTGGCAAACCTGACGCGGAAATGGTTCAGTGTTTCGAAAAGCTCTGGATCCTCTACGCCGACCAAGAAATGACCAACTCGACCTCTGCATTCTTGCATGCAGCCTCCACGCTGGTTGATCCGTTGTCGTGCTGTATCTCGGGAATCGTCTCCGGATACGGCCCGCTCCACGGCGGCGCCATCGACCTCGCATACAAGGCATTCCAAGATGTCAAAACACCCGAAAACGTTCCGGCGCTGATTGCCGACGTCAAGGCCAAGAAGCAACGCCTTTTCGGGTACGGCCACCGGGTATACAAGGTCGTCGACCCTCGCGCCAAGTTCATCCGGGCCATGATTAACCAGTACAGGGACAAGGTCGAGTCGAACCCGCTGCTTTCGGTCGCGATGGAGATCGATCGGGTCGCTAGCACCGACGAATACTTCACGAGTCGCAGCCTCAAGGCCAACGCAGACCTCTACGGCTGCTTTCTGTACACTGCGTTTGGCTTCGAACCGGACATCATCGTAGCCATGGCTAGCCTGTCGCGCATCCCCGGCGTGCTTGCTCACTGGCGGGAGGCAATGCTCGAGAAGGGCCCCTTGTTATGGAGGCCGCAGCAGGTCTTCACCGGCGCTCTGGCCGACGAGTACTACTGCGCAACCCGCTGAGCTCCAGATGGAATACACTAAGTTATTGCTATGGTCTGCTGGCTGCCGAGAAACTTTCCTGTAGAGAACCTATTATTCTTTATCAAATCTGAAGCCGTAAACTACAAGTGCCGCTGTATCAACTTTTTAAAGGAACCCGTGAGTGCTCGGCTCGGTGTGTGTGGAAGCAAACCACGCCTTGAGCAGCCACTGGACACTGGCTGTCGGCTGGTTGGGGCGCATTTTACCAATGATGTTATCGACTCTCAGCTTGATGCTACTTATCTAATTGATTAATTGTTTTTTCCCCTACCTTTTTCTTCTTCTGTTGCTCTTATGCATCCCGAATGACTATGCATAGCCTGCCACGTTCTAAGACCATAACCACTTGGTGAACTTGATCAACGAGTTCATGGATTCTGGCATCTGGGTCTGAAAGGTTATAGGTTGGACGGATCTCGGTAATTGTTTTATCCGCCGGCGGAAATCAGAAGCCTGTACTGGGTACCGTCCCTCTAGGTCCCTGTCGATGCTGGCCTGTGCGCGTTGCTGCTGGACCGCCATCGACACTACCACTACCGTTTGTCTCCTCCATTTCCAGTCTCTCATCCACACCACCTTACAATTTTGTCATATCATTGGTATTTTGTTACCGCATTCGAGCCCAAGTTTACTTGCTTGTTACCAGAGTAATAAAAGAGCTGTTTATTAGAGATTGGAGCTGGGCTGTGCTCTATCACCTACGCTCCAGCCGCCCGATTTTAGTCCCCTCAACCAGCCTTCTAGCCACGTTCAAAACTTACGCGCATCCCTCATTATCATCAGCTATTCCTTGCCGCATCACGGAAGGAATTCATTATAGTATAATCGTACGAATAGCCAAACTGCTCTTAATCATCCCTGGGCGTGCCTCAGGACATCTGCCAAAATGGCGTCCAAAGATGACAAGGCGTACAAGTACCGCCAGGAGATCAGTCAGGTGAGTAAAAACGCTTCGTCGCCAATTTTATCCAGCGTTTTGATGCTACAACCCCTTTGCCTCGAAAATTTAGCGATACTGGTCGCGGGAATGACTTGTTGGCTTGGAAGTCCAGCCAAGGAGCGTCTGAAGGACAAGGCCCTTCACGGGCGTGTCTGATGGTGCTGGCGATGGTGAATTGATGGCTACCCTAACCACGAGGTTAAATTGCAAGAAACCCCATTCTCTATGGACTCCTGTGTTTCTTCCTATCTCTCCAAAGCGCAGTACTAGACCACGAAGGACACACTAGGGTTTGCGTAGTTGCCAGCTGCACCTGCCTCGTCTTCATCTGCTGCTTCCTCCCGAGAAAAGGCGCCGGCTAGATATCATCCAATGGGAAACAAACTCCAAAGTCTCAACGATGGAAGCATTCTCTCTCTTCAAACGACATCTGCACCGAGAAAGGAGAATAGCCGTAGCCATGGACCATGAGCTTCAGACCTTCCTTGACTGGAGACTTCATTACGACCAAGACGGCGTCAGGTGTCCCATGAGCAACCTCATGGGAAGCCTCGAAACAAGTCTCGGAATCTTCGAACAATGCACCGAACCGTTGGCACATGGAGTCTCCGACACAAAACCTGATGCCGTCACAGCGAAGTCGACACACCCACAACTGTCCAGAGCAAAGGCAGATGTAGCGGCACGCATCCAGCGGGAGAGCATGGAGCTTTTACGACTCGTGTCGGATGGAATCCGGAGCATCGATGTCTTGCCTGGTTACAAATCCATCCTAGATGTTACATGCAGCGGAGAGCACCAGTGGGCGAAGGGCAAGCGCCCCGGACCCTTGAAGCCCTTGCCATAGAGTGGTGGAATACGTGTACAACAGATTAAAATAAACATTGGGTGACTGGGTGAGTCCTTTACTAAGTACCGCTTTCTACAATAAAAGTGAGGAACCGATATAACTGCAGAGCCGTCGATTGAAACCACAAGCATAATTGAAGACATTGTCCGACAACAAGTCATTGAACTCGTAGGTTATTGCGCGCCAAAACCGATTCCGCTAGGCTAAGATCTCTTCAGCTTCGAAATTGCACTGAGCTTGCAGCCCGTCGCGGCGCCCGAGCCATTACGATCAACGATCTGATCTTCCAAATTCGACACGACCAAGCCAAGGTCTCTCGTTTGCGGACTTTCCTCTCTTGGAAGGATGTCAGAAAAAACGTCAAGGATTCAGACGACAAGGGTGGTGAAGCTGATCTTGGTGCTGGCGAAGACCCTGTTGGAGGCGTGGTTCCTGGCGGTCCCGTTGACGATGCTACCAAGAAGAACAAGAAGGCCAAGGTCGGCCTCCCTTGGGAGCCCTCGTCGTTCTACAGTCAAGAAGTCCCCGAGCGCGATGACGAGGAGGACGAAGAGGAGGAAGAAATGAACTTCATCACCCTCCAGCGTCTCCGCAAGGCCGATGAGCGCACCAAGGCCATGACGAAGGAGGAGTATGTGACTTGGTCCGAATACCGCCAGGCCTCTTTCACTTACCGCAAGGGCAAGCGATTCCGCGAGTGGGCTGGTTTTGGCATCGTTACAGACAGCAAGCCCTCCGATGATATCGTCGATATCCTGGGCTTCTTGACTTTCGAGATGGTGCAGACGCTGACCGAGCACGCGCTCAAGGTCAAGGAACAGGAGGATCTGTTCAAGGCTCAGAGCGGCGGCGAGAACGCCGGATCGAAGAAGCGAAAGGTGGCAACTGGGTTGTTCGACCCGCCCAGTGAGGGTAGAAGCCCCATTGAGCCTCGCCATGTTCAGGAGGCCTTCCGACGCCTTCAGCAGCGCCCCAAGAAGACCCGAGCTATGCTCAACGGAACGAGACTGCCGCAACACACTGCTCTCAATATCGTGAGTTATATTGATGTCACATGCATGTTGTTTCTACTGACGTGATCCTTTAGTTTTAATCCTCATATCTCGGAGCGGATGTCCAGGGCAACTATCTGGTTGCCAACGACTGTGACACCGCGAACTCGCTTTTCTACTGCAACGATGTAAAGATACCCACGGGTGGGCAATGACTTGGCGTTTATTGGACTTGTGTTTTGGTGTTTTTTAGGCGCCGTCTTCAGTCAGTGACTAGACTAGGATAATCACTATGGTAGCTCAACAGAGCAAAGTGTTTATGCAACGGCTCATGGCGGTTCAAGTACACGTTGACGTGGATGTGAACGCCAGTGTCCCATGTGCATGAATGGCGACGTCTTGGGCTGTACTTCGACATACACTTGCCCGCTGGCATACCCTCCAAGCTGTATCAAAGTAGCCAAGGCTGCAATAAGCTGTTTTACTCAAAGGTTTTGCAGACAATCTTCCGAGAACGAACGATGCCAGATTGTATCTATTCGTACGTAGCCCACGGCCTGGTTAACCCCACTGCGCTATGTCTTGGGCACCGAAACACCCCGCATTGAGGCGCAAGCTCCAGCCATCCCACCAACCTGTGGCGATTAGATTAGATAAGGCAACCAGAGCCCCTTCGGGGCTTGGTCACTGCCCTGCTTCAACTCGGCTGCCTTGCGTCCCATTACTTTACTTGAGGGCAGTGTCTTTCGTTCGATCCATACCCTCTGTCATCTCTCCTCAAATTAAATTGCAAAGGGCAACAAAATGGCCCCTCCGCCGACAATCACAGTGAGTCGCGAGCCCTCCCCATTGCCCCGCTATCGTGATGGCGGCATGGCCAGGTTAACTGTGTTCTTCCCGCCGACAGACGAAGCTCAAGGTTCAGCTCAAGCTGGCCATCGCACGGCTGCGCATGGTTCAACAGCGCGACGATTCCATGTCCAAGACGCAACGACGCGCGATGGCGCAGCTCCTCGAGGTGGGCAAGATAGACTCTGCGCGCATTCGCGTCGAGAACATTATCCGATCTGATATCACGACCGAATTGCATGAGATACTGGAGCTGTACTGCGAGCTTCTGATCGCGCGAGCGGGGCTACTAGAGGGGTCGACATGTGATCCGGGCCTGGAGGAAGCGGTCAAGAGCATCATCTACGCTGCGCCCAAGACGGAGATCAAGGAGCTGCAGGTGGTGCGGACGCTGCTGGGCGAGAAGTACGGCAAGGAATTTGTTCTGTCGGCGATGGAGAACTCAGACGGCAAGGTCTCGGAGAAGGTTATCAAGAAGCTGAGCGTTACACCGCCGAGGGAAGAGCTCGTACAAGGGTATCTGGAGGAGATTGCGAAAGCATACAACGTGGACTGGCCGAGGCGGCCCCGCGCTGAAGAGCAGCCCGACCTGCTGGACGACGATGATGAAGACAGTCCGAGTGGTGGAATCGGCATGAGGATACCCGAGGGCAACAGCTCGAAGCTAGCCCAAGAGCAGGAGGAGCTGAGCAAAGCCACGCCGCCGAGGACGATTGGGGTGCCAAGCAGTCCCCTAACCGTCACGCCGCCCAGGATGACAACGGATAACATCCACCCCAAAGTGACGCTGAACTCGTTGGAGCTGAAGCCGAACAAGAAGATGGACGCGGCGGTGCAGAAGAAACCCAACTCTCAGGGTCCGGGGGGCAGCGTGCCTGACATCACCGAGTTGGAGAGGAGATTTGCAGCTCTGAAGAGGTAAAATTGATACCATTTACAGGCCAGAGATTGGGCAGTTTGATTTAGAGGCAGCTGTAGCGAGACTGTAGGACACGCGTCTTTCAGTAGGCATGGCGTGAAATTAATTCGTATTGCATCTTTCTGCATGAGGACCCTCTATTTATTACGTTGTGAGTGACGTCCTTGCACCTTGTTGCGGACGGAAGCCCTTCATTCCATCCCGCATCTTGTGGATGATGAGGCTAAAGGTCTATCAGCAACATGGTGAGGAGCCTTGCTGCCATGATGTCTTGGGTTGAAGAAAGGAAATGGAGGACAAGGTGCAGGAAGGGTTCTACCTGGGCCAGTCAATAAGGAAGGTGCGTCTTGTAACCATGGCCTCCTAGCTTCTGGTTTCCTCGCATACCGCCTGTACCTTCTTCGAGTTTTCCAGTTTTGCAATTTCTCCTGCTGTTTGTCTCTTTTTCACAAACCTCCCGGCTGTGACCTACAATCACAACACACTTGACCAGCCTTGATCAAGCTTTGTCACGCAATCACGGTCAAACTTTCATTTCACAACACCTTTTCATCAAGTCCTTCGACAGCGACTTATCCTCTCAAAATCATTGAAGCTCTGTTACCAGGTCTTGAAACTGTGGGAGACGCAGTTTGTTGATGTTAGTGAGGCATTGTACCATTTCTATGTGCACTGTCTCATATTACCAGATCGAATTGAATAGCATTGGCAGTGCACTGTGATTCCCCCTCGAGATACAGTCACATCTGACACTGGTGCTCAGTCGGTTTCTGATACCAAAGACTGGCGACATTCAGCGTAGTCTGGTAAGAGTTCAACATCCCGCCTCACCCGTGAAAGATAAACCCCTTCTGACTTCACTTTCAATCAGTTATGTCCGCCTTCAGCATGCTAGGCTCGGGGGTGGATATATTGGGAATGAGTCCGGCCGAGTTCTATTGTCTTTTACAGAAGGACGTTGAACGTGAGCTGGAACGTCACTTCCCTCAGTACATTGACAACGAGTCACTCCTAGACATCTACACCAAGTGGCTAGTCTTCCAGATTCCTAACCTGGGACATCGTTCCCACGAGGATTCGTCCGAAACTATCAGGCGAGGTTGCGACTACTTGAGTTCCAGAAATTACAAGAAGGGACTCGTCCTCAGTGCCTTCTCGAGGCACAAAAACTGCTACATCAGAGGCCATCCTGAGGGTAGCCGGGCTTTCAACCTTGCCAGAAGAGACGTTGAGATCAACTACAAATCATTGCCTCGTCCACGCTCAATTCCAGACCCTCCTTCCACACATGTCACTTCTCGATCCTCAAAAACAGCAGCTGGCCCAACGAGATTAGTCCTTTCCCAGACTAAATCGACACTGTCAACCCCTGTCACCAAGCCACCGGAAGAGGTTCAGTCTGTGTTGGATGATTCGAGCCCCAGTTACCGACAAAAACTGTTTGCTCATTCTGAAGAGCCAGGGTCTCAAGGGGTATCGTCTATTGAACCTTCCAATAAGAAGATGCCTATACTATCTTCTCCCGGGACTCAGATGCCATCTGGCAACTACGTCTGCAAGCGCTGTGGAATACCAGGTAGTTATGCACAGAGTTACTTGATAGAAACACCAACTTGCTAACAAGACTGGTGATACTCCAGGTCACTTTATCAAGCACTGCCCTACCAATGGCAATCCTCTGTTTGAAAGGCTACCTCCAAAGGGTTACGTCTGCCGCGTTTGTGGTGCCGCTCGCATCCACTACGTTCATGATTGTCCTCAGTCCGTCGTAGGCACTAATAGCGAATCAACGCCGGGAAAATGCCTTAGCATATCGAATTCAACCATTGTTTCGGGAAAGGAATCCGAAAGAAGACCGCTCGTGCCCTCTGAAGAGGTCCGAGATAGTCCATGCCAAATGTCTCTCCATCCTTTCAGCGCCAATACACTCGAATACTCGACTTCTCTTACTACGAGAGGCTTGGGAGGAACCGACAATCTTAGCTCGGCTGGACAAATAGAATCGTCCTCCGCCGGGCAAGCTACAAAGACAATCGCCGATTACATGAACAAGGATCGAGCCAGATATATATATTCCCAAACTGACGACAGTCAGTACGTGTCACAAGACTCCCTAATACCGATTGGATGTTCTGCGAACTTCGGTAGCAACACGACGCCGAGCGAACCTCGCCATCGTCTTGATTCTTACCGCCCTTTTTCGCACTATCCTGATTCTTATTCTCGTGGAGACTACTTTTACCGTCCTGATGATTTTTATCGCCCCGGCAAAACCCGTCGCCCCGATATTTCGGTTCATCGTGATGAACCAGATCGCCAGGATAATTCGGAACGCCAGAACGGGCGTCTATCCCCGTACCATGACAATGACTCACGGCACTATGAGTCTCCATATTGCGGTGATAGATTGCATCGTCGCGAATCTCCAGGTCGCTGGGATGAGCCACGCCGCCGCGAGCCGTCGGCTCGCCCCAATGGATCACGCCAAGCCGCTGATTCGTATAATCCTGACGGATCGAGGCGTCGGGGTCAGATCAAAACCAAAGAGGTTATTGAAAACAAGGACGTCATAAAAAATGAGACAAAATTGTACTCACTGCACAAGAGAAAGCGTTCAGATGGCCGACTGTCACCTTGGGATGATATCCACCCGCCACCGAAGAAGCCGCGCCAACAAGATGCTTGGGAAGGCGGTCTGCCATGGGATGATTTCGAGGCACCTCGAGAGAACAATAAGAGAGATTCCGCCGACTCTGCGGCTGCCAAGCATGTTATCGCCATCGATCATGAGCCTGCTCCGATTGACAATTCGAAGAAAGCGGTAGCTAGCCTTGGCGTAGCCAAGGCAGCGGGAGAACCGACTGAAGCCGAATGGGAGCAAGCTGGAATAGAGGCAAACGCATTCCTGGAGGCGCTCGGCAGGGAGTTGGCCGAGTGCCCGGAACTTGAAACCTCAGCTAATTTGCGGAACCAAGGCAACAGCGATAGCCCTACTTACTCGTCCGCTTCGCCCGTTTCCAGCGCTTGTCAATACCACTCTCCAGCAAACTCAGTCCCAGATGACGACGAGGATTCTTTCATGGATGACGTTCTTGACGATATTGCCGAACCAACTCGAAGCAAGGGTTGTAAGATCGACGAAGACCAGCCTTGCTCTGATCCAGTCATTATCCCTTATCAGACTCTGAAGTCGCTCCAGAGAGATCCGCCATACGACTCTGATGTTTTGAATCTTTTCCGGTGCAAGAGGGACAGCCATGTATACATCAACGTGGCCAGGCGCAGAAATGCTGTCGATTTTTACACGGAGACTGAAGAAGAACGAGCCACCGTTAGCATGTCAAATCTTGCAGTCTGACGGCTAGCGACTCGTCTGGATCAAGCTGAATCATCTGATAATGGTTGATCTATCCTTCATCCTTCTGTTGCGGGTTTCCGAAGCTGCCAGCAATATTCTTATCTCATTCGCGCTTATACAAGTTTGAGACGGCGAACTTTGGTGTCTGTCAAGACCATATGACCATGTGGTTACGCGTTGGCTATCGCCACGAATCATCCACAAGTCGGCTCGATATCTTCCACGCTCGACAGTCAGCTGCGTGTTTCCTCTCTTTACAGTTCAATTTGTGTTTTCCTGTGCCCAATTACAAATGCTTGGAGCTGGAGGGCTTCCAGATGGGTTGATCTTTGGGACTTTGAGTAATCTCGCGCCCAGTTAGTTGGGTTGGAAACAGGGGGATTCTCGGCCACGGAGCCTAAAAAGAGCCACAGGTGGGAGCACTCATATATTTCGTCTTTACCCTCCACCTTCTCCTTTTCTCTCTCATGTATCCAGGACTCTGGAGGATATCTAGCGGCGTCACCGTTTCGATCTTTGGCCCAGCAGGTGATGTGGATGATAGCTGGGCCGGGTCTTGAGCGATGAGACGACGCACCTCATTGCCATTTGTTTCAGCGGGATAAACTGTTCCCCGCGATTCGCATTCAGAGCCCAGTAGGAGCTTTCCCAATATCAATAGCTGACACATTGCCCAAGTCGATTGCGTGCGTGCCGCTTGTGACTGAACTCCAGACTCCGATCCATCCGTACGCCTATACTTAAGACAGGTGAAGTCTGCGTGTCTTCAACCGTGATTACACCTCACATGCACGAGAGCGATGTCCCACATCCCTCGGCCCCCCTTTTTGTTCTCAAATTCCCCAAGCCCATTATTCCAGCTTATCCAGATGCTCCAGCCTTGTCAGCACCACCTGCTTGCTCGTCTCTTCGATCTCACCGGCGAGGAAGACCTCGTCGAGGATGGCGTAAACCTTGTAAAAGTTGAAGACGAGGTCGAGCTCGCAGACGTTGCCAAAGAAGGCGTCAAGGACCTCGACGAAGAAGTGGATAGCCTCGAGGAATGCCAGCTCGTTGTCATTGGTATCAACGCAGGCGCAGAAGAAGAGGCCGGCGTAGCGGCGGTAGACGATCTTGTTGTTGCGGAACTCAACGAAGTTGGACTGGTACTTCTGGTCGCGTGGCGCGACGAGGCGATGGACCTGTGAGAGAAGGGAAGCGTCAGTCGGCTGACGGGGTAGAGGGACAAGGTGTCGAAGAGGAAGGGGGAATCCGCACCTCGCCTTTGAGCTTGATCTTCTCGTCGTCGCTGTAGGGCGCGTACCACTTCGCAAGACGGGTCTTGCCCCTGGATCGCGGGAAAGTCAGTCAACTTCTCCCCCTCCGTTGTTCTCCCTATCCGGCCCTTGCGGACGGATCCGAAGAGCAATGGGATACATACTGGCGATTCTGGATCAGGATAAAGGACAGCATTGTTGCGACGTCGGCGGGGATCGCATGTCCTTGGAGCGTTCCCGTTCTTTGAATCTGGTGTCGCCCCGCGCTTCAGGTTTCGAGAAGTGAAGTCGGCGGCCACGGAGCTTCGGCGGTGCTCTTGCAGGTACGTACCGAAGAACTATGGCGCCGGCAGGCTTAGGGTGGTGCACTAACAAGCTCCATTGCTGTTTCCCCCCTCAGAGTCCATATGGGGGCTCCGTCCCTAAAAAGGTACGTATCCGAGGCCACTCCCACATCCACCTTGTGCATCTTATATCACCTAGGTACGAAAGCTACTGCCAGAGGTGGCCTTGGTAACTAGAGAGGCTTAGTTATACGAGATCCCATGGTACTGTGTTTCTATCTTCAAACCTACCGTTATGGCGTTGTGTATTGGGCATGATGCTGTGTACCTGTGCAGCCTGAAGAGGATACGTATCTCAGTGGGTACGTACCGCGGCTGATTGCGCGCCCCACCTCCCAAAGGATCAAGGGTATAAAGCCTCGCCTTCCGCCCCGCCACTTTCAATCCTTCTTTCCTCCTTTTCCTCTCCATCCGAGTGCAAGGGCATTACGCGTATCAGTGAGGATTCGTCCGAGATCGTGTTTTTGCTAGTTGAAAACTATAACTATGACCACTCCTAGTTGGCTTCGGCTGGCTAGGGAATTTTTGGAACCCTACGTTTTTCTCGATGGAGATTTTCTTTCTATTGCGATGCCTCGCTTTCATTGCTTGCGGCCCCTTGCTGGGCTGAGGTGAAGAAGGTTGTCTCATTTATCCTGAGCTCAGAACCATCGATCCGGATGCTTTTGGGTTCATGCTTATCCGAAGGATTTCTGTTTTCGATGAGAATGTGTAGAAAGATTATATCGGCCTGAGTGAACAAACATCTTGGCTTTGAGAAGGCTCCAACGCGGGACGAAACTGGCCTTGGTGGCGACCATCACGCATTGTCGGCCTCGTGGATCAGCCACCAACGTGGTAACTGTTATTGACCATGCTCATATTTAGTGCACACTTGTAGACTTGGTTCCCTAGGGTAGATGGTAATTTCTAGTCAAAACTGGTTCCGCACGAATAAGATGTCTCGTCGTCCTCCCTTTCACTGACGGAAAGCTCGTTCCCATCGTATCTGCCGTCTGCCACTTAGCCATGTGTCGCGTTTGCTGCCTGTGCCGTTCCGAACTTCCAACAGCATCCATCAATGTGCCGCTTTCCAGCCTCGAGTTCGACTCGACGCCATTTTACCCTTGCCGCTGTCTGCTTTGGTTGCCAACTCAGAGTACCTGACCAACAAGGGAAGGGACGACTGAGGCAAACCTTGGGCTTACTTCGGCACGAGGCGGTCGAATAGGACTTCAAAGTGAGCTGTCCTTATGAAAGAGATGGTATTCAACTATATCTGTCACACGCTGAATGTGCACTGCCTGCTGTACTGCCTGCTGCCAAAGCCTCGGATAACTCTAGGCGTCTATAAAGCAAAATGCTTCCCATCAGCCGTAAGAGCCTCCAAAGACGTCCCCCACAGCCGCCCATTCCAGTCTCCTTCTCCTTCACAAACGTCATGCGAGAAGCATCCCCGGCAGGATCATTCTCGCCACCTCAATATGCCATTCCGTCGATAAAGCGTTTCCGCTACAGCCTCCTCACCTGCGGCCCCAACTCTGCGCACCTGGAAAACCCTTTCCGACTTGCGCGTGCCGCCCCACCGATATAGAGTATCCATCTGCATCGACTCTAAGCGAGAGCCCCGCTCACAGATCGTGTTCCAGGCCGCCCTCACAAATGTGTCTGTGAGTTCCTCCGTCGGGAAGGTTGGCGACAGGAATCGCCCACTGCGGTCGATCCGAGGCCTCCTTCGTAAGCTCAACTTCGTCGGGTCTTCTTCTGTCGTCGAACGGAGGGTCAGGTAAAGATTCCGTAGACGGCGAATTTGTCCGATGCCCTGGCACATCCCCGTCAGCTCCGCCGATTGTGAACGGAATGAAGGAACGGCCACCGTGATCGTCAGGTCTTCCAGCAAAGGACACGCCTCAGAAATCAGGCCGATGTGTTCCGCATGAATTTTGATATCTTCCTCCGGTAAGAACCCGCTTCCGGTCGGCCGAAGCTTCAGTTTTCGCAGTGTTTTTCCAAATCGAGAGACTGCGAATTGGAGCATTGGCAAAGTCAGCTGGGCTCCGAGTGACAGCGTTGTCAACGCGGGGATGACGGCTAGGAAATCTACAGCGGCATTCTCCAGATCGTCAAAGCCTTCCGTATCCGAAGGAGCGCTGATGTAGCCGCTGTTGTGCAGCTCCAGGCTGCCGAGGCAGCGAAATTTGGCGTGTTTCGCAAGCCAACGCAGCTCTCTCGACCCCGCGTTCAGCCTCAGATGGCGCAGGAGTGCAAAGTCCGTGGTTTCGACCCACGATTGTACTCTCTCCGGGCTAGTCCTCTGCATGGACAAGAAAGGTATTGAGCCAAGTTTGGATTCGTACATGTTCCTCGCCGAGTTTTTCCAGTATTTGAGGTTTACTTCCATGGCTTGTGCTATTGCAGATTGCAACTGGCTCTCGAATTCCGGGTTGCATCTCCGATGATACCGGGCCCCGAAGACCGGTTCTAGCTCCACCTTCCTGAGGCTCGGCGATAGACCTTTGACGAGTTTGAACACGACTGATTCATTTGTGTGGCCGGTAAATGACTGAAAGTATTCTTTGATCGAGACGCTGTGTAACTGGGGCGACAGGAGCAGAGCAACGTCGTATGGGTTGAGAGGAGCACCTTCAATGCAGTGAAGGTCAAAGCATCTGAGATCCAGTAGGCATTTTGTGTGCTGGGTCCCAATTGCTTCCAGGAGGAAGGGTGAAAAGCTGCTCTCGTGCTCGATGACCATATTGGTCAACCGGACCAGGGCCTTCAGCAGTTGGACCATGGGAGCCCATGCCTCCGGGTCTACGAAGACATCGCGAAGACGGCGGTTCTTCGGCAACATTCGCTTAGCGTAGCTGAGACTGTCAACCGTCTCGGCTGTCAGACGCAACCGGTCAGGCGAATACAGATCACTGTGATGGAGCGTCCTGTCCTCGAAGGTCATCACCAGGCGCCGGACATGTCGTGAAGCATCCGTGCGTTGCAGCACATTGAGCCACTTTGCGACGTCTCGCTGTAGCTTCCGAGGGTGTTTGATTCGGATATGAATATCGCGAAACAAGTAGCACGAGGCGGCAGCGTTGCAAGCTCTGCTCGTGAGGGCGAAGGACGAGAGATCTGGCAGTTGAACGCCATCGAGGTACCCCGCGATACTGATGAGGGTCTCGGCCGGGAGTGTGTCCAAAGGTCTTTTGATCATCTTAACCAAAATCGTTTTTGCGTGTCGATATCTCTATTTATCAAGTTGACGCAGTCGAAAAGCAAGGCGTTGGACGACGGTGAGGGTAGCTGAGCAGCATCGTGGTGTCTTGCGTCGACATAATAATGTTGGACCAAAAGCACCTCAGGTGAGGCTGGTTTACGCGCATTGCTTACAAGAGAAGTGGGCTGGGATCTCATGCAGGTAGATAGAACTGGCTGGTTGGTCCAACAGGAAGAAACCAACCAACATCGGCCAGGAAACCAGGGGGGCCACTCTGCTAACCGACGGGGACACGGGGGAAACGCCTTTTGGGAAGGTGGTGGCGGAAGCAATCGGGCCAAGCAGGTCAGCTCTGCCACATCCCATGGAACGGGCAATTGCAGCTTGCCCAACCCAAATAACTCCCTAGAGACACGCTTGCAAGTTTCAACGACGAAACTCACATCTTTGTCCTAACCGTTCGCTCAAGAGTTCGGAAAACTAAGCAGAGCCTCATTTTGGAGGAAACAGACGACGGGGGTAGCACTCATCCAGCCAGGCGTATTCTAATTCGCAAGCTGCTGATTTCCTCGGCTGACTGCTTGATTACCGATGTATCCGTACTTCCTAAGCGATGGCGAAGCGGCGCAGCAGTTCCGAGTCACGTAACTCACCTCCCTACGCCCCGTTTGAGTCGTCCAATGCAAACCCAACGCCTCTCCATCCCCATGCCACAACGTAATGGTCAGCAAGGAGCTTCCATTCTTCAACCTCATCAAGACCCTCCAGTCGGTCAACGCGCTCCTTTTCTTCGGCTGATACCCACTTTTCCCAAATGCGCTCAACCGTCAGAGTGTTGGCGTGTTCGAAACCGGCATCGCGCAGGCGCTGTGTTTGGTGTTGCGGAAGCTTGTAGCTTTCCAGGGTCGGCATGCGTATCCTCCTCGCCGCAAGATTGGACGTCATCATTTTGCCAAATGGATCGTCGGGCCTGACTGGCTCATAGATGATGATGGCCAGGTTGGGGATCTTCTGCTCGAACCACGCCACGATGTCTTTGGCTGTGGATGTCTCGAGGTAGCAGAGGCAGCATTCCGATATCAACAATGTCGGGAAGTCCGTTCTGAGGCCTGCGAGGGGCTGTGAGCCTCCTTGCACAAGCTCGCGGAGGTCGCGTGAGTGACAGTAGTACTTGTCTGCCGAGGATGGTTGGGAACTCCACGAGCCATCTTCCTCTACGGAAGGTACACCAAGAATTTGGCGCAATGGGGGGGCTGACTGCACTATGCGTGCCTTTTTCCGCACCGTGACCGCGAAGTCGATCTCGTGGTAGACAAGCTCAGGTCGGTTGGCCCTGGGAAAGAGACGGAACGGGCGAGTGTCGGTGCCGGCGCCCAGCGAGATGATTTGCCTCTGTTTCGAACCCGACTGTGTGCCGTCGGATTCGTCCAAAAAGCTGTCAATGAGGTTGTCGAGAGCAACGGTTCTCGTGTAAGTGCCTGGAAAAGAGATCAGCCTCCATTCTCGACGGAAGCAGATCTTGGCACGGACCTCGATTGATGATGGGTAGCCTTCTTGGAGGGGGCCCGGCCAAGTTGTCCACAAAGAACTGGGCGTAGGGGTCGGCGAGGTATCCTACGTTCACGGCACTCAGGCGCGAGCCGGCGGCGTCGTCGTCGGTCCCTTGAATCGTCTGATCATGGGTCGGGCCCGAGGAGGGACCACCGGGACCTCTTCCGCGACCGCGACCGCCCCGGCCACCCCTTGCACCACGAAGGGATAACAGGTTCGGGATTGAATCTCTAGACATGGGAGATACTGTTTCCGAGGGCGTTGATAAGGTTGAAGATGTTTCAGGGTTTGGGTTAGTGAAGTTGTGAGTGACGTAGGAGGGAAACCACGAGGTGGGGCGCCTCTGGCATTGCCGCAGCCAGCACCTTGTACGGATGCTGCCATCGCATTGGATCTCGACGCACAGTCCACCTTAGTGCAGAAAGCCATGCAACTTTGTTCCCTCCGCGGATGCACCTATCGAACAATACAAAAAAGAGAAGGAGATTGGGACGGGCCGTTGGACGCAGTGGAGCCAGAGTGGGAGATCTGGAGAACCCAACGATAGATGGATGCATGCATCGTAGTTCCCAACAGCTGCGTTGCATTCTGTCAATCGCCGTTGCACTGCTGAAGAATCTAGCGCGGAGAACGGTCACATTGTTATCTATCCCATTGAGTGCGAAGTGACCTCACATAACCCAAATGTGGGTCTATGTAAATGATCACCGACAGCTATTGGATAGTTGGCCTGGGTTACTGTAGTCTTATCGGTCTGAGGTTGTGTGAGGTCACTTCGCACTCAATGGGATAGAGTATTCAATATAAACTATGTGGAAGGCATGGCCGATCCTTGTTACAGATCAGGATGACTATGATACTATCCAAAAATGGAAACACTAGGTATGTGTATCCCTTCGGGTGCGTCGGGAGGTGCATCATCTAATACGTCGGACGATGAGGCTTTCTCCAAGCCACAGGGGAGGGATATGAACTCCATCATGCAAACACGTCCCAGAAGAACGTCCCAGTTGATCCAGGCCCAAAACTCTACGACGTTTCATGCATAATCCCAGAGTCCAAACAGCGAACAGACCTTCGCCTGGATTCGAAGCGTGCACCTGCGTTCATGCTGGATAGCCTTATCAATAGTTCGAACATTTGCAAAGCAGACCGAAATGTGCTGTGCAGCCGCTACACGACCTGGCCAATGGTATATCATTTCAACGAGAAAGTGGATACGAGCCGCCCGACATGTTAGAATACGGCACGCACCACTTTATGCCCGAGGCTCTGCAGCTGGCGAACCAATAACTAACATTTGTGCTCCTTCGTCGTCCGCTTGGTTTGCAGAGCGCGTCGTCAGACAGGCCGTTCGCAAGGTGTGACTCGTCGATGGAGCTTGAAGGATCTGGGGGCTAACGGGGCGGGAAGAGACGAGTGTGGCTGTGCCTGCCTGCTGCCTGGTGATGTGCTGCTCGTACCCCGGAGGGTCCCACCATTAGGTAGCGTGTCAGTACACTATTTCCTTCGGCAAGGTACTTTCTGTAGGCTGGTGCACTCACACACCAGCAGGTAGACTTTCCCGCCACCAAGCAAGCGTCTAGGCAGCACAGGCGCAACGACCCAATGGCATGCATGTTGACGCCCTTCTGGATCCATCCTATACACTTCCGTCACTTCCATCACTTCCATTCTATCTATACTCCTTAAAACCTACCGACCTCAACCTTTCATTTTGACATCTTTTCCCACCATTCATCGTCACATTTTACATTTGTTTATTGCATTTCGTTCGCCGAGGTCAAGCAGCAAATATGAAGGCCGAGATGCAAAACCTCGCCGGCGCCATCTACAAGAGGGCCGTTAAGGAGATACCTGACCAACCCCAGCTGCCCGCGTGGAGCATTGCAGTCTACATTGCCAACTTCCTTGTCTTCGTTCCCCTCATTGTTTGGGTAAGCAAGCGCTCTCTCTGTCTTCTCTGCGTGATCCTTATTGCCAGCCCAGCTCGACTAACACTAGATCTCCCAGACGGTTTACACCCTTCACCAAGTCTACCCTATCTTCGCCATCGTCGAGGATGAAAACCCGCCCGCCTACGACCCCGTCGACCTTGCCGAAGATGATGGTATCATCCCCTCCGCCGGCCCCGAGGCGCGCGCCGATGGTCCCGTCCCGACGAACAAGGCCATCACCGGCGGCCGCCCCACCACTGTGACCTCGTCCCTCCGCTCCATCAACCGCCTCCTCAAGAGCTACGGCGGCTGGCGCGCAAACTTCCGTGGCTTCTCCGTCTACTTGGTACAGGCCATCGCCACGAGCCTTCTCTTCGGCCTCTTCTCCAGCTTCCTGCCCGGCACTCTCGCCTCTCTCGCGACCCTCCTCGCCGCCCTGTCCCTCGTCCAGCTCAGTACCGCCTGGGTCCACATCGTCATCACTCCGCCCAGCTCCCAGCACTTCTGGCAGCGTCTGCCGTCCTTCAAGCGCACCTTTGATGCCACCGCCCGCCCCGTCGCCGCCTACTGGCTAACCGAGCAGGTCGCCACCTGGATCCCCATCGCCATTGGCTGGGCCATCGGCATGGACCTGCCCAATATGCAGTTCGGCAAGCCGTCGACCGTGCCCCAGCCCAATGAATCTGATGCCTGGAAGAGCATCGTCATCACCATCATCAGCATCGCCTTCCAGGTTACCGTCGTCGTCCCGGCCCACGTCGTCCTCGTCCGCGTCCAGGCCTCGCTCCTCCCCGAGGAAGCTAACACCATCATTCCCTTCGACCGCTCGTTCGGGGGCAAGGTTGAGCCCCGCGTCGTTGGCGGCAAGGGCTACGCCACCATGGACGATGCTTGGAGCGGTTTCTCCCGCTCCGCTTGGAAGCGTCTCGTCATTCTCTACGCCAAGCTCTTTGCCACTACTCTTGCTGTCTTTGTCTTGATCACCGCAATCCTCATTCCCCAGATCATTCTCATCAGTACGCTCGCGAAATAGATTGCGGGTCCAAGTTCGTTGCTGGCTTAGCTCAAGCTCGCAGATATTCGCCTAGCAATTTTTGACTCGAAGTCTTGTGTGAATCCGCCATCAGACTTGCCTTGACTTGGCGAGATAGCTTGTTTACTTATCCCTACCTAATAACTTGTGGAGAGACTGCTGAGCCGAAGCAGCGGGACGCTAGCCTGGTCGTTTCTAGTTGCCATTATAGTCATTGGATACATCTCCTATATCATTCTCAACCATACCCACCCTCAGGTAGCAAAAATTGAACATGAACGTTGCGCAGTCATCGATATTAGCAGCAAGTCTTCTTTTGTACTAGCCTCATTAACCGTCAAACGTCTTGGATTTCATAAGTGGCGAGGTCCGTCGTGTCGTGCCACTAACTGCCCCCAGATTATGCACCCAGCAGTAACCCTTATTGCCAATCGGCCGTTCTTCTCGCCCTGTCGTGGGCTTCTCCTCCCTGTCCGTCCACGGCCGATCCAGCCCGTCGAGCACCCTGCTTCCACACGCCTGATGAGTCTGCCACCAAACGCCTTCTGGTCATTTGCGGGCGACGCTCCCCATGAAAACCATTCGTCCACCCTCACACACCCACCAAACCACTCAATCCCCCCTTGACCAAAAATGATAAAGACCACCCAGAAGCTGCCATAAAAGCAAAATCCAAGAGCAAGGCAAACCCAACCGAAGAGAGGAAGAAGAAATTTTTTAACGTCAAAGGATACTGTTCCCTATCCCAGTCCTTGTGCTGTGTCGTCCAAATCTGCACTTATAGTCTCTATCGGTTTGTCTTGGTTCTTTCTTCCAATGTACCGGGTTAAGCAAAAGGGGAGAACTTTCTGCCAGGAATGGCGGGTAGTGTAGTCTTAGTAACTAGGGCGATAAAGAACCGTGCCGCCAGTATCAGCACAGCAGGGGTATAGTGGTCTAGTCTGCGCCAGGCTATCGCCTGTCGCATGTGTCGTCATGTCTATTTGGGGGATGAGAGACTGCGTTTCCTGAAACGGTATGCCCGATAGCAGGAAAGCAAGGGTTAAAGCGGAAAGGTGGGCCCAGTAAAACAGTCTTTAAGACTTCTGGGAGAAGAACCAACTGCTGCGCTTGCCAGCACCGCCCTCGTTTTGCTGAATACTGCTGATAACGGGAATGGAAGGTCCCTGGTTGTCACCACCACCGCCACGGAGAGGCTTGGCAATACGGCTGCCGGCGTTGGTGAAGCTGAAGCCGCCAAGCGAGGGAGAGTTCAGGCCGCGGGTGCTGCCAGCCTTGGCAGCCTCCAGCCTCTCCTTGACAGCAGCGAGCTGGACTTCAAACCTACAAGGCACCAGTCGTTAGCAATGGGTCCGAGCATGAAATGATGCGTTGGAAAAGGGGGCATGAATGAGTGACAAGCAGGGGTAAAGGAGCAGTCGTACTTGTGGTTTGCAGAGGCCATCTTCTCCTGGCTATCCTGTAGCAGGCTCTCGAGGCTCTGGATGCGCTCGTTGCGAGCAATGAGCTTGCGCTCAGCAATGGCAACCTCCTTCTTGAGCGCCGAGTTCTGCTCGACGAGCTGGCGCTGAACCTGAGTCAGCTGCTCGAGGTTCCTCTCGAGGAAGGCCATCTTCTTCTGCTGCGCCCGGTTGTTGGATGACCGGAGCACGTTGTTATATTGCTCTCTCGTCTCGTCAAGCGAGATCTCAAGCTCAACCACACGCTCACAACGGTTCTGAAGGTCGCGCATGAGGCTCTTCTTCATGATATCGAACTCAGCAATCTGTTGCTGGATGGACTTGCCGTTGGCCATTGGTGCGGCAGTGCCGGCCTTGACTCTTTGCTGGAGGTCCTCGATGAGGGCCTTCATCTTCGAGTTCTCGGCAGCCTTCTGCACGATCTCGGCCTTCAGCTCGTCCACGAGCTCCATGGAGGTGGTCTGCTTGTTGGAGTAGGCGCTCTCCAAGCGAGACTTGATCTCCTCGACGTCGTTCTCGCTCAGGTTGCGGGTAAGAAGCTCCTCATACTCTTGCTGGAGAGACTGAAGGCGGTCCTCGAGCTCGGCTCTGCGGCGAGCGTCTGCCTCGGTGGAGGAGGCGCTGTAGACGGACAGCTCGGCTTGTCTCACGATTCCTTGGATCTCGACGAAACGCGTCTTGAGCGCCTCAAGCTCGTCAGGGTTGACGACTTCGCCGGTAGAGCTGATCTCGTGCAGAGCCTCCAGTTGGGCAATGGCCTCCGCGATGGCCTTTTCGTTGTCGCTGAACACATCGGCGCCGAGATCGAACCCGGCCATCATCTTGGCCATTTTCTCAGCCTTCTTCTTTTCTTTCTCGTCCAGAACCGCGCTCGTCTCCTTGGCGCTCATCTTCACGTCGAGAAGTTGCTGCTTGACCTCATCAAGCTCTGTTGTCAGCTCGGCGTTCTGCTCCTTGAGTGCGTCCATGGTGATCTGTGCCTCTTTGCCCTCGAAGCTCAGGCGCTCAAGCTGCATCTTGACCTCGTTCACCTCGGCGTGGAGTTTCTCATTCTCCTTGCCCGTCTTGGCGTCGTGCTCCTTAAGATAGGCGAGCTCCTCCTTGGTCTCACGGAGCACCTTGTCTGTAGTGTTGTACTGGCTCTCCTTTTCGGCCAGTTGGTCCTGAAGCTCGTTCTCGCGACGCAAGAACTCGTCTCGTTCGTCCTTGTCCAGAGGCAAACTTGGTGTTCCTGAGCGCTCTGAGATTGCGGGTGTCTCTGATCTGCTTTCGGGCAGCAAGCGGGAAGGTGTCGATGGACGGTGTGCTCTTGCTTCTGCCTTGGCTCCTGTGACACCGTCTGCAGATAAGGGGGCCACCCATCTGTCTTTGGGAACAGATTCACCAGCACGCCACATCTGAACCTCGCCCTCCAGGCTCGAGAGGTAGGTCTCAAAGGTCGCGATTTGGCCTCTGGCCTTGCCAAGCAAGGCCTTGAGCTCGGCAGGACTAAGCTCAGCATTGACCTTGGCCTTGTTCTTGATCGCCTTCGCACGAGTACCGAATCGTAGGGTGCTAAGGGTTTCAGCGTCGTTGTAACTACTGGGCGAACAGTTGATGATGAGTGTTGTTCGACTGTTACCGCCAAGGGATTCTTGCAAGATACGGGTCAACTTAGAGTCTCGGTAGGGAACGTGAGAGGATCTGCCGTCGGTCAGGGCGTTGATGACCATTCCGAGAGCACTCAAACTCTTGTTGATCTTCTTGGCCTCCTCGAGCGTCTGACCACTGGCTCCTGTCTTTCCAACTTTTTCGCTACCGGCCAAATCGACCAAGAAAAGCTGGCCACTCTTTGCCGATCCTGTCTCGACGTTTTTCTGGGTGATAGTGACGACGAAGATGGAATGCGAACGAGAAGATTCCTGATTCATGTTGGTTGCAGCGACGGCACGGGCATTTCCACCTCTTCTCATGACCTCGTAGACCTCCTGGACGCTGGAGACATAGACCTCCAGGAGACCCTTGACGTAGACACCGCGGTTCTTCTCCTCGTGGACGGGAAGATTGTCGTTCTGGGGCGCCAACAGGTCGCGAATCCTCTCCATGTAGATTTCCATATAGCTGACTCGTACTGTGTACTCGATAGTGCTGGGGCTAGACATGATACTGGCGAAGATCTGCTCGATGATACGGGGGATAACACCGCGGCCCTCCTCGTCGTCGATGCTGGAGCCCATCATGGTGTAAGACTTTCCGGCACCCGTCTGACCGTAGGCGAAGACCGTTCCATTGTAACCGTTGAGGATATCGTCGACAGTGGAACGGATAGAAAAGTCGAAAATATCGGACTGCTTGCATTCCATATCGAAGACTCGGTCGAAGGTGAAAGAGCCCTGCGCCTCTTTCGACTAGAAAGGTCAGTGTCAGTCACTGCCTACATGCACAAAGGCTTCAAAAAGGGGACGAGAAGGCACTTACGTCGAGGGTACATGTGTCTTCGCCATTAAAAGTGACAATAGGCTGGCCGCCCGATGCCAGTTCCACCTTGTTCTGTGGACGGAACCGGGCCACCACCTTGATACTGTTTGCGCTAGACATGGCGACGGTATTTCAGACCAGCAGGCGTCAAAGCCTAGGTCATGGATTCCGATCGAGTGAAGTTGTTGCGCGAAGATAGAGGGGGGGTGCGTGTGGTTGCGGCGAAGCACGCGGCGGCCGCAGCTCGGCAACAGAGGGGATTTGTGGTGAGAGGACACACACAAATAAGGCGGGATGAAATGACGGTGTGCAAATATGTGGGAAGGCTGCTAGAATGACATGTCGCAGGTTGTTGCAGAGCGGTGGTGCAAAGGGAGAGAGGATGACGACAGCGCAAACCAGCAGCAACAGCAGCCAGAAAGGCAGTCGGATGGGGGAAGCGAGAGTGAATAGTAGAAAAGATGTGTTTGTATTGTTTGGGATTCGGGGTTGCCTTTGGGGGGGCTGAGATGCAAGTGACGGGGTCGCGCTAGAAATCGCGTGGAATCCTTTACTTGCAGTAAGGCGGTACCGGTACAGCACAAATGCGGGCTGGAGAGACAGAAGGTCACTGTGGCACCTAAGCTCCACAGGGGCAAAGGGGCAATCACAAGTCACTCAGGCCCTTGCGCCGGCCGCAGCAATGCACAAGCCAGCCGGGAGCAAGAGATAATGGACCAATCCCGTTCGCTCGAAACCACTTCCCGCTGGTGGTTTCATCCCCGCCTCACCACTCGACGGTACAGTTACCGAATGAATCCCTACTTGTTTTTTCCCCCTTTTTTCTTGTTTTTTACTACCTAGGTACCTACCACATGTCCCTCCTCAGTCCTCGCCCTAGGCACTACACTATTCAGTCCTCGAGGCCCGTCCGTCCCAACAAGAAGGGTGAGCGAGTCCCTGTCTGTCCTTCTGCCGAAGATACCAGCACCCACTGAACATCACAGGGCGTGCCCTCGGGACAGATGGATGGGTCTGGCTCATTACGCACTAATTAGAGGGGTCGTTGACCAAGCACGCGACAGTACCACCGATGCAAGTAAAATTGGCGCAACGAATTCGGGTCACAACAGACTATGTCCCTGGCACATGGGGTTGCTCCGTTTTTGGCAAATGGATACACAACAAACAACGAGGGGCCGCATATTGAACAGTAGATTTGGTATTTCGCTGTTAATGAGGTCCCAAATGCACTTCCCACGAACTCCCCTGCAAAGCCAGATGAAGACGAACCTAACGTCACCAGCAGCCAGTGACTCGACGGTGAAAAAAGCAAAACGCACGACCGCGAAACGCCTATCGCAACAAGGTCGCCCCCAAAGCCATACGGATAGGACAGCGCAAGCCGAAACGCCAAATGTTCCCCCCCACTTGCACTACGTCAGGTACCCAGCCACTTAATGCGAAGCGAATCAAGGAGTCTGTCTGGTCGATCCTGGGTTGCCGCTCACGTAAACTAGTCTGTCCCAGTGCAGCCCTGCAATATGTTCCCAAAAAGGCCATCACCTGCTTGAGGTAGAGAGGACCATGTTGCTCATAAAAGTCGTATGTGTTCCTTTTGTGTTGGTATCATTGTCATCTAGTCTTCCCAGCTCTTCTCAACCGTCTCGCGAACACGCTTCGTATACTCCTTGCGGTTGTCCTTGTAAAGATTCGACGCCTCCACGTTCGCGGGGGAACCGGTGTTTGGGTCGTTAAGCAAACTGTTGCAACGTTAGCTCGGACTGTGTCATCAACTCTCGAATTGAAACCCCCCGTCCCCGTCGGCTCACCTCTGGATACTTGTCAACACCGCGGCAACGTCGTATGTGGGACTCCATCTGTTCTGGAGGATATCCAAGCAAAGCTCTCCCGTTGCATAGACGTTAGGATGGAACATCTGGCTGATGAACTTGACCGCGGGCGGCTTGTTGGGATACTGCTCCTCGAACTGCATCACGAGTCTGAAGGTTCCGTCCTCAAAAGGCGTGTCAGCGGGCCCGATAATCACGGCGTTCCTGCAAAGGTCGGTGTTAGCCTGTTTCTTGGAGGCCCCTTGCAGATTCGAGGCGTATACGAGCATACCAGGTCATAACGTTGTCGGGTACAGGTGAGGCAGAGACGCCGGCGGGAGGGTCGGTCTGCATGCGCTGCTCGATATGTCAGCACTTCTGTTGAAATTCGAGATGCATGGGCATCATAACTAACCTTGAAGTCACGCATCAAGCGGCGGCGGGCGGCGGTCGACATGGTGGCGGTCGGTCGATCGATTACTGATTACCAAGTCGCAATGAATCAAGATAGCCGTCACTGGAAGACAGATGGGTGGCTCAAAATGCTGGCGGATAAACTGGAATCCTAGCTGGTGTTCAGGAATGTTTGAGTTTCGCAATCCGCGTGGTCGAAGTCTGAAGATGAATGATGGAAGAACTGGCGAGATAACGTTTGGGTGGTTCACAGTCCGACTGGATGGCACGGGAAGCAGCTCGGCTTCGCCATCACCGCCTTCCGCTTATGCCCAAATTAGTGGGTCTTGGGCCTTCAACCAATCACGACAGCAGGGGCGAAGCGCGAATCAGACTAAACCAAGCCAGCGGTGAATGTGCGACCACTTAAAGCCTGCATTGGGAACACACGAATGGCGGCGCCACTCTTCAATGACACTGTAGTGTACGAGCCTTGGGCTGTAATTTTTCTTCTCCTTTCCCCTCCCTTTGTTCCGTGTCCTTTTCCTTTTGGTCTTGCTCCAGGGCTTTGTTCGTTTGCTGCTGCTTTGTAATGTTACTTCCAGGTTGTCAAGACTCGCCCTCGGGAATGAGCGTCTACATTATTGCTCTTCACATGCAATTTGCCATGCACTCTCCTGCTGCGCGCTGCAACTACCTACTCAGATGCACAATGCGATCCGTCATGTTTCTCGACGGTTTTTATGTACGCGGCACGACTGCCGCCACAAAACCATATGTGCGACGTTCCAAGAAATGGGATCCAGACGAGGCGCAGATGGTGACACTGCTGTCGGAGCCCTTTTCTGGCCTGACGTTTCCGCGCGGAATTACGCCCCTACTTCCACGGCCCGGGGTGGGGGGTCGGTTCCCCAGAGGCCTGCACATCGACCTGGGGGGATTTGGGTGACCTCACAGCTGCACTCCTTCCTAAGAAGCTCGGCCCCGCCCGTGCCACCCACCCCCTCTTAAGCCGAGGAAGACCGCAGGACCTGGGGTATTGCCGTCCACATGCTTGCTATCCATCCCTCCCGAATTGTGAAGCCGTTGCCATTCTAAGTTTCCTGTTCACGTTTGTGAGGTCATCTCGAATATCCTCTCCCCGTTGTCGTTTACCCGTGCGACTTGCTGCAAACATATACCTGTCGCCAAAGTACTCATCATGTTCTCGAGACAGTCGTCGAGGCTCCCCAGCCAAATCGCCAGGCAAGCGGCGGCCCGCCAGTTTTCCACAAGAGCTGCGCTTAGGCAAGAGGTTCGAGATGCATACATCCTCAGTGCATCAAGAACGCCAACAGCAAAGGTAGCCAACCACTAGCCAGTCAGTGTATATCGGGGTCGGTCACTAACTCGGACACCAGTTCAATGGCTCCTTCACCAGCGTCTCGGCGCCACAGCTCGGCGCCGTCGCCATCAAGTCCGCCCTCGAAAAGTCCAAGGTCCCCATCGACAAGATCGCCGACGTATACATGGGCAACGTGCTGCAGGGATCCGTCGGACAGGCGCCGGCTCGCCAGGCCCTGATCTTCGCCGGCCTCCCGTCGAGCGTCGAGGCCATCACCATCAACAAGGTCTGCGCCTCTGGTCTGAAGGCTGTCGTCTTCGCTGCGCAAAACATTCAGCTGGGCCTGGCCGAGGCGCAGATTGCCGGCGGCATGGAGAACATGACAAGGGTTCCTTACTACGTACCTCGAGCGTCCAGCTTGCCGCCTTTCGGCCACGTCAAGATGGAGGATGGCCTGATCAAGGACGGTCTGACTGACGTCTACGACCAATTCCACATGGGCAACTGCGCCGAGAACACCGCCAAGAAGTACGAGATCACCCGCGAGATGCAGGACCAGTATGCCATCCAGTCCTATGAGCGCGCTCAGGCAGCGTGGAAGGCCAACGCCTTTGCCGAAGAGATCGCACCTGTGACCGTCCCCGGAAAGAAGGGCAACACCGTTATCGAGGCCGACGAGGGCTATCTCGATGTCAAGTTCGACAGGGTCCCCACGTTGAAGCCCGCGTTTGTGCGTGACGGCACCGGCACTGTCACTGCCGCCAACTCTTCCACGCTGAACGATGGCGCGAGCGCGCTCGTTCTGGGTAGCAAGGAGATTGCGCAACAATACGGATCGGGCTCTCGTGTGCTGGCCAAGATCTGCGGGTCGGCCGATGCCGCGGTTGACCCTGTGGACTTCCCTATTGCCCCAGCCAAGGCAGTTCCCATTGCGCTCAAGAGAGCGGGCATCACCAAGGACCAGGTTGCCGTCTGGGAGTTCAACGAGGCCTTTGCCGCCGTCATCAAGGCCAACGAGAAGGTAAGTTCCAGTCCGTCGTCGAGTGGCTCAGCCATTGCTAACCTGCAGTGTACAGATTCTCGGACTGGAGGGTGCCCGCGTCAACCCTCTCGGAGGGGCCATCTCCCTCGGCCACGCTCTGGGAAGCTCCGGATCGAGGATTCTCGTCACTCTGCTTCACCAGCTGAAGCCTGGCGAATACGGCGTCGCGGCGATTTGCAACGGAGGCGGCGCGGCCACTGCCATTGTCGTGCAGCGCGTCGAGTCTGTGTAAAGGATGAGAGATCAGATGGCACGACAGGGTGGTTCCAGGCTATGCGTTGGCCGGGCATAATAGGAAGACTGCATGCACGCTCAGGTCCCAGTGACATGGAGCCGCTTTCCCGAGATTGCGGTGACCATGGCGGGGTTCGAGGCGTGACGTGTCTGGAGGGGCAAATATGTACAATTCGAAATGAGCCAAGGAGGAAAACTATACCGCTTATGGGACCATTATGAATATGGCTGCTGCTTCGTTCTGAGTTCCAGGCCCATAGTGCATGTTAAATTAAAGGTGAAAAATAGCTCAAGAAAGCAAACCAAAATCCGTTCGTGTCGTGTCAGGGTGCCCCGGTTTGTATGGTGCAGCCAACCTCACCGAGCACGCACCCCTGCTCCCCGCACACCGACGAATCCACCTCACTTCACCTCAAGCTCTCTCACCTTGAACCTGCACTCATCGTCGACTCTCAACACGACCCGCGGGGCATCACTCACGTCTCACCCCACCGCTCACTCCGCATCTCCTTAGCGGCACTTGGTCTGTAGTGCCTCCAGTCTCCCGCCTACAAAAGCGGCGCCGACGATGTCCCTCCTAATTCAATTCCTGACACAAATCCGCACCTTCGTCCGCGCCCAGAACAGCGACGAGCTCCGCAACTGGTTACTCGTCGAGCCCAACGCGAACCAGCAATATCATGCTCTCGCCTCGGAGCTCAAGACGCAATTTCGTTCCTCGCCGCACACGAATGGTGGCGGCGGCGGCGGCGGTAGCACCAGCACGGCCCTCGAGAACACAATTGAGAAATGCCTGCCCGAGGAGGACGACGTGCCCGAGGGCCAGGGCTCGCCGTGGCCGGGCTTCGTAACTTTTATGAAGGACTACATGCTCTTTTGGCGCGATGTTGACTATGATGACCTTTTGGGCGCGCACACGCTGCTCAGCGGGTTGGTGAAGTGAGTTTTCGCATGCCCTCTACATGCCACCCTCAACCTCGACTCAGGACGGCCACTCCCGAGATGCTGCGCCATACGTTGAACAAACGCACGCGACTAACACCCCCCACACAGCTCCTGCAGCACAGCCTTCGCTCACCCGACCTATGGCGGCATGCTCCTCAAGACGGCCATGTCGCTCTGCGAGTCCCTCGCGCGGCTGACCATGATGCTCTCGCGCCGCCCGGACCTGACGCGCAATATCCGCAACGTCGACGCCGACGACCGCAAGTCCATCGCCGAGTCCTCGGCCGAGATCATCCAGAAGATATTCACCACCTGCCTGACGGACCGTTCCAGCGCGCGCTACAGCAAGCCCGAGGGCAAGAAGGTCGGGGTCTACATGTTTGCCAATCTTGTGCTGAAACTTCTCTTCGCCGTAAGTCTTACTTCTCTCTCTCTCACTCTCTCACAAACACATTTGCCATGCCTCTTCACACCTCATCTATGCTATGAAATATATATTGAAGCCGCTGACCGCCAAAAGTGCCGGCGAACGCATCTCGCGAAGCAAATATTCACAAACATCTCGACAAACTCCCCTCCCCTCTCACTCTACCCGGCCGCCCAGCGAGTCACCTTCCTCTACTACCTGGGCCGCTTCAATCTTGCAAACTGCCACTTCCTCCGCGCCGCCCTCTGCCTCGAGGAAGCCTACCTCCAGATCCCGCCCTCGCTGACCTCCCACCGGGCCCTCGTCCTTTCCTACCTGATCCCCAGTAACCTCCTCCTCGGCCGCCTGCCCACCCAGCTCCTCCTCTCCCGCCCGGAAGCCGCCTCCCTCGCGCCCATCTACCACCCTCTGGCCCAGTCCGTCCGTCGGGGCGACTTCGTCCTCCTCCAGCACACGCTCGCGCAGCACGAAAAGTACCTCTTCGACAAGGGCCTCCTCCTCCTCCTGACCCACCGCCTCCGCCCCCTGCTCTGGCGCTCTCTCGCACGCAAGACCTTCCTCCTGACATACGCCCCGGGGCCGGACGACGCGTCCTCCACCGCCACAAACCGCCGCGCCGCGACCCTCGACCTCGCCGACCTACACACAACGGCGTCCTACCTCCAGCACCGCCTCGAGGGCTACGTCCCTTCTAGGCCCGTGTCCTCGTTCTCTTCCACGTCCGCCTCCCCGGCCTTCCTTGCGGCGGTATCCCACGAGTCGGCCTCAACACTGGTCCCGCCGCCCGGCGGGCCCCGGAAGCTCCGCCCCAACGAGGGCCTCGTCTGGGGCAACAGCCCCGTCGAGATGGACGACGTCGAGATGAACGTCGCGGCGCTCATCCAGTTAGGCTTCATGCACGGCTTCGTCGCCCACTCGCAGGGCCGGTTCGCCGTCATGGGCGCCACCAAGAAGAGCCCCCTGCTGGCCGGGTGGCCGACCCCATGGACCGCAATCCGGGAGAGGCAGTACGAGGAGGATCTGGACCTCGATCATGTGCCCGGGTGGGTCAAGGGGTGAAACGGGACGAGAGTCGCGCATGGTCGCGGGACTTTTGTTCTGCTAAGAATAAGAAGTCCGGAGGGTGAGAAAGAAAGAGAAACAAAAACAAGAAGAGGAGGTTCCTTCCTCTCTAGATAGAGATGCGCTTCGTGTCGGAAAGAAAGAAGAAAAAAAGAAAGCAAGAAATGATACCCTGTTCACAATTCCCTTCACTCTCTGCCTGGAGCCGGGTCCGCATCCCCTATACCGGCGTTCGCCGCACCCTGCCTGTCCTGATTCCATCCAAGAAAGCTTCACCGGCGCGTCGGACATGCAGCAAGCACTCCTGCTTACTCACTAGCAACCCCATTGGCGAGTCTTGCATGCGAGTGGAGGTTGGGCATAACAAGGGTTGGCTTCCAGACAGCAATTCTTGATTTGACGTGTATTTTACCTCATTGTTCAGGCCATCTAGTCAAGCGGCAGGCCCTATATATCTGTTCCCCGTGCGAATCTGAGCGGCGTCAGACCATCTAGAACAAAGCACAGGGCCGATGCTCAGGAAGGCCATCGCGTGTCTCGTCCACAAACCTCGCCCACCTCTTATATGAACCCCTTCACTAGACAAGGCTCCTCCGCAATAAAACCCTTCAAGTCTCCAATCCCAAGCCCTGCGTAAAAAGTCCTCCCTCGTAGAATCGGATTTTTCCAGTCCAAGGTGCCTCATCCTCTTCGTGTCATGACTAATGTTTCCATTCCGCATAGAATTCTCTCCACATATCCCTCCACGTATTCTTCCAATATATATGTCAAAAAAGAAAAGAAATAAAAATAATGCATGCATAAATGGGTATAGATGAGAAGCAAATCAATCCAAAAGATGATGTGTAAAATGCCCCTCGTCGGAGGAGCCGAGCAGAAGATACCCGAAAGAAAGCTTTGCCTGCTCATGCCATGAGCACAAGAACGCTAAGACAATAAACACTAAATCGCCGCGGTTGTGCCGCGAGCTCCCGGTATGTACGTCAAGAAAAGTAGCAAATGATGAATGTGCCCTTAGTTACCGGCGTATATGTAAAAACTTGCCGCATTGGTCGTAAGCGGCGGTTTGAAGCGAAGAAGAGCCAGCAGCGCGGTAGCGTACGGGACAAGCGTGCTTGCCCGTAGACCTAAAAGGGTACATCCGACTGAGCGGGCTGGGTCCGAGACATTGGTTTCGGGGGTGAGTTGACAGCAAAAGAGGGATGGCGCCGTGTCGTCGTTGACGAGCGTAGACGTTGAAGCGAAGAATGGATTGCTGCTGCTGCTGCTGCTGCTGCTGGCTGGGACGAAGCGAAGAAGTGCGGTTGATGAGAAGTTGCAATCAGTACAGGAAAGTAGCTGCAACAACCGCAATGATGAGGCCGGCAACAGCGCCACCACCTTGCTTGGCGCCTTCGTTCTCCTTCGAGGTGGTCGCGGGCGCGGACTCTTCCGTCGCGGTGGCAGCGGCGGGCTTAGAGGTCGTCATTCCGGAATCGACGGAAGACGTCGTTGAGTTGTCGTTCTCGTGGAAGATACCGGGGACGACGGTAGGAGTCGCAGTCTTGGAGTGATCAGAAGCAGAGCTGGAGGGTTTGACACTGGGGCTCTTGGACGGTGCGGCAGAAGAAGAAGGCGACGGGGTCGGGGTCGGAGTCGGAGTCGGCGTGGGCGTGGGCGTGGGCGTGGGCGTGGGTGTGGGAGCGGGCGACGGGGACGGGGACGGTGAAGGTTTAGCCTCCATGATCTGGACCTTATCGTCCTTCTTTTTCTCATCGTCATCGGGCTTGCTACCACCGGAACCGTCTAGAGGGAAGACGACAATGTGGGCCTTCTTCCCCTTGGGAACAGTGACGACGCAGTACTTGGCGTTGCCAGCGCCGGTGCCGGCAAGGTTGCTGAGCACGTCGCCGATTGCGCTTGAAGAGGGGTCGATGGCGCAAGGCGTGCCGTTGCAGCCACCGTCAGGGCATTCGATCCTGACACCGTAGGTTGGCTTGGTGTTGGAGAGGGCCGAACCCTCCCAGATGGGATTGTAGCCAAGAGTGACGAAAGTGCGACCTTGAGCATCCTGGTTGGCGCCTGCAACGTAGGCAGCCCAGTTACCTACTGCCTTGGACGAGTCGCCCCAGATGCAGCCCTCATCGGTAACACCTGGCGGGTTGACGTAGTAGCTGGCTGGTATTAGCGATGGTGTTTCTGCTCGAGGGGCTTGAAAGACTCACTGAGCAGCCGTGCCGCACCAGTAGCTGGGGTCAGGGACAGCGAGGGTGATGGACTTGTCAATGACGCTGGGAATGAGCATGGCCTCGTTGCCGGGCAGAACAGTCTGACAGAAAGATATGGTCTTGCCACATTCGTTGTAAACCTCAACAGTGCCAGCGCCGTCGACGCAGTAGGGCGAATTCTTGAAGGGCTTTACTGCCTTGCCGTCGGGTCCACAGAGGAGGCCACCGTTCTGGGTTGGTCAGCCATTGCACCCGACCACGATAACATGAAGGATTCTTACCATTGAAGACGGATACGTGTAGGATGAGCCGGGCTGCCATTGCGCCATGACTTTTCCAGGCCTGCAGGCAAATGGGCAGTAGCTGCCTTCCACACATGTCTGGTCAGGACTCATGGCGAAGCCGTTGTTGGAGGCGCCTGGCACGTGGACCAGGTCGCCATCGCTGGGCAAGCTGCAAATGGCCTTGCCGTCAGAGGTCCTCTGCACAAGAGCCCTCTCGGTAAGCTTCTCAGTCTTCTTGGTAAGCCTGAAGGCATCCTTCAGCTTGTGAAGGTGACGGTGAGAGCCATCATTCGCTTCGGCGGGTTGGGCGGACAGCAGAACCAAGGCCGAGCCGAGAACGGCCTGGATAGTAGAGAGCTTCATCTGGGAAGCGGGGTCTCGTCGAGAGTCGATGTGATATCCTCCAGAGATAAATCAAAAGCAAGAGCCAAGTCTTGGAAAGTCGACGGGTGGCGCAGCGAGTTGGTGAACAGCAGCGGTTGTAGTTTGGGCGTCGGGTACCAGGCTATAACATGGAAACAGGGAAATCAAGTAGCAACAGCGCGCGCGCGTGTTGGATTCGTAGCGAACGTGATTCCTTCAGACGTGGAAGGGTAGAGACAGCGAATGTCGGTGTAAAGAGCGGAACGTCTCCAAATCAGAGACTGGGCAAGGCGTAAGGATGCGGTGCAAGGACAAGAGAAAGGAAGAGGAGAACGAGCGTGGGTGGAGGTAGCAGGATGGGTCGACGATGAAATGAGAGAGGGCGATTATTCTGGGGGGGGGGGGGGGGGGGGCACCAATTCAGCCTGGGGAACATTTGGCCGCTTGGCCGCTTGGTCTACACTACTGACTACTGACTGGGTAAGGCCGTGGGCAAAAAGGCATCGAGAGGCGATACAACCCTGGGCGCGATCCCCTCCCCCCTTCCCCTACTAGGTAGCTAGACTGGACATGCCAGAACCAGAATGGGGAGGATAGCCGATGGTTCGAGTAGGTAGGCCTCCTTGAGGGGCGGACACAAGGGTGCTGGTTGGTCATGGCGACATTGAGGCGGTGGGCGAAGACGGAACGGTAACAATGCATGGCGGACAGGCCGGGATGCGCAGACGAGCCACGATAGTAACGCTGGACGAATTGCTGGAGCCAAGACGCGAGGAGGATAAGTCCAAGGATTCGAGGCCCTGGGGAAATGAGATTATGAAAATCGGCATGGGCTCTGGGCCTCGGACGGGCTCGCCAATCAGACTTGGCCATCGTCTCAGCAAAGCTTGACTAATCCCCCCAAGCAACCAATGAGGGTGCGCCGCGCGATCGAGCCGTTGTTGCCGTCTGTAGCTAAACGAAATGAGCGCATGGGGGCTGAAGGGACCGAGGATGGTAAGGCAGGCGGAGAGTACGTACCTGGTGTTTATGTACTTCTAGACTCCGGTACCTGCATAAGTCTGCATATTTCCGCACATTAGCCGCGAAGTCACGTACACTCGCACGGTCCTACCGGGCCCTGATTGGCCTGCCTGGCTGCACACAAAAACGGCAGGGGGGGAGGGGGATTGCCATCACGCCGTTGAACTAGCGAGGAGAGGGCATTGCCTTTTCGGGCGAGCGATTAAGATGAGGCTTCTTACGCAACTGACTTTTTGGGCGCGAAGGGCTCAGAAGAGACGTGTTCTATGGACAAAGTGATTCGTCAATGATGATAATGATGATGAGAGAGCCCGCAGGCCGTAGTGTAGCACGCGCCTCTTGTCATCCAATCTTAACCTTCAAGCTTAATTCCACGTTGACAGGTATTGGCAAGCGGGGCGGATGTTGTATGACAAGCATGCCGGGAACAATTTACTGTTTGTTGTGGCTGTTTTTTTTTTCTTCCTTCCTTTTCGTCACTGTGTACCTATCCGTACCTGTGCCCTTAGATACGTACCTCAGTTGTCTTTTTTCCTTTCCTTCCTGATCTTTTCTTCTGTCTTTTCCCTGTCCTGTCCAGTTGCTAGTGTAACTGGCTGTGCCCCCCACAACCTCCTGAAAACTGGATATTCCCGTTTGGGAGCGACAGACAGACGAGGAGGAAAAGGCCGCATGAATAAATCATTCCTTCTCTGCCCCCTTACCCCGTCAGAAACACCCGCTACCACCATGGAATGGAACGCGGCAGCGCGACCTTCTTCAACAGAACGCCACATGCCTCCTCCAGCCGGCCTTGCCTACTGCTTCTGGAAGACCAAAAGCTCACGATACCTGGAACAAGCTCCACCAGGTTGAGGCCTAGAAAGCTCAGGAAAGTGGGTCGCACGCCTGTCGAAGTTTGAACTCTTCTCCTCGTCCCCAACTCACCCCTTTCAAGCCAAGAGAACAAGCTCGGGCCTTGCCTCGCCTCGAGAGGGGAGGATCGCTGCACCGCTTCGCGCCATATACCGAAACATGCTAGTCCTCTGTTGAACCCCGTCAACCCCCTTCACAAAGCAGGCCACCTCAGTAGGAGAAGTCTTCCGCTTACAAGTTACGCGTACCCTATCGTCGAGCTTCGTCGAGCAGACCGGAACAACATGCAAGGGGAATGTGGACGTCTTGCATGAGCCTCATGTCCCAATTCTTCCACCATTCTCGACCCACGTGCTCTGTGCTCTTAGGAAAAGGGCTGAGCCAATTCTCCGATGGATCGATTTCTCAACAAGAGTGAGTCCCCATACCCCAGCGCCCCTCCCTCCGAGGTGGGCGAGCCGACGGCAGAGGCGGTCCTGGTCCTGTCAGGCGTCACTGAAAGCACCAAAGGCGATCTACTGCGTAGCGACGGTCAATGGATCCGGGGGCGGCATTGGTTGCTACAGTTCATATGCCTAGGACCCTTTTGCCAAAGTAAGGATATTGCCGACATGAATTGTGCAACATTGTTCTAGTGGTTGCCATACGCTGGCCGCACTTGCTGGACCCGGCTGGCTTCAGACGTCCGCGAGAGTGGTCGGCCGAGCACTACAACGCGGAAAGTCTAAATCTCGATGCCGTCCTTGCGGTACTGGAACTCGGAAGTGAGATCCAGATACCAGTCGAGTGCGGTTCTGTTCTTGCACGAGGATATCCAAAATCCGCACACTCCATTGATGATACCTTGTTCATTCTGCCGGTCACTAGTAACCAATAAACGAAACAGGTTGCACTCGGTCATTTGCCCTTGAAGCGGGGGTTTTGTCCATACATCACACCACGCCCGCTAGATGGTTCGCTTGTTTTGATGAGATGGAGCACGCCCTGCTCCGCGCATACTATCACACGACAAGCCATCCTAGGACTTATCTGTTTACTTAAAAAGCGACTGTACCATTGCACAGAGCTTATCGATGGACCCGCGTTATTTAGTCGACGTCTCTAATGTCGCAATAGAATGGATTGGATGCTCGTCGCTGACATATTTTCCTTGACCTGCGAGCAGTCGGGCTTAGTTTTGTTTGGAGCTATCGGCAGTTGATCATGTTAGGTCCTCTCATGTCGACTTGTAGGATGGTAAGATGAAGGGGATCTCACAAACTCGGCACCAGGCGTTGCCATCAGCTAATTTCCGCCTATTGTTGGACCACAGCGTCTCGGGAATTGTAGTCAATTTGTGGTTGCGTTTAATACGTTGATCTGAACCTGCGAATCGGGCTTCAGCCATCGATCGATCTATGTCCGGTTCACAAGCTTGTTACATGCCAGCCACCAAACCAACCATTCACCAGCCGCCATGCACGTGACATGTGAAACGCAAGCCAACACTTGAAGTTCGCCTTCTGATTAAAGGAGATATAGGCCAACAACGATGTTTCTCTGCGTGGGAGGATCCGTCCCAAAGGAGAGTGCTAAGGGTCTCTTGGCGGTCGGCGATAAGCCAGGAGGATATAGTTCGGCAAAGGAACAACTGCCAGTGCGAGCCAAGGGACACAACGCGGATGACAATATTCCATGATAGCAGCTGCTAGTATGGTTGTATTTGAGGCGTGAGGTTCAGCCATGAGCCACGATATAGGTTTCGGGAATCGACACACGTACATGATACATCGCTTTCTACCTCTACATTAGACAGTTTCCAACGTCTGTTAAACGGAACACAAGCTTGATGGGTCTCTGTAAATGAAATGGAGAGTGGCTGTAGGGCCGTAACATTGCACTCATTCCCAATCCGGTCCATGTGAAGTCGAGCTGTCGCTGGCCCCTTTATAGCTGAACAATCCCTTCAACGTGCTGGTCGTTGGTCAGGTTTGAGGTGGTCGAGGGCGTCAATTCTCCAGCAAACTTCAGATATATCGACGGTGATACATCCGTTCCAGGACATTCCAAGATAGTATTTGCCGTGTTGCTGGATGATGAACGGAGAGTTGGTATTGCAGCGGCTGGCCAAGTCAGTTGGGGCGATGTCTGAGTACACCATGTCGGTATCGGCCTCGCGCTCATTGGTTTTAGTCGACTACGGCGATGAGTTCCGTCTTGAGAGCATCAACGAGCTGACACAGCTTCATAAGGGTGCCTACTTATGATCTCGGTGTTTGTTTCTTTAAGTGCTAATCCGTAAATCCTATATCATGCAGTTAGGCTTGACTTTCGGGCCGGCATTACATATCCTCATATACAATCATTCTTCTAGTCCGGCCAATCTTGTTCGGTCGCTATTTTATTTTAGTACAAACGCGCCTTTAAGAAGGCCATTTAATCCTGCTTTCACAGGAGGCAATACACGGCTTAGCTGCCAATCTGAACCGTAGCTTCGTTCGAGCCAGGCATGCCCAAGATTAGACCTATCAGTCTGCCCGGTATCTCGGTACATATACTCGACCATACTTGTACATGGCACTGTACTCTCTTGCTATGCTGAAGGAAACACTCCAGCCAACGAGCGTCTCTTCCGATATGATGCGGTTGAGATGGCAAGCCCATCGAGAGCATCCGGGCCATTACTGCTGAATACGCACTGGACGGTGGCAGAGGTCAGTAAGGATATAAGTCGGCCTTCCTTCAGATGTAAGCTGCAGCCGCTGCAGTTTTTGCCAGGAAACACAATATGCAGTTCTCCAGTTAGGAAGGCAACGCTTGCCTACTAGTTGGCTAAGACGTTTTCGACTACCATTGCGGTGTTTATATAGGTTCTCCTTGGGGGCAAATTCCATCCATTGTATGTGTAAGTGGGAAAATAGACCAAGTGAATGTTGTCTTAATACACAAGGCCCCGGAAGCCTTTGTTTCCTGACGCAAGAAGGGGATTGAGTAGCAACGACGCACTTGCTGCTACAACCAGACGCTAACCCTGTCCGTGAAAGTTGCCGAGAGACAAGCGTAAGCTTAACCCGCGACCCCTCATCGCTTCATGTGTCTTTGCGCGGTTGGCGTCTCTAGTGTCAGTTTTGAAGTCCCGGAATAGGCAAGCCGAGGATAGTTGGAGATGACGGCCCCGGCTCAAAAAAATCCCCAACGGATACAGATCTGCAGGAGGAGCCGGCTAGGGGGAACAACAGACAGGCAGTCACTTAGACTACTACCGCCGGCCACCGGACGCGACCACCGCATCTTCCCAATTGGTGCGAGCATCGGGTGTCCTGTTTGTTGAGACGAAAACGTCGCCACCTCCAGGACGAACGACTCACGAACAACACCTCACGGTATTCGTGCCGGTCTCCAACGCGGAGATAGAGAAACGTCCGAGGTTGCATCGACGAATCGGGGTCTCGAGATGCCGCTCGGATCTGCACCTCACCCGCATGCAATGCTGTCATGACATGACTCCAACCACCCCGCGTTTGAGATCGGCCAGAATGCCGCTCGACTGTATCGGTAGTCCTTCTACCGAAGCACGAAGCCGTGCCAGGGCAGTTTCTCCTCATCCCCCCCTCCCCCGCCTTCATCCCCACGGGGTAATGGATCCCTCATGTACAAAAAGGGCATACCCGAGCTATTCTCACGGGAACGCCCGTCAAGGTCGTCCCTCGCTCATCTACACAATATCCCATACCCTGTCTTGTCTTAATGCCCGTATAGCGGATACTCGGTCGGGATGGACGCCAATAAGCCAAGCATCGAACAGGACGAGAACGTCATCAAGGCCGACAGTGTCAGCATCAAGCCCACGGCCGTGAACCCAACCCCAGCGGAATGGGCGCAGCACTTCACCGGTCAAGATGAGGCGTGGCACAAAGCCATGGACAAGTCCCTCCTGAAGCGTGTGGACCGGCGCCTCATGCCGATGCTCGTAATCATGGTGAGTCTCATAATCAACCCGCCGGGGGTCGCCTGGTAAGCAGGGAGATTCATTCTAACAATGTCCAGTACCTCCTCAACTTCCTTGACCGCTCCAACCTCGCTCAGGCCCGGCAGGGGACGCTCGAGAAGGACCTGGGGATGACGGGCACCGACTTCAACCTCGCGACCTCCATCTTCTTCGTCGGCTACCTCCTCATGCAGTTACCCTCGAACCTGCTCCTGACGCGCGTGAAGCCGTCCTTCTACCTGGCGGCCTCGTGCTGCCTTTGGGGCGTCGTGTCGACCTGCAACGCTGCGGCGCACACCTTTGCGCACCTCATAGTGATCCGCTTCTTCCTCGGCTTTGTCGAGGCGCCCTTCTTCCCTGGCGCCGTGTTCCTCATGAGCTCGTGGTACACGCGCGCCGAGCTGACCCGCCGCATCGCCTACCTATACGCTGGCAACGCGCTGGCCAACATGTTCGGCGGCCTGCTCGGCGCGGGGATCCTTGGAGGCCTCGAGGGAGACATGGGTCTCGCCGGATGGCGCTGGTTATTCATAATCGAAGGAGTGGCGGCTATCGCATTCGCGCTCGTCGCCATGTGGATTCTGCCCGACTACCCCCACACGACCAAGTGGTTGACGGACGAAGAGCGCGCGTACGCCGCGTGGCGCCTGATTGAGGACATCCAGGAGGCCGACACGTACGGCGAGCAGAGCGTTTTGGACGGCGTCAAGATGGCGGTGCGCGACTACCGCCTGTACATCTTCGTCCTGATGCAGCACGTCAGTTTGGTCTCGCAGACGTTCCAGTACTTCTTCCCGACCATCGTGGGCACCCTGGGGTACGGCAAGATCGAAACGCTTTTGCTCACCGCACCCGCGTGGGTAAGTTGGTTGCGGGCCGTCTTGTCGTTGTTGTTTGCTCTGCGCCCTCTGGCTAACTTGGGAATGGACAGGCCGCGACATTCCTCACCTCCCTCTACGTCACCTGGTCCTCCGCCAAGACGAAGGACCGCTCTCTGCACATCGTTTGCCTCACCCTCGTCTCGGCCGTTGGCAACGCCATCGCCACGGGCTCGACCAACACCGGAGCCCGCTACTTTGCCATGTTCTTGATGCCAATGGGCGCCATTAGTGCATGTAAGCCCCCCCCCCCCCCGGCTCCCCTCCCTTCATTTCTTCCTCGGAACCGACTTGCTAACATGTTTGGACTCGCAGACCAAATAATTGTGTCGTGGGTGGCAAACTCCTTCCCCCGGCCGCTCGTCAAGCGGTCGGCCTGCATCGCCATCGCCAACATGATTGGCAACACGGCGACCATCTACGGGAGCTACCTGTATCCCAGCAGCACGGGCCCGCAGTACATCCCAGGCGGCAGCGCCAACACGGCCGTCTGCGTGCTGGTCGGCGCGCTCGCGCTCGTGCTGCGGTACCTGCACAAGTGGGAGAACCAGAAGCTGGAGAGGGCCGAGCAGGACGCGGCGGCCCTGGCGGAGAGCGGCGAGAAGCTCCCCGTCGATCTGAAGCAGGAGAAGCGGGCTGCCGGGTTCAGGTACGTATACTAGAGCGGTAGGCCACGGCGAAAGGGCCGTGATCGGGGTGTTTGATGGGTACGGCGGAAGTAGCAATAAATGAAATTCCCATGGAATCATGCATACGGCTCTCATGCCGGTTCTCATCCGTAGAAAAGCCACTCTGCCAAAGCAGCTGCAATGGTCAGGGGCCTACATGATGTGGCCATGGTCCTAGAGATAATGTGTCCGACGCTTGTGTACAGCCCTGGTCACGCGCTGGTGACTCCGCTCAGTGAGTACGGGGCTGTTTGGATACAAAAGAACCCGAGTGTCTAGACTGCTGTCATCACTGAGAACATGGAGAGGCGAGATACAGGGTTTTTTTTTTCCCCTCCAAAAAGAGTGTTGGTGGTATTTTTAGTGTGTATATACAGGGTGTTTTTCTGAGTTAAAAAAAAGAAAAGAAAAAGAAAAGAAAAAATGCTGCTTCTATTCCCACCCAGCATGCCATGACATACCGAGACAGAAAGAAGAGAAAAGGTTACAAGAAGGCTGAAAGATGGAAGAAGTGAAGTAGAAAACAGAAACGCTGATGCAAGCCTATGCCTATAACCGTGCCGTGAAACCGACCCAAACAAAATGACGGCCGGCCAAAAGAAACGCCATACTATGCGACCCAAGACCCGACATCTACCGCCCCTCGCAGGATCTCATTATCGTTCGTGATGCTTCATGTACTCGTGCACCGCCGTGGGCAACGTCTTCCCTCTACAGGGAGCGCTTCTTGATGTTGCACTTCTTGAGGCACTCGTCGACGCCGAGGGCGATGCTGGCGGGGATAGCCTTGCGGACGCGGTCGATGTCGGCGCCGGCGATGCTCTGGCCAAAGGTGGCGGCGATCAGGTCGTCGCTGAAGGCAAAGGTGCTGTCGGCGACCTGGCCGGTGCCAAAGTCCTCGGCGGCGAAGCTCGCGACGAAGACGGCGTCGTCGCAGTCCGGGTTGAACTGGCTGTGGATGGAGCCCTGGTAGAAGGGGGTCATCTGGAAGGGGCCCAGCTCGGTGGTGATGACGCGGCGGGTCTTGCCGTCGGCGGCCTCGACGACGCCGTTCTCGGGCGTCATCTCGGTGATGAGGCGGCCCTCGACGACGATCTGGAGCTCGGCGGAGCGCGGGTGGACGTGCAGGGTGTTCATGCCGCAGGGACCGACTCTACCGACCGCCATTCCGCTACCAGTGCCGACAAGAGCGGGGAAGGTCTTACGGTTGGCAGCGATGAGCTCGCCTCCTTTGCCGGGGTTGTTCTGGGGCTGGTTGAAGTCGAAGACGAACTGCTTGTCATCGGGGAGGAGCTTGAAGCGGTCGGCGGCGCTGTGTGGAGCTGTTAGTCTGGGGGCGGGGCTCGGAAAGTGCGTGTAAGTGGACTCACGTGTCGGAGAGGAAGAGCTGCTGGGTGAGAGACAGCGTGGAAGCGGGAGCGGGAGCGGCGGTGGAAGTCTGCGCCGGGGGGCTGGTGCTGCTGTAGGGAGCGGCGAATGCCGAAGAGGCAAGGGCCAAGATGGTGGCGGCGGCGGCAGGAGTGAAGTGCATTTTGTCTGATTTATTGAATGGGGTTTTTTCGTTTCTTATTTCTTTTGGTCGGATGACTGATTATTGCTGAGGCAGGCTGATGCAGACGAAGATGCTGAAACAGAGACGTCAAGGAAATGAGAAAAAAAAGAGGAAAAGAGATGAGAGACGATAGGAAATCGTAGACCGGAAAAGCTTGTGTGATTACTGTGTGATGAGATGCAAGAAAGAAGTCATCATGGTGACGGGATGCGAGGCATTGTTATATACTCGAGAGAATCCGCATCCTCTGGGACATACATGTAAACTAGTTTGGATTCCTTCAGCGCAAGACATGTAGGTCATCGTCAACCAACATGCAGGAAAGGCTGGGGCTGGGGCTGAGTGCGGGTCGATGGATGAGAGGTGAGAGGAGCAGCAAACAGTATTCCCGAGATATCGTCACCCGGGTATTGTGTCGTCCGAAGTGTGTTGGAAATATCCGTACATACCTACCGGGCTCTAGTCAGCCGTCTGCAGTCCCCTGCCAAACCCGGGCCGCAGCGCAATCCTGCGCGCAAGTTTGTCGTTGATGATAGGTCCAGTTGTTGTTTATTCCACCTCTGCAAAGGACTGAAATGTTTCCTGCGGCCCCGGGCCAATGAGGCTTGCAGACAAGACACCTCCGCGAACCTCCCACCCCTGTTGGCGATCGACGCCTGATTGGTTCCGCTCATTCGGAGCCTGCCATGCCCGGCCCTTTGTAGGGCAGTGCAAAGCCACCATCGGCGCTTGTCTTATTGTTTCTCTGGTGCCCTGCCGCCTAAAAATAACGTCGAGGGAAACAAATTAAGCGCATGCTGGGCTTCCCCCCCTGCACTACGACCGTCCCAACTCCAGCCCGCACACCAACAACACCCCCAACCCACGCCGCACAGGGGAACGTCTCTTTTGTTTCCTCCGCCAACCGACATGCGCGTGGCTGGGCGAAGGATCGCCAACTGTCGAAAGCAGAGAAGGGGGGGGGTCGCAACCCGGCCGACCCTTGATCTACGCCTCGCGGATCACAGACACTCCGAGACCCCACGTCGGCCACGTGGAGACGCGCTAGAACGCTGCGTTGGACGTGTGGTGGTCTTCTTGGCCTCGCGAGCCGTCCGTTGTTCGGCGCCTAATCGGCTACACGGATGCCCTTCACTGCTGCGATTCCTCCGCCAAAGCCTCGACGGTTACACGTACAAACCACAGCGAAGATGTTGATTGCCATCTACTGATCCGACTCCATGTCTATTAGCACCCCGCCGCCGCCATCTTCCCGACTTGACTGGAAGCCTGGACGATACACACGTTAACTAGACCGCTGGTCCAAGAATAGCCGGGCTTGATCAGCACGATTTGGGGATGATGCGGGGTTGCACAACCTAGTGCCCTTCTTCCGAAGTGACGTGAGGTCCTGTGTACATCATTCGTCTAAACCTTCAGACATCAGCTCAACGGTCAGACAAAAAGATTTCGGTCGGTCCGAAGAGGATTTGGTGTAAGCCGCCCAGAGTCTACATTCCTGTACGGACAGCAGCGGGCGCAATACGTCGGTCCGCGCCCCGCCTGCTCAATGCTGGCAGAGGGAGGATTGTATGTTGGCGGAACTGGGTGCCGCGGGGCTGGTTCGGAGCAAACCTTAGCCGAGACTACTGCTGGAAGTCTCCGGACGAGAACAGTTGCCGATCCTCCCGTATACTAGTCCCATAACTCTGGGTCACAGGCGCACCACTGAGGATATGGCTCTACTACCCATCCACACGAGGTTTTTGACATGACCGTCACGTCCAAAGGAACACATATGCGCGAGAATTTGGGATCCTTTCACTGGCTTCCCCTTTGCTATTCGGATGGTCTCCCAAGAAAAGCGGCCTGATGTTAGGCGGAAGAATAGCGTTGATGGTATCCAGGGTTGAAGTCGTGCTATGAGCGAGTGTCGCTGTTCCATACTACACCATGTCACCTAGTACACTCGGGCCATCTTCTCCAATTGCTGAGTGAATGAAGGGAGCAGCGGAGCTGACACTTTACTGTATAGGTTCAGTCCTTTAGTATATCGATATTTACAGTTCGAGATCGAAAACGACACCTAACGCTGGGGTTCCATTAACCGGCAGCGACCCAATTGATGAATCCGTTCTTACGTGTTTTTTACTATTTTATTGTTATTATTTTTGTTTTTGGCTACGAGTCGTTGGCGACGGCTGCCTTAGTAAACAAAACACAAGCCGCGTTGTGATGCCGGATAAATGTCGTACCCGCCGATCCCACCCTACACCCGCGGGTGCTACTCAACATCCCAGGGTCCACCTCGAAAGGAACGTTTGCCAGAGTCAGTAGCACATCGCACGCAAAACTTACAAAGACAAATACTACCTCGGAAAGACGGCGGTGACAGAGTCAGGCAATCTGGGGATATACGCCGGTGTTTTTAAATTACGATGCGTCTTCGATGCAACTGCCGCCCTCCACAGCGCCCCTGATTCTCTGTATCCCTTCGGAACTGTGCCTATATCGGAACGCGTAGGTTAGATCCCGTCGGATCCCGGGCTCTTATTAAATGTACCTGCTTTCTGCCATCAACAGCATGCGGCCTCTTCTTCTTGGCGTTCGCAGCAAGTAGCCCTTCCGTCTTAATCCATAATGATCAACACGCTCGCTGTCTTTCTGCCAGCCCTACTGGCCTTGCCGGCCAGTCTGGCTAGCCCAATCAGCTCTTCCGCCAGCAAGGACTGTGCTCCCGTCTCAGGAGACAAGACGATCTCGGCTTTTCAACTGTATCCCGAAAACGCCGACTACGACACAAAGCGCTGCGTTGCGTATCTGAGGTACATCACCAGCCCCCCCCCCCCCCCCCCCCGACCGGTGTTCCCCGAGATGTATGATCTAACACTCTTCTCAGCGTCCTCTACAATGCCACCGTGGCCGTCTGGGACCCCTCTGCAAACTCAATCGTCGACACCATCTCCCTGTCGGGCCTGAGCTTCAACCCGCTCCTGCACGCTAGCGGCGTCCGCCGCGATCCCCTGGACCGCCTCTCCATCATCGTTGACGCCGGCAGCGCCTTCGACACGTCAGGCCAGAACATCGCGGGCGACAACTTCCTCGTCAAGTACGACCTCAGCTCCCGCCAGGAACTGTGGCGGCGCAACCTCACCGCCGTCACGGGCGGCGTGTACGGCGGCTTCCAGGACACGGCGCACGCCGCTGACGGCACCACCTTCGCCCTCGGCACCTACCCCAGCAGCATCATCCGCGTCAGCGCCGACGGCGGGGACGCCGCCGCCTGGTACCTGCGAACGCCCCCCGACCACACGGTTCACGGCTTCTCGGGCCTCGTCACCTCGCCGGACGGCCGGTCGCTGCTGGTCGTGGACAGCTCGGACGGGCAGATGTACCGCTTCAACCTGTCGGCCGCCGAAGGGACGCCGGTCCGCGTCCCGCTGTCCGGCGCGGCCCTCATCGGCACGGCCCTCGACGGCGTCTCCATCCCCTCGCGCTACAACGGCACCGTCATCCTCGTCTCGGACGACGCCGCCGGCACCGTGGTGCTCCGCTCGCGGGACGCCTCGTGGGACGAGGCCGAGGTGCTGGGGACGGTGCCCGGTCCGCTGACGGCCGAGGGCGCGGCCAGCGTGACGACGGTGCAGATCGGCGGCAGCGTCTACGCCGTGTCCGAGTGGTTCACGGACGCAATCGTCCCCGGCACGTTAGCGGGCAACCGGACAGAGTGGCCGCTGGTCGACATCACGGCCAAGGTTGATGCGCTGCTGGCCTAGAATCGGAGAACAACGAACTGGCTATTCCGATCAGAGACTAGATTTGTTTACAAAAGTATATATATATATATTGAAGAAGAGACTCTATATATGAACTAGAAAGGCAGGCATTGCTTCTTCCGCGGTTTAACGGAGTAAGCACTATAGACTGCCGTACTATTTTATTTACCTTAGGAGGCAATTGCCAGTAGTATAAATAATAGACTGGCTCTCAGTCTCCCTCGCTGGTTTTTCTATAACAGTCATGTGACAAGTCCCTCGTTCATGAGGGGATAGCCATATCTGTAGTATGGTATGAAGCTTACCTCACGGCAACTCTGAAGTTCACTACTGATCAGTGGTGGCATCACGGGATGGGTAGCGACAGTAAGTAATGGACGATTCAACACAGCAACGTATGTTGCCTGGCCATCTGTTTGAAGACTCGCGGTCTCTCTAGTAGCCCAATCGCCACACATGTCATCCGCGTGGGGTGCCTCGATGTCATTTATCTTTTTCGAAAACCAGAAGAGAATGTAAAGCACGACAGGGATCCGGGCGTGTTTGGTCAAGTTCGGAGCTTACTTCGTAACAGCGGTATATTTAACGCGGTGAGCCTGATTGCCGCCATTCTCTATTAACCAGGTAGGTGGGAAACTTGCCTTGAGAAGCTTGGTAGTCGACCTCGCCTCTGGACTGGATCCAGAACTTCTCAGCTCTGCCTTATCATACGCAAAGAACAACCTTCCTTGCCAATCGCGGTGATAAGGGCCAGAATGCAAGATTAAGACGTGATTTATACATTATCCTACACCACTTCTAGCTCTCACAGCACATTTCACAATCAGAGGCTCACTGGCATTCTAGTAGTCTCGTTATACGTTGTCAGACCGACTGCTTGTGATCATGAAAGGCATGGTATCTTGAGATAACAAAAGGCTTCTGAGCCGCAGGGGTACCGTTTACTTTGAACGAGAACGGATGACTTAGCCCCTGCGAGGCTCTGGCTGCCATCCTGGGAGCTCCTGGGGACCGTAGTGGTCTTGCACCATGGGTGGCACCCATTTTCTCGGCACTTCGTATACCTGGCTGTTGTGAGGAGGCGGGCTGACATATGGATCAGGCGGTGCAACAGGCGCGTCGTGTTGTATAGGCAGGTGCGTCGCCGTGCTTTCTGCCCTATCACGGCGCCTCCGTCGGCGAAGAAAGACGAACAACAAGGTACAAACGACTCCTAATATCAGCGCGCCCACTGACGCACCAACAGCAGCGCCGATGGTGACATTCTGATTGCTGGAGCCGGATGCTGGGCTGCTCTCTGGGATGCTTTCTGGGCCGCTGGTAGCACTGCTCAAGGGTAATGAGCTCGAGTTCGGTGTTCTGGACGAACTAGAGGAAAGGTGAGATGTAACTGTTGAGCTTGCTGTCACCGATTCAGATATTGTTGATGACGACGACGACGCCGGGGTTGTTGTAGCTGCCACACCGATAGTTGTGATTGCAGTTGGAGACCCTGGATGGGCCGACTGTTAGCGGACGAACTTGCAACGGCCAAATGGAGACACGGTGTAGGTGACCGGGAAAGATGCTAGGGCTCACCTTGGAAGAACAAGACGTTCTGCTTCGCTGTGCAGTTGACCCGGTCCTGCACCGTGTTGATGCAATAGTACAGCTCCTCCACGGTCCCTTGGCACTTCGCAATCCCGATGCCACCCGTAACGTTATCCGTCTCTGGGTTGATGCAAAACAGCGGGCAGCTCGAACTCCTCCACGAACGATCGGTGCAAGATCCCCGTACGAGTTCCGTCGCGCCCCCTTTCTGCAGTTCTCTCCCCGTCGCCTGGCACATGCCGTTCGAGAGGCACGCGTAGCCCTGCCCGCAGCAAACAGATTCGGCCGTTCGGTCCTGGCATGGTGTATCGTTGGGGGCGATGCTGCTGTCGGGGTAGTAACACACTCCATGTACCCTGGAGAAGAGGAAAAATATGAGAAGAGACAAAGTCAAAGGCGGAAACATGTTGAAGAAACGGGATAATGAAGCCGTGGGCCGGCAGTCACCGGTCAGCAGTCCCGAACTCCAGATTCTCTGTCAAGTCTGCGTAGACCGACAACTCGGTCTCGCTGTAAGTGGAGTAGGCAGAGAAAATAAAGAAAGCAGGCTCGCGAGGTGCAAACGGATATTATCAATCATTCCCCAGTTGCCAAAGCACCCTGTCCTTCGCCGCCCTCACAGAACCCTTGGCCAGACGACAACTGCGTCATTGCCCAACCTATTCAACCTCCTACATCGGTATTCTGGGTGACTCTGAAAAGCTTTCCGAGGCATGTTGTGCCCCAGTGTCGGAGAGCCATCAACCCGGTCGGTTTTCCTTCATGTCCCTGGACTGCCCGCTGGTTCGAGATTTCAACCTCATAACCCATTGTCGTGGTAGGACGGCCAAGATGACCCAAGACTGTAGGATCAAGCTAGCAGGGAGTATAACCAATCATGGATGTTGAGAGGCGGGTTTTCCGACCCGACAGGATGGTAAACTGCATTAAGTTGAAATGAGGACTTGACTCACTGAGTGTTGGGGTGGCCTTTGATGCATATTGTCTGTGCCAGACTGGCCACCTGGTTGACAAAAAAGATGGCGCACCTTAAGTACTTTCCCACACCATCCGCAACTCCCAAAGGCGATGTCCAAGTTTGTTAATTTAACACCAACTAGACGACGGAGTACAAAACACAATTAGGACAAAGGGAAACCGTCCAAGCGCGGGAGTGTATAACCATGACGCAGCACAGCAACCACCCTCAGATCCGGGCCTACAACACGACCCCGGCTCGAACAAACAAAGCGTCGGGCGAAGGAACTGTATCCGACACCCAGCCTTGTGCGACTAGGCGCTGTAGTTTCCTCCTAGAGCGGGTTAATTGCCAATATACATTATGCAGTTTGGCATGCGTGCAATCAAGGTTCAAACCAACCGCGACAGCATCAGGGGTTCCCTCACCACCCAACTCATATTAAGCGCCGGGTTTCCAACCCCTCTCCTCCTTCTTCTTCTGGTAGCGGCACAGCAAGCAGAGCCAACTCAAACGGGCCCAAAAACGTCGCGCCAATCCTAAGCGAACGGACGCGATAAGGACAGGAATCCGACCGCGTTGCCCGTCACGTCGCATGAGAGAAGCTAGAGGAGGAGGAGGTCAAAAGAAGACAAAGAAAGCTTCCGAGACCATCTCAGCTCTTTCATCATCCTGACCACTCACGCCCAACACTCAAGAGGACGACGGGCACCATATCACAAAATGCTACTAGGAAGGCGGAAATTGCCGGGTATTGTCCTCCTAGGTCTTCCCGTCTCCCTCCTTCTATTCCTCCTCTGGCACAACGATGGAGCCCTTCCCGCATTCCCATCATCATCGTCATCTATACTGCCGCCAAAGCCAGTAGAATGGATGACAGAACAGGACAAATCGTATTTTTGGAGAACAGTCAAGATCAACCACCCGGCGGCTCAGCTTCGGCAACTCCCCGTTGCGCCCTCTGTCCGCTTTCCGCAGGTCCAGGCCCGTTTCCCGCCCGAAAGCAGCGTCCGGCGCCGCGTCCGCGAGGAGCGCCAGCAGGCCGTCAAGCAAGCCTTTTCGAAAGCATGGGCCTCGTACCGCGAGCACGCCTGGCTCGCCGACGAGCTTACGCCGGGATCAGGGGGCCGCCGGAACACGTTTGGAGGCTGGGCCGCGACTCTTGTGGACTCCCTCGACACGCTGTGGATCATGGACATGAAGGACGAGTTTTCTGACGCCGCGGCGGCCGCCGCGACGATCGACTTCACAAAAACCGACTTGGACGAAATCAACGTCTTCGAGACCAACATTCGATACCTTGGTGGTTTCCTCTCGGCTTTCGACCTGAGCGGTGACATCCGCCTGCTCCGCAAGGCGGCCGAGGTTGGCGAGATGCTGTACAAGGCATTCGACACGCCGAACCGCATGCCCATCACCCGGTGGAAGGTCGGTGATGCCGCAAAGGGCGAGCCGCAGAAAGTTGGCAACGGCGAGCTAGTTGCTGAAATCGGAAGCCTGTCCATGGAGTTCACCCGCCTGTCGATCCTAACGGGAGACCCGAAATGGTGGGACGCGACGCAGCGCATCATGGAGATATTTGAAGCGCAGCAGAACAAGACCAACCTGCCCGGGCTGTGGCCTCTCGTGGTGAATCCAGAGAAAGAGGTGTTTTACGAGGGCGACGACTTCACCCTCGGTGCCATGGCCGACTCCCTCTACGAATACCTCCCCAAAATGTCCGCCCTCGTTGGCGGCCGTAGTCCAATGTACAAGACCATGTACGAGACAGCCATCGCCCCGGCTATCGAGCACAACCTATTCCGCCCCATGACGCCTGGAAAGGAAGACATCCTAATCGCAGGCCAGGCGCACTCCCGTAAATCGGGCATCGAGCACGAGCCTCAGGGCCAGCACCTCGTCTGCTTCATGGGCGGGCTGATGGCCCTCGGCGGGAAGCTCTTCAACCATCCAGACCAGCTCGCCCTCGCGCGGAAGCTCGTGGACGGATGCATCTACACCTACCGCGTCTTCCCGCACGGAATCATGCCCGAGACGTTCTACATGGTTCCCTGCCCGACCAAGGAGGAGTGCGAGTGGGACGAGAGCCTATGGAAGAATCACGTGCTCCAGCGCGCGCAGAAGGGCTCAGACGACGACGACGAGCGGTCGGCCGACGAGGTCATCCGTCAGGAGCGCCTTGTCAAGGGATTCTCCGCCGTCCCGGATAGGAGGTACATCCTGCGTCCCGAAGCGATCGAGAGCGTCTTCGTCATGTACCGCGCCACGGCGGACGAGGCGCTGCTCGAGGCCGCGTGGGACATGTGGACGGCCATCGACAACGCGACGACCACGGACTTGGCCAACACGGCGGTCTGGGACGTCACGGCGGAGGGGAGGCCGCCGGCGGCCGACTCGATGGAATCGTTCTGGATGGGGGAGACGTTGAAGTACTTTTACCTCATCTTTAGCGAGCCGGGTCTGGTGAGTTTGGACGAGTTTGTGTTCAACACGGAGGCGCACCCCTTCAGGCGGTGGAAGTAAACGGATGGGCTCGAACCGCAAGGCTGTTGATGCTTGTTATGACATGATTAGTCAAGAGTTGAATTTCCCACCTGCCGTGACAGAGAAACGTGCACGTTGGGTGGGTACTGAAATGATGCTTCCGAGACCCAACGTGGCGTGCAGGTGACCATGTTGCGAGCCGAAGTACAAACCGTCATTGCTGCGCTTCTCGAGACAACCACCGTCGCGCCCAATTACTCAACACTTCGAACCAACATTTTCCAAGGAGGTGATTTGATTTGGGCACATCGATAGCTTGCTTATTTGGAGACCTTGAGCGCCGGATTGGGCGTCGGGCGTAGTCGAAGAATGGGGCGCGTGAATCATAGCCCCACCGCCTAGGTAACATAGTGGTTGATTTGTGGAGTTTGAACAACACAGAAGCACAAGCACAATAGCTCAGGGGTAGAGCGCTGGGCTCATAACCCAGAGGTCCCTGGATCGAAACCAGGTTGTGCTATTTATTCTTTTGACATTCTTTTCTTTTTACCTTGAGAAGCCCCATTTCCTCTTTTTTTTTCTTTTTTTTTTTTTCTTTTTTTCAGCAGTGGTCGACGTGGGTATTCTTTCTCATTTTTTTCTGTCTGGTTCCTCTCATACCAAGGTACGGATACTTCGAATGTTGAATGCCGCTTGGTCAGAATCATCTATCGCGCAGCAGGCCGGGTCCTTTTGGGCTCGACCGGGCCGGCACCCGGTGGTGTGTGGGTCTCAGTCAATAACACCCGGGGGCGGCTTTGCTCAAAACGACTTGGGCCGTGGTTGTCATGGAAGCGGCGGCTCCGGGTCATCCTCAAACAGCACTAGAAGCTGCGTATTGTGGTTTCATAGCGAGAAGTTTTACGGTTGTACAGTCGACGACCCTTATCCGTGAGGGCCGTTCCCTCGTACTATATTATACATGCACTCATGCGCGCCTTCTTTTACAATGCCTTTTCCCTCGAGCCAACGACGCGGTCAAAGCTGTCAAACGCCATCGTCATCGAGTGTCGGCCGCCGGTCTTACCCCTGAGATGCTCGTCGAAATTAAGCACCTCCTTGAACGGCACCTTGGCCACAATCTCCACCGTCCGCGCCATCGACTTCTTCCCCCGCAGCGACGCCACCGTCTCATACGGGTCCGGCGGCGCGTAGATCATGCTCACGTCAATCCGGGAGCTCGACTCGGCCGACTTGTCGTTGACCTCAAGCACGTGTCCGCCGGCCCCGGAGCTGATGTCATGCTGCACCATGCCAGCCGCCGCCTCGGGACAGCTGATGTGCACCAGCATGACAGGTTCGAGGATGCCGATGGCCTGGCGAGCGGTGTGCGCTTCGCGGAGGGCCTCGCGCACCGCGCGCGACGCTGCGCCAGTGAAGTGACCACCCGACGGGTTTTCCGTGGATGCCGCGTCAACGGTGATGGTGATGTGGCAGCCCTGCACTGGGGAGCCACGGCGTGGGCCGCGGGCGACGGCGGAGACGACGCCGTTGATAAGCTGCTGGCGCGCTTCTTCCGGATCGAAGCTGGCCGTGCCGTCCTCCGGAAGGTTGATGATGACGTGGATCATGTTGCCGTCGCGCTCGATGGTGGGCTCCAGGGCGGCTTGGCGGTGATGCTCTTCCAGGGGCTCGAGGACGGCGCTGCACGATACTTTGCCCGACTTGCTCGCGACGACCCTGTCGAAAGTGACGTGGTGCGGTCCAACTGTAGAGGTGAGACACTCCTTGTAGTCGACTTCGATGGGGCCGAAGTCGGCCTGAACCTTGGGGTTCTGCTTTAGGTTGTAGACGGCAATGTCCAGATGCAGCTTGCCCATGCCCTGGAGGATGAACTGCTCCGTCTTCTCGTCGCGGCTCCACCTCAAGCTGGGGTCCTCTCGGGATGCATTATCCAACGCGATCTCCAGCTCCTTGGCGGCAGTTGTGCCGTGCGGATCGATGGCGAGGAAAGCCACCGGCGGGGGGATCTCTGGCGGTCTAATCTGGATGTGCTTGAGTGAGTCCGGAAGCTGTCTCTGAGCTACGGCCGTGATAAGCGTATCGCCCGTACGTGCCTTCTTCAGGCCCTTGATGGCGCCGATCTGGCCCGTGGCGAGGTGCTGTATGTCTTCCGTCTTCGCCGCAGAGATCTGCAATAGGCCGAACGGCCGCTCAGCTTGCTGGCTGTGCGTGTTCCAGGTAGACGAATTCCTGTGGAGTTCGCCAAAGTAGACCCGCACGAAGCTCAAAACCCCCTCCTTGGGGTGGTTGAAGACTTTGAAGACCGAGGCCACAGCCGCGACACGGTGGTTACCAGACTTCTTCTCCGTGTTCTTCCCGAGAAGCTGTACCAGATTATGTTTGGCTGGGCCTGCACGGACTTCGAGCTCTGGGCGTTCGTCTGGACTGGGGAGATAGTCGACGATGGCGTCCATCAGGGGTTCGACGCCAATATGGCGGAAACTTGCACCCGCTAGCACAGGGATGACAGCACCATCACCGCTACGGATGGCTCTTCGGATGCTGTCTTTCAACATCTTCCCGGTGATCTTACTAGGGTCATCCGCGAACAAGTCCATGATGACCTCGTCCCACTCAGCAAGTCCCTCCACGAGCCTCTCGCGAGCTGTCTCGATCTCCTCAAGCAGGGGATTGCCTGAGAGCACCTCTTGCAGATCTGCGAACTCGTACTTGGTCTTTTGCTTCTCCGACTTCCACCGGTAACCAACGCGGTCGATAACGTCAACCACGCCCACGAACTGGTCGCCGTCCCACCATGGAATCTGGCAAACGAGCGGCCATCCATTCAGGCGGGACCCGATCTCCAGCACTGACTTGCGGAAGGAAGCGCCGTCTCGATCGAGCTTGTTGACGAAGACGATGCGAGGGATCTTGTGGTCGTGCGCCGAAGCCCATACTCTCTCCGTGTGAGCTTCCACGCCCTTGACTGAGTCAATGATACATACGGCGCCATCAAGAACCGGTAGACATCTGTCAACCTCGAACCTGAAGTCCTGATGGCCTGGAGTGTCGATGAGGTTGATCGTTTTCGGCTTTGTGCCCTGCGGGCACTCCTCAGGCAGTGGCCAGTTGAAAGTGATGGCTGCTGACTGAATTGTGATACCCCTCTCCCGCTCCAGGTCGAGGAAGTCAGTCACTGTGTTTCCTGCATCGACATCTATAGTTTTGTCGTCAGCCGGAACTATTGACGAAAATCCTTCTCTGCTCCGAGCCACAATTCTTATCCACTGGGGTAGCGGAGCTGGGCTTGAAGGGTTTGAGTGAGATTTCTGGTTGACACCACACACCTCCTACACGATGCGTCACGCCGCTGTAGTACAACATGCGCTCAGTCGTTGTTGTCTTGCCCTGTGACGGCGTCAGCTAGCTTGCCAGCGCAAGTCCCGGATCGGATGGATACCTACAGCGTCAACATGGGCGATGATGCCGATGTTTCTGATATCTTTGATAAGAGAGTGGTGCTTCGTTTGCACCGGAGGAGTGTGTATTGACCTCCGAAAGCTTACGATACCTGCGAACAGAGCTCGCCCTGGCAGCCGGCCAATGGGCCGCTGTTTGGGTATTGAAGCTCGAAGCATCAACATGACCACCAGGACATGAAGCAAATGTTATTGTACAAGCGATGACGAATGAGATGATTGAATGAGCGTACTCACATTGCAGCACGCAGCGCAACGAATGAGAGCAACAATTGAATGCGGCAGAGGTCCTGATATTAGACCCTCAACCGAACCGAAGCTGTTGAAAGCTTGATAGCGTGAAGCTCTCCTAACTTCACCTTAGCTAAGCGTTGTCAATGAACAGCCAATCCGCGCTGCAAATCCTCACAGGCCAACTACGGAAGGCGGTCACTGAGCTCCCATCCGGCGCCTGTCAGAGCGGGTGTTAGTGTCACTGAGAGCCCCCTTACAGAGAGAGGCTGGCGGTCCGCACGTGGCTGGTGGCAGTACTCAGTACTTTACTCTTGGCCAAAGGGGCATATACTTTGCGCATGCGACTTGGCCTCGGGCGGGTACCAGTACTTGTTCCCATCTGGTATCCACCGCCATTCCTTGTATCTAACCTGCTTGGCTTCCCAGCTTCAGGAGCCAAACACAACCGAGCTTGACTCGTCAGCCTTTTTTTTCGGACGTCACACCTTGCATCCACCTTGCTCCCTCACATCCACTCAAGACACAACACATCTTCTCCCAAACCCACGATATTCGGCTGCCTAGCTACTCCATCCACGTCAGCTTCTTCTTCTCCTTCTCCTTCTCTTCTGCCACTTATCCCGACCACCGACATCGAACTCGTGTCCGTTCCTTACATCATCCGCAATCGCATATCCGTCAAAATGGAGCTCTCCGACACCTTGTAGGTCCCTCCAAACAAAACCCTTGCAGAGCTACCCTGCACCTCTCTAGATCTTCTAGGCGCAATCGCAAATCGCTAACCACATGGCTCTCGCATCAGTCGCCTCGTCAACTTGGCCACCGCGACCATCATGGTCCTGGGCGGCATTGCTCAATTCTTCCACTTCAACTTGTACGTCGCACCCATCTCCTCCGACGGACCTCTCCCCCCCTGTCCGTATGCGCACGCGCGCACGGCTCCTCGTGCGACGAAGAACCCCCCTCGGCGCAATGAAAAGGACACAGGGCGGCAGAGACGTCTTATGGATATTGACTGACTATCATACTCGTATAGCCAGGGCATCATTGTTGGCGCCTACGTGATCATCTTCGGTCTTTGTAAGCTTCCCTTCTTTCAAGCCTTCGCATGCGCTTGTTTGCCAGTGACATAGCTAATCAAGACTCGACTAGGCACCGCTCTCCTCGGTACTTGATGACTCTCTCGTATATTGCGCAGCTTCTCTAACCTGTTTTCCAGAGTTCCAAATTCCTCCTCAAGTCTCTCGTTACGCGTCCTTCCTTTTCTCCTTCATTGGCCGTGGCGTCTGTAAGTCTTAAGTTTTCCAAGCGAACAAACCCTCGCGCAAGAAGCACTGGCGATTCTAATGCGGCGGTTCTCCTCACAGTTTACATCTTCATTGGCTCCATTCTTCTCTCCGACAACGTCTTCAAGGTCATTGCCGGCTCCATTGTCGGCCTCATCGGCGTCGCCTACGTCGTCCTCGAGTTCGTTCCCCAGATCGAGCCGCCAGCCAACATGCGTGAGGCCGATGGCGGCTGGGGCGCAGAGCAGGTGTAAGCTAGTTGCCCCTTTTTCAACCACACAAGACCAAAATTGTCATTCTCGGATGCCTTCTGTTTGCCTTCCCCCCAGCCTTGAAACCGTTGGTGGGGAGGAAAGGGCACGGGTTCTTTCCCCGCTATAAAATTTCAAACTGTTATACGAGCATAGTTGGATCGGATTTGCTGAGGATTTTCTTTTCTTTTCGGCAATCAAGATACTGAAGAGAAGGAAAACGAACACTTCCACACAAAACGAATCAACCAACGATGATCCCCGGTTCCGACAAGAAACCCGGGCAAGAGAACACGAGAAGAGAAGCGACGAGGTAGGGGACAACCCTGTACAATCCGGCAGAAACCTCCCTATTGTGGATGCGTCTGGCCCCCCGCTGGGTCGGCAGTGTATATTGTGTGCGTTCACAACTGTAAAGCACGAGGGCTATTTGTTTGTGCGTGAGTTGGGGAGAGAAAGAGCGTCGGTCTCATTTTCGTTTGTTCGATGGCAAGTTGTGCCAGGTAGGGAGGCACAGTGTATCACATTTCTTTAGATGGTGTAAGGAGAAAGGGAGCCTGGGAAAAGTAGGGTATTGCTTGTGGGATCCGCTACGACTACTAAACAGACCTGATTTTGCCCTCGAAACAAACATGTTGCGTGCCTGGCAACGACTGCTCACATCACTTTGCCTTCACCCCCTTGCTTCCAATCCATTTTATTGGGGGCGCGAGCGGTACGGTGAGGGCTTGCAATGCCTGACCGGAACGCCAAGTCATAGATAAGCCTTCATTACCATTGCCGCAGTTCCCTGGCCCATCAAAACCCAAACCGCCGGACTCTGTCAAAGGTGACTGCTTACCTTGGTCATCGTCTGTAGGCCGAGGAATCGGCAAAAAGTGACGGCAAACATCAAAGTCTCGGCGCGGTCGGACGAACTGTCCAAACACGGAAAGGAGGGGGAAGTCAAAGAGACACTCATTGTAGAAAGGCACACACACACCACCCGTTCATATTTCCCCCCCCAAAGCAAGTAACTACTCTGCTTCCTCTTGCGAGGATATGGCACGCAAACTATGGCGCAAAAACAGGGAAGAAAGAAAAGTAAAAAAAAAAGGGGGCGATTAACCCGCGCCGTCCGGTGACGCTTCCTTTTGTTGGCTGCCTCGCATGTTTTGAGAGACTTCGCCATCTCTACGCCTCTTCCAATCTCAATGTAGTGACTCGATATCTTGTCCAGACCCTTCGAGAACGACTTGAGAAACAAATAAATAAAAACTCCAACCTGATCCTTTCATAATTCACTTGTCCGTGATGAAAAACCCCCTCTGAGCCCCCCACCCCCCCTTTTGCAGCTTGGCCCTCGCAACGATGGAAACGCCGTGTCGTGTGCCGGTAGAAAGATTCGGGATGCTGAATTCCTTTGAAAGTGCGCCGAAATGAGAGCAGAAAAAACACGCCATCCTTACACTTTTTAGTGCAAGGCCAGATCCTGTCCGATTTGTTTTCTAGTCCGCCCCAGGTAGTAATGAAACAATGCCGCCATCGCGCCGCCGTTGCATTAGGAAAGGAAAGCGAATCCAAGGGCTTGTGTACCCGTGATGCTCCCCGAGTAATTCAATGCTGGATAATTCCGTTTTCGTTTACTTCGTTTTGTAACTTTTCGCTCTCGCTTGCGTTTATTCGTTTCCCAGTTCCGCCAACTCCCTCTCTTTCGCGGCTAACATTTCCCTCATCCTCTCGGCTTCTCGAACAAGAGCCGCTCTCTTCTCTGCCTTGAGCCTCTCGTTATCTGGCCTGTAACCTAGGTTGCTTGTTTGGCTACTTGGCCCTGGAGACGGAAGAGGGGTAGTTTGGGTGTTGGAGTACGACCCGGGACTCGGCGCAGAGGCGGCGGGAGACATGGCAGACCGGGCGTAGTGTTCTGCGGCATCTTCGCTGCCTGAGTGGTATGCAGGGTTGTCATCTGCGCTGGTGGGGTTAAGGATCGACTTAATGGACGACAATCTTTTCGACGTATCCGGCCCACCGTCGCCTGGCAGGTTTCCCTCGGCAGATAGCGATCGCTTCCTAGAGGAAAGGAAGGAAGCAGGTGACAGGGAAGATTGCCGTTCGCCGGCGGCGGTTAACGACGTGATCGGAGCAAGTCGGTTGTCATCGTTGAGCGATCCTGAATAGGGGCGTGAAGTCCGGGAGCCTGATGATTGGTAAGCGGCCAAATCGTGGGAGGGCAGCGGCGAGCCTTGTCGGTTTTGGCGCAGGTTAGGGTCCGGAAGCATGGTCACGGTGTTCGTCTTCTCTTCACGACGCCGGAAGCCCAGATTGATAGACCCGTCTTCATTCATGGTACCCCTTTCAGGACTACCCTCTGGAGCCACGCTCTGCGTTTCGGATCCCTCGAGCATCTCCTCGGTCCATTCGCCGCCGAACGAAGACGGAATAACCCTCTTACGCCTCTTGATGATTGACTTCTTCATCGTCACAGGTCGGTGAACACCATGAAGCTTGTAGTAAAGCCCTGATTATATCAGCACTTGGGAACATTTTCCAGACTGTTCATTGGGAAAAGTTAACACATACCACAGGCATTGCAGATCGTGTGGCCACTTTCGTCTCGCCTCCATAGCGGAGTGATGGTGGTGCCGCAGTTTTGGCAAGCGATCACAACCGTTTGGTTCGTATTTTGCCCCTGGGCTTGCAGTGCAGCAATGTCGACTGGAGCTGCAGGATCATCTACGGCCATCGGCTCACCAGCAGACTGACCTGAAGACCCGCCTCCACAACCTTGCCCCTGACCGACGTTCAGATGGGCTGACTTTGACACGCGGTTGTTGTAAGCAGGACAGCCGCTGCAACCTTCGGCGCCTCCCGTGCCGTTGCATTTCCCACCGCCGGGACAAGTACCTGATGGCTGCTGTTCTTCGGTGACGTACGTTGGAGCAGGAGCGCTGAGATATTTCGGACCTGGGCCTGGCGCGGGGGCGATCTTTGGGGGGACGGTTCTTGGCGACGCAGCAACGAGATGCGGAGGCTTCTTTAGGTTAGTCGGCCGCGAGGCGTTTCTTGCCTTCTGATACAGGCCGCAAGCATTGCATATCGTCGAGCCCTGGGGCGATCTCCTCCACAACGGTGTCCGTGTCGTACCGCAGTTGCTGTGAAGGATCAGAATACAGCTCAGAGGGGGGGGGTTCAGAGGTCGCCGGGGTCTTACCTGCACACCTGGCCCGTCTGGCCTACTGACGAGCCCGTCGCTGTCGGTGCCGGGCTGGGTCTTGGTTTAGACCTGGCATCCTTGGGGGAGCTGTCGCTGGACATTGAAACCGGACTCCTGGCCTGTGACCTTGACGTGGCGTCGCTTGACGGACTACGCCGGGAACCCGACTGTAGGGTTGCTGATGCCTCGAAGCCTTCGCCCCTGCTTACTAGACTGGGGCCTCTCGTCTGTTCTACAGCGCCATGCGTCCCTTCGTCGCGAGCCTTGGGAGACATTCGCCGAGATGGAAGGGCGGTTCGAATGGTCGAGAGGGACTGCTTCGTCGACCACTGTGCCGCCGACGATATGCCATCGGCCATAGCCATTCGAAGAGAAGCGTAGTTCGGTCGGGTACCAATGCAGTGACCGCAGGGGGGGGGGGTATTGACTGCAACAGGAGATGCTAGAGTTGACGCAGGGTGTGTAAACAGACCTTAACAAAGGCGAAAGGGAGTGTGGTCAATTACGAAGACTGAGAGTCTTGGTAAAAGCAACAATGCAAAATCCGGAGAAAGGAAACGGCCTCGGAGTATAGAGGATATGGCCAATGGAGAGGCGGTCGAGAGCGGCGCGTTGGGAGGACAAATGATGTAGGAAGCCAAGACGAACTTAGACAACCCCACCACGGTGCAAAGGTGGTTCGACGGCCGACAGTCCGGAGGAGCGTCAGTGTACGTGAATAGCACCACCCACAAGCCAACAGCGACAACGTCAGTAGATAGCTATGGAGAACCGGCTGACAGAGCAGGTGGGCTGGAGTCGGAGGCGGAGGCCGCGAGAAGGTAAGTGGCCGAAGGTCGCCACCGTTCCAGGGCAAGAAGGAGTGCGTTTGCTGTTGGATGTTTTTCTACAAGCACAGCGTGGCGTGTGTAAGAAGGAGAGGACAGACAGGCAAGGCGGAGGGGCCAATGCCAGGGGGTTGGCTCGGGGGGGTTGTTGAGGGCCCGGAGGAAAGTTGCTGGACCAAGAGCGCAGGCGGGGGAGTTGGCAAGGTGATGGCGCGGACTAGGAGGGTAAAGATGGTGATTTCGAGTGCATGCTGAGGAGAAAACAACGGCCGTTGCTTGTATTGGCAGATGTGTAGGAGTCGTCGTCGCCTGGAAGGGCAGTGGGCTCCTTTGGAGGGTTCACCGGGCGGTGAGATGCCTGGCAAACGGGGTTCAGAAGCACCGAGGCCTGTGTAGATCTCAGACAAGGCAGGTGTTGGCCTAGCAGGTAGCAGGTACAGTGTAGTCCTCGAGTAGGTAAGGTAGGTACGTGGTGGGAGTTGTGTAGCGGAAGGTGGTATCGAGTAAGCAGGAAGAAACCGCGGCGCTGGAGGCGGAAACCCACGAGAACAGAAGGGCCTCGCCTACAACTGCAGCTTTTGCGTGCTGTTTCTGGGCCTCCCAATGACGAGCAACGGACGACAAATGGGGTGAATCGGAGCGCAGTCGTAGGGAGATCTTGGCTGAGAGGTCACGGATTACAACAGGTCATCTCTGATTGGCCAATACGAGGTCTGTCCCTAAGACACTAGTGGCCTCGGTGACAGGGGTGTCCAACCCTACAGAGCAAGTGACAAGACGCGGGCCCCGCCCTGCTGCAGCCTTCGTCCAGCATCGCGGCATTCATGACACCCGGGCCCTTACTACGTGGGTAGGACGGAGAGCGTCCCCAGAGCCTTTTTATTCTTTTTCTTCTTCTTACGTTCTCGAAGGCGCGGCTAGTTCTGTCTGATTGTAAGAGTCGGGTAGTGAGGGTGTGCATCTCGAGATCCACTGTCGGCGAGGACGATCGCGTCTAAACTAGAAACATGATTCGAGTCAAAGCACAGCCTACATGTACTCCGTACTATACGGATATATGCATGCAGGATAACAGCAGCAGCAACCACCATCACGAGGATTGCCCTCTGTCAGGCCCAAAACACGACGAATGTCAATCCTGATCACACTCGGACCCAGATAGCAACAACCGAGGGTCCAATGAGGCGATAAGCCTCCAGAATCCTAGGCCTAGCTACCTAGTCCCAGCTAATAAATACATTACGGCGTAATTAGCCTTTCCGGTTCGCCTGGTCCGGCTCTCCCTGTTGGCCGAGGAGGGGTGCTGCCGTCCTGCGCTGCGACTTGACTCCATCTTACCTAGCGAGCTCGCTTCTCATTTGCTTAGTCTCCGGCTTCCAGTCTGGCGGAGGGGAAGAAGGGACGCTAGTCTCCGTCATATCAATGCCCTGCACCAAACCCTTGGGTTGCCGCCCCCCGGAAGCCTGAGAGGAAGAGACTTTGGAGTTTGCAAACAAGATTGTCTCCATATCCGTACTGCATGGCAACTCTAAACTGCCTTTTGCCGCTGACACGCTTGTGCTGTCAGTAGCCAGTACCCATGTTTTGTCCCTCACCGACTGATGCCCATGCTGACAGCATATGGGACGTGGTGTTACACGAATGGGCAGGGAAGAAAGCAATGATCACGGCATCAAACAAGGCGGTAAGGCCGTGAAGCACTGTACTGGACGAGTACACGCATATAATGCCCAGGAGATCCTTAGTGTGGGCCGATCCAGCACCCATTCTCCCTCCCATCACCTCTCACTTGACCGGCACTGTTCCGCCGGCCGAAGCGAGATGCAACACTTTTGAAAGTGCGTGCGACCCAATTAATTAATCCCCGGACACTCTCCTGCGGTCTGGTCTCCCACCAAGGTTCTGGAATCCAAATTCACCCAAGCGGATGGGCAGCGCACATCCGTACCAGCGTTTGGCTTACCGAAATAAGACACAAATCTCCTCCCCGAGATGCACTGCAACACACCCAATACGAACGCTCTCCGACAAAAGAGGCAAACAAATATTTTGGGTATCTGGGGGCAGCACCGTTTAGTCAGACACCTGGTGATTCGCCAACTGTCATCATTAATACCGAGGTACGTATTTAAAACGATCCTTCTTAACATCACACAGGCACACAATACGACGCCTTAACACAGTCTGTCTACCGCAGTGTAAGCATTATGCCTAACACTGGAAACAATAGAAGGGTTCTAGAATAAACACAATACTACAGAGCACTTTTTGAGACAGTAATGTGCGACAAATCTGACGTTGGCTGGCTGGCTGGCTGTCTGTCCGTGACTGCCACATTTGAGTATCTAACTGTCTATCTGCCCTGTGATTATTAAAACAGGATGTCGACAACATACGCAAATGCGCTGTCATCATTAGTACCTGTGAACGGAAACGACAAAATGGATGCGAATATTCAGCCCCCTCCCCGGCTCCATTTGACAGGAAGGATTGAGGATTCTAAGGAATCACCGATCTCGGCTCTCGACCTATCAATCCACCACACACACACACACACACACACACACACACACACGTACACACACGCCACCGCCCATCCTTTATTGCCTACCAGTTCTATCCTCCTCGTTCTCTGCAGCAAGTGGATCACGCCAGACCAGACCAGACCAGACCAGACCAGGCCGGAGTCCGGCTCCGAGAAGCTCGCAAAGGCGGGCGCGCCCCTCCTTGCCCCGTCGCCCGTGAGCCAGTGACAGGCAATATGAATCAGCTGACAGGGTCCTTTTCGCGGGCCGTAACGAATTAGGGCCCTGCGAATAATACGTAATCCCAAGGGTTTGCAGAGCGATCCCTCGGTGATAGGACGAGACAAGATAAGTGATGAATTAAATCCAAATTTCTCCTCGTAACCCCCCGCCCCCGTTTCCTAAAGTTCCATCCCCTTCTTCTCGTGGTCTGCTTCGGTAGCCGACCCCGGATATGAGCAAGGCCCGATGCACTAAAATGCCGAGCCCTTACGGATACGGCTCTCGGAGATATAGAGAGGGGCGCCGGTTACTTCCGAACCTGTGCATCGCCGCCGATGTCGTGAGACGTCGAGATACTAATTGCACGGACTTCTTTAGTGTGATAGAAACACATCCCCGTGAGTTCGGGCAATTGTTTTCTCAATTTCGGACCGGGGGAGCATGCCAAAGCCCGTGTCCATTTCACAATATGAGCCAATCGTACTGTTTAGAATGTCATGTTGGGCCATTCGGACAGCTGCTCAAGGTGGCGGGCATCTGACTACGCTGTCTTTACGCAAGTGTTCTTGGGATATTGCATCGTAATTAACTAAGGGGTATCTGCAGCGTCTGCCAGTAAAACAGCATAGGGGTATACGCATTCAAAGAGCCGTCCAGGTCATTAAGTGGAGAAGCTCGAGGTATGCCGATGTCCATGGCAGTCTCAACTAATCCTTCCGTCGTATCACGCATCGGGATCGCTGTCTCCGTCAATCATTGAGTGGCCAAAGCCCTCCTTCATATCCACCATGGCGTCTCTTGCCAGGCAGACCACTATTGCGATGGTGATGGCGTTCCATACGGCCTGGTAGCGCTTACTGAAGCCAACTTCGACCTGATAGCTGACGTAGGCCTCGTCCCCTTCCTTTGCTGAGTCGATGGTCAGCACCATGACGGAGGTATTGACGATGAACAGTCCATACAAGACTGGTGGGCGACGGGTGTATAGTTTGTCACATTCACCGGTCGACCCCTCAGCCGGGCTGTCGAGTTCCGCGCTTGGAAGTTTGTGGTCACGAGCAACGTTGTTGACCCCGTTGGGCAGTAGAGTAGATGGAGGTTCCGTGTGCGGCTTCTGCGGGGATGGCGTCGGGTACTTGTCGGGCACGAGGACAACTCTATTGTCTTCGGGCTCGGTGTCCTCATCGTCTTCTATTTTGAGCTCGCGTTCGTCCATGTCTTTGTGATTGCCAGCGGATTCCATCTCGTCGCTCCTCCAATGTGCGCGGTGGGTGGCTGCGGCAGCTTTGAGGCGGAGCTGCATGTGTTCTTCAATAGCCTGAGGCGTCATTTTTGTGTCCACCATATCAATTATCAGGTTCGGCAAGTAGTCAAGGTGACCGTACTCTCCATCCTGTTCAGCCCATTTCGTGTACTCTTGGAGTTCCCGCTCGATAAGCATTCTTGCTCTGTATCTTTGGCGCGTCTGACAGAGCCCTCGTACATGCCCAGTGAGCTCGATTAGGCGGGCAAGCGCTCTGGTTGCTACTGTAAGTTAGCAACTCCCGATTTCTCAGACTCCATTGATCGAAGCTCACCCTTGAAATCATTGCCTGATCGTGAGTTGATGACGGGCGGGTGGGCATCAGAGCTCGCAAAGAGAATATCTGGGATGGGAATGCCTCGGAAGTCCATGTCCCAATGAGACGGCAACAGAGGACAGTACTGTCTCATGTACAAAATCCTGAAGAGCCTGTGTTCATCTTCTGCCCAGTTGTCGCTGCCAGGGAAAAGCTTTCTTTCCTCATCCATCTCATCCAGCTGCCGACGCTCCTCTTCCTTCTCCTTCTCGCTCAAGACATCTTCTTTTCTTCTGGCGACTTTGCGCGGCGTCTTCTTGACGCGGCCAGACAGAATCCTGTCGGATGCTGGCGTGCCCGCTCTGCCGGCGCTCGCACTTGTTGGCGGAGTATCGGTGAGAGGGGTGTCAGTGAGGCGGCTGTGGCCGAGCGGCCTGTTGGTCGGCGGAGTGTGCGCCGATGAGCGACTCCCCACGGATCCCGACGAGTGTCGATTCATCTCAAAGTTTGCTTGGTGATGGCGTTGACCGGGTGACTTCAAGCGCAAGGTCGAATGAGATTCCGAGGTGTCGGGGTTCAGGAACTGCTGGCGCTGCGGGAGGGTCACGCTTTTGTCATCTCACCAAGGTGTTGGGCGATGATAGCAGCCGCAAAGGTGCATTTCTTTGTCGAGTCGAACCTCGTGGCTTCTTCATCTGAAGACTTCTATTTTTGACTATGTGCCAGTGACTTCGCACAGAGGCAGGGAGCAAGGAGTTAGCCAGTGCCTCAGGTGGTTCCGGTCGAGAGAATGACGGAAGGCACCAGGGGCTTTATGGCATTGTCTGCGGCGGTCGCGGCGACGGATGCGGCGGTCGGACAAGAAAGCCGTTGAAGTCCTTTTTCAACTCGCCACGCGGTGAGACACAATGGCGATGAGACAAAAAAAAAAAAAAACGCGCCTGCAGGCGATTACTACGGGCAGGCAGGTAGGCAGGCAAGGCCAGAACGGCGGTTAGGTACCTACCTACCTAATTGGTGTGATGAGCGAAAGAGATGGTCCGTGCGTTCATATCTCGTAGGTAGCCCCCGCCTGCCTCGTCTGAATTGTTCTGTCCCTCCTTTGACTGTTAACTTTATTGCTTAGACATTCGACAGACAGAAACACAACCAATACAAACGATACAATAGGACAAACATGTATGGGAGCAGGGGGGGAAAGCCAACTAAATTGGGCCTTGATCCCTGGTTTCCTATCAACATGCAATCTCTCGCCTCTACGATGTAATCCACGTGACCTAGATAGAGCTGATCTCCCGGCAGATGGCCGGCCCAACTTTTAGCGAAATAGAATTATGGGGCCTTTCGCAAAGATGACATATTTTCCAGGCGGGAAAGATCAATCAAGGCGGGAAGGAACCCCTGCACTAGTGACTTTTCTTGCTTTCCTAGCGTGCCTGACAACGTGCTGGCTCTCAGTGGAGAGGCTCTGGTGTGCATGACGGGGGCAATTTTTCAGGTCGCGACAACGCGATCAATGCTACCACCGCGGACCTCGTCTCACCTGGAGCCTTCTAACTACACAAACTTGCCCACATTTACGTTTTTCCAAAGCGCGCACATCATCCCATTAATACATATCTTAATCTTCTGCACACCTTCTTTCAACCGACACCGTCACTTTTAGACGACTAGCTATGCGCCAGCCTTTGCGCCGAGCCAGCAATTATTCACGATGAAGGATTGGAGCAAACAAACCGTCGTCCAACTCAAGGCGGAGTTGAAGCGCAGAGGACTTGCAGTCGCTGGCCTCAAGCAGGAACTTGTCGATCGCCTTGCAGAAAACGATAACGAGGCTGCTGCGCAAAACACAGAGGCATCTACAGCAGAGCCTGAGCTGGCAGCGAGCCCCAAGCCCGAGACTGAGGAGGCTACCGCGGCCGAAACTATTCCCATCGACATCACCCCGAGCAATCCCGTCGTCGCTGAAACCGAGACCACCGTTGTTGAAGCAGTCGAGAATGGCTCAGAAGCTAGCCACCCGCCATCGACTGTTGAGTTGGACAAGCAGGACACTACGACCGTTCCACAGTCGATCGCCGCGCTGGACCCCACACCTCCTGCCCCTGCCGAGATAGCGCAAGATGCGCAGAAACGGAAGCGACGATCAGAGAGCCCAGTCGAGTCGTCCGAGTCGGTTTCTCACAAACGTGTCAAGGCAGGCCAGGATCGCATCGACGCAGGCATGGAGAACGATGCCGAGGGTTCGGGGCAACCGGCCATCGCCGGGGTCATAAACCAGGTCAAGGAGGGCATCAAGGAGACGTTGAAGGAGGGCTTGGAAGGAGGCACGAGTCTCGTTGACGATATCGCGAAAGATGCGAGGGTCATTTCGGAGAACCTTGCCGAGTCTATGGAACAGGACCAGGCGCCGCCTGGTGCAAACGACGAGGACACGATGATGGCTACTTCTCATGACGCATTTCATGAGGAGGTCAACGAGGGCGATGCTTCGAATGCAGCAGCGCGCGAAGAGCCCATGAATGTCGATTTTACGCCTGAGCCAGCCCACCAGAACACAAACCATCAAGACGAGCACGGCGCCATGGATGATGAGAGAACTGTCGAAGCAGCCAGGCATCATGCCACTGAGTCCCTCTACATTAGGAACCTTATGAGGCCCCTTAAGGAAGACACGGTTCGCGCACATCTCGTCGAGCTGGCAGCCCCTGCTGATGCTGAGCCAAACGATGACGACATCGACCTTTTCTACCTCGACCAAGTCAAGACCCACGCCTTTGCTGTCTTCAGTTCTGTCACCAAGGCTTCGCGCGTTCGCAACGCCCTGCATGGCCTCCGCTGGCCGGATGAAAGCAACCGCAAGGAGCTGTGGGTAGACTTCGTTCCGACAGACAAGGTCCAAGTATGGATTGACGAGGAGCAGGCTCAAAGCCGCGATAGAAGCATTCGCTTCGAGGTCCTCTACGATGAAGACGGCGTTGCTAGTCTGGTCTCGGGCTCTACAGCCCAGCCTGCACGACCAGCTCCAGAACCAACCAGGCTTGCGCCATCTGGTCCCGCGGTCAAAGATGTGAACGCCATTCCTATTGGCCCCCGTGGCGGTCTCGGAACACAAGGTGCGCCATCTGGACCCAGAGGGGATGCGCCACGTGGACCCGGTCCTAGACCCCCACGACAAATTCAGGGCTTCCCCGGAGGCGATATCCGAACTACTCGCGCCAGCCCCCCGATATCTTATCAGCCTGTTTCTGATGATCTGGGTGCTAGACGCATTAGGAATATGCGTTCTCACTACACTACTGAGATTGATCGCGATCTGGGTTCTGAGACCGAAATCAACCGATACACCTTCGAAAATGGCGACAAGTTTGTCGACCGCGGTAAAGAAAACTTTGTGGGCATTCGCCCTCCACACCGAGAAGCTGAGCGGCATCGACAGGGAGCTGGCGGAGCACCGCCGTACAGAGGTCCTCCACCGCGCGGCGGTAGACGCGGTGGCAATGGCCGCCGTGGAAACCGCATGGTCAGTGACCGGTACCTGCCTGGTATCAATGAAGGTGGCCCGTACAGACAGGGCGACCGCGGAAACTTTGGTTCTCGTCACGATGGTGGACGCCGTTTCCGCCCGGATGACCGCGACAGTCGGTTTTAGGCACGCACTGCGCGCACAAAATCATTGGCCACAATCGCGTGTATCAACTGCAACAATCTGGACGTTGCGCGTATCCCCTGTACCCTGGAACTTCTGGCGACTGTCTCGAGCCCCAACACCAGAATACTTTGGGCAAAGGAGGAATGCAGCAGCCTCTCGCGGATCCTTGACAGGTTTGAACCAAACGGCCGGGTTGTCCCATTGCACATCTCGATGGGAGGCGAGTGGGTGGAAGTTTTGGCTGTGTTGAGACCACATAACGTCAACACCTGGCCCAGGTGCAAAGTCGAAGTGAAGGACTGGCTTTCTTACAATAGTTGCGTTCACGTAGGAAAACTGGAGGCACCACAACAGAGAGGGGGATGGGAGGGAAGAGAATACTGCATCACTGATAATTGCTCCTGGTTTGGAGCACGGAGGGAGCCTGTCACGAGGGGTGTGGATAAGGAGGACCCGGCTCTTGCACGTGCCATTTTTCTTGCGACGGCGGAAGCAAGACGCTGGTTTAGACTGCATCTTTGCCCCTTGGCTTTGGGGTTCCATAGAGAGACGTGCCGTCCACGTCCCGATACCACACATAAATCACAGCCTGCGAGACGGGCAGGCATTTCGAGAAAGCTCCGTTCCTCGTCGGAGAGTAGCTGCCTGACTGCAAAGGCGTTTCCTAACTTCCGACACGTTTTGCACGTTCTTCTCTTTTGGAGAGTGATTCGCGCGAGGCCAACCACTTCCCCGTATCGTGAAATCCAGCCGCCCCGGATCGCGCATCTCCACTACCGCGAGGTAGCAGTGTCGACCGTCAGCCTGCTTGACGGCATTGTCAAGTGTTGGGCGATAATTCAGACGAGAATCAAGATCGGACTAAACCCGAAAATGCCGTCCAACGATGCCGCCGTGGGAGGAGAACACATGCAAACAATAACAAGGGAAGGTACAGGGGATGTATCATATTACTAGGTAGCGTCAATACTGCTGATAGCCCAACCGAGAATAGTTCGAGACTCTCCCACGCTTGCCTCTAATGATGTCGTCATCTCCCCTCTTGGAGATACTCTGCATCTAGAAAATCCTCTGCATCTTGGACATCCTCTGCATCCTGGAAAGACAATGCATCTTGAAAAGGCAGCTCATCTTGCGGAGTTGCTATTGCTTGTGTCTGCTGTGTCCCTAGTTCAGACTGTTCTTGTACTGAAGACTCTGGGATAATGTCGTTATGGCTTTCCTGAAAAGGTATGTATCCTGAGTTATCATCAAAAGGAAACTCCGGTTGTAGTGAACACTGCAAAGGCTGTACATCCTGGAAAGACAATGCATCTTGAAAAGGCAGCTCATCTTGCGGAGGTGCTATTGCCTGTCTCTGATGTGTTCCTAGATCAGCCTGCCCTTGCACAGGAGACTCCTGAATAGAGTTGCTGTAGCTTTCCTGGACAGGTAGATATCCTGAGTTGTCATCAAAAGGAAACGCCAATTGCAGTGAATCTTGCAAAGGCTGTACATCTTGGAAAGGCCCTGCATCTTGCGAAGGCACTATGGCCTGTCTTTGCCGTGTCTCTAGGTCGGCTTGTCCTTGTAAAGAATACTCCAGAATGAAGTCGCTGTGGCTTTCCTGAACAGGTAGATGTCCCCAGTCATCATTGAAAGTAAACTGAGGGGGGTCGTGATACGATGTCAATAACGTCTGCTGAGGTGTAACCAGCGTGACAGGAAAGTATTGGGAAGTCGCCTGTCTGGAAGCTTGGGATTGTTGTTCTGACGTATTTCCAGTCGACAACTGAGGTTGCCCGCCTGGAGTTTGAACATGGGGACTCTGGCCATTCTGCGTTCTGGGTTCAAAATATAGTCGCCTGAGTTCCCTGAGAGCGTGGCGGTCCATAATAGCGGTAGCATCACCAATGTCGATTGAAGGCGGCTCTAGGCCCTCCATGCTGAAACCACGCTCAGCCTGTGCATCCATCCATGCCTGTTCTTCCTCTGACCAATGGGGTTCTTGCTCCCACTCTTCCACTGCCTCTGCCTAGGGGTCAGACGAGTTGTCGTTCGGATCAGCCATGGCGACGATGGTGGAAGACGAGAGTGGCTGATGCGTCGATATCAAGTAAGGGAGGATCGATATTAAGAGTGGGGGACAGGCAAGAAAAAAAAAGGATAAGTACGCCAGTATACTTTTTTGAATCTGTTAACTGTGATTGCATGATGGAGGATGGATGTGGTGGGTTACCGTGCATACATTGGCGGAAGCCCTCCATGATATGACTTTCCTGCCGCCCAATCGAGGCCAGTTTGTCACTGCTATTGGCAGTTGCCTTTCACACCTCTGCAAAAGATACGGGGAAGGGGCGGAGAGCCCCCAATGGTGAATGCTGAAATTCAATTTTGGGGAAGTAGCTTTTTGTATGGTGCTATTGAACTGTAATATAAAAAAAAGGTGCGAGGGGAAGAGAGAACCGTCGTCTGCCTGACGTTCATACCCCAAAGACCCTGATGCCAAACCGCGACACTCCTCAACTATGAAACCCGGAAACCCCAATTTGCAACAAAAGCAATCCTTTTCCTAGACTACAACACTAGACACACTCAGGCGGCCGCGGCGAGGGTGGTGGGCTCGACGCCGACACGCTCCCTGCCGAGAATGTCGAGCATGAGCTGGGTAGGGCGGTTGTCCTTGAAGATCTTCTCGCTGTCCTTGAAAAGCTGGACGTTCTCGAGGTACTTGTCGAAGAGGTATGAGCTGTCCATCGGGCCGCCCTTGGCCTCGGGGTGGAACTGGGTAGAGAAAATGGGACGGGTCTTGTGCATCATGCCCTCGTTGGAGCCGTCATTAAGGTTGACAAAGTACTCCTTGAACTCGCTCGGGAGGGTCGACGAGTCAACGGCGTAGCCGTGGTTCTGGCTGGTGATATGGCACTGGCCGGTGGTCAAGTCGAGGGCGGGAATGTTGTGGGCGCGGTTGCCGTACTTGAGCTTGATGGTGCGGGCACCGACAGCCAGGGCGAGAAGCTGGTGGCCGAGGCAGATTCCCATGATGGGGACGGGGGAGGATTCCATGAGGCGAGCGAGGTTGTAGATGGTCTCCTGGCAATGGGTCGGGTCACCGGGGCCGTTGGAGATGAAGACACCATCAAAGTTGTTGGCAACCTTGTGGATGGGGTAGTTGTAGGGGAAGACGGTGACGGAGGCGCCACGGCTGACGAGGCTGCGGAGGATGTTCTCCTTGACACCGCAGTCGATCAGGGCAACGTGGAAGCGGGCGCCGGGGGACTCGACCACGAAGGGAGCCTTTGTGCTGACGCGCTTGACCAGGTTGATGGCGCCGGGGTCGATGAAGCTCTCGTCCTCATCGGCGTCGTACTCGTCGCCAATGGAGATCCTAGCGAGGGAAGAACCCTGCTCACGGAGGTAGGTAACGATCTCACGAGTGTCGACGCCCGAGATGGCGGGCACACCCTCACGGGCGCACCAATTGCCCAGGCTCTCAACAGCGGTCCAGTGGCTGTACTGCTCTGCGACGTCGGCGACGACAACACCGGCACACTGGATGTGAGGGGACTCGAAGTACTTGAGGAGATTCCACTGGTCCCTCTGGTTGGAGGGCACGCCGTAGTTGCCAATCAGGGGTTGGGTGAAGACCAGAATCTGGCCACGGTACGAGGGGTCGGTCATGGACTCGGGGTATCCCACGAGGGAGGTGGTGAAGACGGCCTCGCCAGAGATGTTTGAGTTGGCTCCGAAAGCACGGCCGGAGAAGACAGGGCCATCCTGCGAGTCACCATGTTAGAGCCTTCGTCTACAGCAAGGGGAACGCATCTCGGCAGTGACATACTCGGATAGTGAGGGTGGCGTCGAGGTTGCTGACGGGGCTGGTGGCGCGGGTCTGGGTAACGGGCATCTTGCGGCCCTTGCTGCCAGCGGCCTGGCCGGAGAGGAATCGGGTCTGAACTCGGAGACCGGAGCTCAAGCCGGCGGCACCCTTGGCCGCGGGCTTGGAGATGGCAGCCAATCGGGTGAACATGTTGGCTGTTATTTTGGGGAAGTGACTAGGCAGAGTTGGTTGCAGGTTAATTGGATAGACACTTTATGGGCTGGCAGCCTTCCACAAGTGGTCTGTTGGGGGCATGGTCAGTCTAGGTGTTCTCCGTGGAGGGGCGGTGAGTCAACCGAGAGCATTGTGCTAACTAACCTGAGAGATAATCCTAATGATAACGAGTCAGTGACCGAGATTTTTCAAATTTGAATAGGAGTACAATAAGCAATGCGGCGATGTACAAGCAAGGCCCGGCAGCCTCAATTGGGCTATGGGCACCAGCATGAGACAGTTTGACAGCGGGGTTGGGGAAGATATCACGAAGGCCGTGAGCCCAGGACCTACCCCAACAGCAATCGGGCAAAGAGACAGAAGAAATAAAAAATAAAAAATAGCAGTAGCTCAACGTACCTGAGAGGTGAAGACTGAAGGACGCCCGTTCATAAGGGCAGCTTGCAAAGGGTCAATCAGTAGAAAAGAGTAGTAAAGTTTGCTCGGAAACGAGTCGTTGGTAGAATTGGATGGATGATGGTCAGAGATATTCTGTGAGAGATTTGGTTGGTGTGGCAGGATTTTCTGTTCGAGAGGAGAGGGTAAAAAAAAGAAAAGGAAGGCGCAAAAGTAGGTGGGCGGAAGCTCGGGTAGAAAAATAAAGGAGCACGGGCACCGGGACACAGAGTCATACGCAGCAAACGGGGGAGGGAGATACAGGTGTCGCCGTCCCAAGTGTCAATGTGCTGGCCAGGTCATAGCCAGCAGTATTGCTGGGGATAGGCAAGCAAAAAATTTTGAGCAGCTTATCACTGGGCCCTTTGGGGCAAGATCGGTGCCGATACGTCTCTGCTACGCGGGGCTCCATTCGAACGGGGGGGCCGTCTTGACGGCCGCTACAGGGAAACCCTCGCCGTCAAAAATGGTTGCTGGTGGGCGGTGGCTGCTGAACTGAAACTTGAACTTGTCGAACCCCCCGATGTCGTCCCTTATCGCGGGGCATTACATAATTTGCCCAGCTACTTACTCTGTTACGTCGCTGGAATTAGCCCTTACGTCGTCTCCCCAGTCCTTATCAGCCCTGTCTACACCGAACATTACATCACCGGCACTCTCGCCATGCCATTGAGTCGGCAGTTGGCATTGCGAAGACACCCTGAGCCCTAGGGCCGGCTCTGCCGCTACCAGACACGCCACAAAACCTCTTTTCGTAATCACCAAAAAAGCTTTCATCACTAGGTTTGCTACAGTAGAAAATTGACGCAATGTTAGAGTTGGGCGGCAAATATCTGTCCTTCTCCGCCCCTCCAACATCCGCCGTGCTCGGAGTTCCTCCCCACCCGTGCACTTGACCTGGTCGCAATGCATAGCGCTGGGGCCTCCCAGCATAATCGCATAAGTGCATGACCGGACCTGCCCCCCTTACCCCACCTGCCAACCCAAAAACGGAAGGGCGGCGTTGGAGACCTTTTCAACTCTTGCTTTCACCGACTTGAGTCGGTGTCCCTGTTATCAGTCTTTGAAAGGAGGCAAGCGTGTCGAACCCATGCTGCACCATCCCCTCGGAAACCCCGGGCCTGGCCCAGGACCAGGCGGTCTGCCTTGTTCCTCCAATGATTTTACAGGTAGGTATGCTGGCAAGCTTTGATCATCCAGTGCGAGCACGACTGGCAGCAGCGTCCCCACCACCATATCTTGTTCTTGCGAGTTCCGACTTTGGGGGGGGGGGGGGAGAAGAAGACGAGGGGGAGGAACCATTGCCTGAGGTACGATCTTGACTACAGGTCTCGGCCACCAGATATTTTCACATGCATTTTCACCCCACGTATTGGCAGCTAACCGGCCGAGACGCTTGCTTGCATGCCAAGAATGCCGTTGCAAGGTCTGTGTTCAGCGGTGTCACTATCATCGCGCAGTCAAAAGGACACAACGTTTGATAGCTGAGGGGAGGCTAGTCAGCACCTACCCAGACGGAGCCGTGCTCGGTCCCAAAACCACAGAGCACTCAAACGAGATGCTCAGCTCGATATGGGGGCATTGTCGATGATATCAGGGCACTTTCAATATCAACCAAGCGATTCAATTGACATTCTACCCACGAGTCTATATGGGGCTGGCATCGCCTCGCTGATCTTTCAACGACCACCATCAATGTCTTGCTTTGCTCAAATCCATAACGCCTCATCTTGGCCTGAAGCTGCTCCTGAATCAATGTCAGAAGTCTGAGGAGAAACTGCTATCGCAGGGGACAATCGACGGCACGTACCTGTCCAGCACTTCAGTGAATGCGGGCCACCATTCCGCTTCATCTATATCGCCAATGCTAGTGGTTTCCTAGACCGCATGTTGCGAAATCTGTTGAGATGTCTGCGTTCTTTCAAAGTATATAGAGCCGGACCCTCCTGCCCGTCAACGCCGCTTCCTCGAGCATTGTCTGGTTCGCCCTCCCCAGCATCCGCCTCATCAAGAACACCGCCCCGATGCACATGCCCGAGAAGGCGATCATCAGGAAAAACGCGAGCAGGTACCTCGGGCTATCCTCGGGCCTGAAGAAGAACGGGCTCCAGATGTTGCCGAACTGCGCCAACAGGCAAACGATGGCCGTCGCCGCCGCCCTCTTCTCCGGCGTCTGGCCCAACACGCTCCCGGCCCAGCTGAAGATCAGCCCCGTCGACGCAAAGGCGCCAGGAAGATACAGGAAGCTGGCAAAATACCGCGCTGGGCGGTTCGTTGTTGCGGCGGTGATGATGAAGCCTACTACGGCGGCGCATACAGGGCCGATGATGTGCAGCCCGCGATCAGCCCGCCGGTCCGAGGAGACGGCGACGCAGAGGGCGACAGCCGCGGCGACAAGATACGGCGGGGCCGTGAGTAAGAGGGTGATTGTGTTGTTGCCGAGGAGGAAGCCTTTTACGATGGTGGGGAAGAAGCTATTGAGGCCGTGGGATGAGAGGTAGAAGGCTTGCATGCAGACCTGTCCGTGTTAGTCCGACCTCCCCCCGGGGGGAAGAAAGGTGTCGACGGGAACCGGCCAGAGAGGGGGCCAACTCACAAAAATCCATGTCCTTACGTCTTTCACCGCAAGGCTCAACCCCTTCCATACCGTTCCCTTCTCTTGCGGCACCGACACCCTATCGGCGTCCATCCGCTGCGCGGCGACCAGCAGCTCCTCGTCCGTCATGAGCCACGAGCACACGCCCGTGCTGGACCCGATGTAGTCCGGCAGGAACGCGAACGCCGTAAAGGCCGACGCGAAGCTCCCCGCACCTTCAATTATGAATAACCACTGCCAACCGGCCAGCCCGTGCGCGCCGTCAAGGTGCGCGAAGACGCCGGCCGCGATGAGGCCCGAGAAGGCTGTCGCGACGAGCATGCCCGAATAGAGGATCGCCGTGCGGAAGGCGATCTCCTTCTGGGTGTACCAACAGGAGAGGACGTAGAAGATCTGGCGGGATGCGTGTGGTGTCAGTTGCTGACGGTGGTGGGCGGGAGAAGAGGGCGTGCGTGACTTACACCAGGGAAGAAGGGGGCCTCGACGAGGCCGAGTACGATGCGGAGGGCGACGAGGCTGCGGAAGCTCTTCGCTGCCGCCGTCGCCGCCGACACACACGACCACGCGAGTACGCAGGATGGGATGTAGATGCTCGGCCGGGCGCGGGTGAGGAGCATATTGGACGGCAGCTGGGCGACCATATACCTATACCCGAAATCAGCAGCGGCTCATGGTCGAAACGAGAGGCGGGGCCCGGGGCCCGGGGCCAAGGGGGGGGCTTACCCAACGTTGAATATCGAGACCGCTATGTTGAACTGGTTCCCCACGAGACCCAGATCCTTTTCGAAACTGTCCAGCTTGGCCTGTCTGTTCATCCGTTCGCACGTCAGCCTCCAACGTCCTTCTGTGACCCCAAAGACAAAGACCGCTCCAAAGACGCCAAGGGTTCCACCATACGCAAGGTTGTTACGATCGAGGTAGTTGAACAGGTACAGCGTCCAGATGACCGGCATGAGTGTCATGTCCAGCTTCCTGACCAGCGACTTCTCGGCAGCCCGCCACTCGGGGCGGGCCATAGCCGCCTCGTCGGGCGTGCTGCGGTATGGTAACGACGGCGAGGGCAGCGATAGTTCGGTGGAAGCGTTGTCGATCGTTCTCAAGGAGACACCTTTGCCCGAAGGTGCGCCTCGGTCCATGGTGACAGAGTCTACTTGTTGGGTAGCATGCGAGAGAGGCGAGTTTCCTTGAAGAAACAAAGGGAGACCGAACACAGGATGGTGGTGTAATGTGGACTGAGGGGGTATCTTCTTCGCCAATGCGGTTCGCTCAACAGGAAGTCGAGGTCAGGTGAGGAGCACACACATACACACATACTCCTAGATATATGCTTTCGAACGAGGACAAGAAGGCCATGGTTCAGGCCAAGAATATATAACTCGTTAACCTTCCCCCCCCCCCCGACCAGCAAGCATGTGGGAAATGTCTAACAAACACAGCCGATGTCCCCCGCAAGCCGAAAAAGCATAAAGAAATCTCCGATAACGAGCTTCATGACTAGGGTGCCCGATGCAGCCCGGGCTTAATTTGTTGTCGGGTGCGTATGCTGGCGTGTTCTCGTCGTATCAAGCTGGTCGAGATACTTTCCATGTTCCTAGCCTCGAAAGTCAATACTGCCAATACCCGGCTCCGTGCGCTTTTAAACATCCGAACCAAACTCTAAAAAGGCCACGGCCATTCTGCGGTAGGCATGAATACAGCATGAGGGCGTGCGACGAGGAGGGGAGCAAAATCATCTTTGTCAAGGCAAGTGATGGCCGCGAGCTTCTGTACCTACGTGTTCTACGTGCCCCCATCACATCGGTCGGAACCGAAGCGAGGCAGGCCACCGTGGACAAGAGACATCTCTACAAGAGCGTTCTGAGGGGAGAACAACGAGAGAAGCCTTCCTTGTGATGATTGCCATAAGAAATGACCATCACCAAGTGTAAGTTATACTGCCGTGGCTGACCCCGAGTAGTTTAAAACATACCTCCGCTGGGCAGGCAGTACCGGCTGTGGCTCTAGCTCCCACCATGATCACGGCAGTTTTATACTCTATTACTTGGGCAAAGCCAGGATAGTACATTCTCGCCACTGAGAGTCGCAGCACTTAGTTGGATTGGCGGGGTATATCCTTTACTACCTACCTGCTAGGGGGCTTGTACTCGCCCCATGATACCATACCATATGGTAAGTGCATCATCGTGATATTTTCTCGAGCTGTGGTAGCCCATAATTCCGCATACTTATAGCGCCCCCGGGAGGAAAACAGCATTCCATTTACGCTAGGTAAGGTATCTAGTTAGTTGCTACCGAGGTACTTACCCAAGGCAGTCCCCCTCGAGGTCGCAGGTACACAATAAGACTCTGACACACTCAACACAATAGAAGAAGGTTTCTAGATAGAAACACAGTACTATAGAATCTCGTGACTAAACCCTCCTATCAACCAAGGCTACCAGAGACTTCAGAGATGACTCCCCTAGCTGGTATACCTAGCGGACTAAGCCCTGTTGCTGTGACTGTCTTGCTATCTGTTCTATATTTTAATACGTCGTAACGAAATATAGTACTCTAGGGTAACAAGTCACACACGTACCGCCCAGCTTTGAACCACCGATCTAGTGTAGCTGCTCACCACGTTGCGCATCCACTGACTGCATGTAAAGAGATCAATACTCCGTCATGGGCACATCAAAACAGCACAACCCCGTGCGATCTATGGCGTGCCTCGCCACTCTGCTTAACTAAGTGCGCTCCGTAATCCGTCTGGCCGGCTCTCCTCCACTTCACGGCCCCCGTCGGGAGTTGAGGAGTGGCCACTTGTGGAAATAGACTACCCCGACCCCTACCGCACCAAATTGCCGCGTCGATCCCGAAATGTCCGAACGGCGCGCTGGATGAAGACGCACTACCACGATACTACCGGTAGTGTAACGCAAAAGAGGACCACAATATAATCTGGAGACGGAAATACACGGTTATTGCGTCATGGAGGGCAGGTCATTGCCTCCCATATGAATAAAGTTACGGTCTTGGCGGTCATTCTTCCAAAAAAAAAAAAAGGGGACCAACTAGCTCCCGTCTGCACAGGAAACCAGCAGAACACATTCAGCCCCCCCTCAACTAACTCAGAAAGGGGTAAAAGAAGAGGCCGAAGAAGTGCTCGGGATACCCTTGATTCATCGGCCGAGGTATCTAGACGCCCCCCGTCGACTGAACAGTCTGACTCGAATCGTCCATTTCGAACACTGAGCATTGAACTCTAATACCGAAGGGAGCCAACGTCATGCCACCGAGTAATAACACCTCGGGCCCGGTCTCGGCCGCGACGAAGCTGAGGCAGCGCCTTAGCGAGACGGACGACCTGATCCTCCTGCCAGGCGTCTACGACGGCTTCAGCGCCAGGATCGCGCTCGAGGTCGGGTTCGACGGCCTCTACATGGTACGGTTTCACTCGTCCTTCGCCCATCACTCACCTCTCGGGCTTTGATCACCTCCCTCGTTTCGCTTACTCACCTTCAACGGAACTAACACAAACACGCACGCCAAGACCGGTGCAAGAACCTCCGCCTCTAGACTCGGTCTCCCCGACCTCGGCTTCGCGACCCTGGACGACATGCGCTCCCACGCCGAGATGCTCGCCAACCTCGACCCTTCCGTCCCCCTGGTCGCTGACGCCGACACGGGCTACGGCGGTCCCAACATGGTCGCACGCACCGTGACGCAGTACGCCCGCAGCGGCGTCGCCGGCCTGCACATCGAGGACCAGATCCAGACGAAGCGCTGCGGCCACCTCACGGGCAAGCAGGTCGTCGACGTCGAGACCTTTATCGCGCGCATCCGCGCCGCGACGCTCGCCCGCCAGAGGATCGGCTCCGACATCGTCGTCATCGCGCGGACAGACGCCATCCAGACGCACGGCTTCGGCCAGGCCATGGCCAGGCTTAGGGCCGCCGTCGCCGCGGGCGCGGACGTCGCCTTCCTCGAGGGCGTGACGACCGCCGAGGAGGCCAAGGAGGCCTGCGGGGCGCTGAGGCCGACGCCCGTGTTGCTTAACATGGTCGAGCACGGCGCCACGCCGTCGTGGACTGCGGCTGAGGCCAAGGCGCTCGGGTACCGGATGATGATCGTACCCTTCGCGGCCATCGCGCCTGCGTACGAAGCCATTCGTGAGTCGCTGGTGAAGCTGAAGGAGACGGGCAAGGTAGGGACGCAATCGGACTTCTCGCCAAGAAAACTGCTCAGCATCGTCGGGTTGCAAGAGGCAATGGACTTTGATGCAGCTGCAGGCGGGTCCGCGTATAGCAAGGTGTGAGGCCGATGAGTCGGACCTCGCCTCCGGAGGCCCCGCATGTGGTAGAGACAATCGAGACAACAAATAATGAAAATGATGTCCAAGAAGAGTCCTGGCTCGAAGAACGGATCTGTGACGAGTTTCCTCACCAAGGGCGGAAAGAGAGTTGCAGATGGGCCAAACCTTCGTGGCAAACCTCCCATGAAATCGTACTGTCGTCTCTCCAACTCGCTTATTGAGTTCGGTTAGCGAACGTGCCCCCCAGGTTCCGGTGCGGTGGGTAGCATCCTTCTCGATGCCCCAAGATCAAAATCCGCTTTCCCATGTTTTGCTAGGTAGCGAATCATCGACTGGCTTTCGTCCAATGCTCTTCCGAACTGTTCCCATGCGCGTGCATCTCTTGAATTCGTCACGACCGCCATTTCGAGGCTCGGAAGTGAACTGGTGATAGATACCCGCTGCCCAACCGGTACGGGAAGGTCGGCCTAGATGCTAAGCATATTTGCCAGGCCCCCTCAAACGAAGAGGTTAGTCACAGATGGTCACCTTGCCTTTTCGTCTGAACCTCTAGCAGTCTGTCAGCACCCGTTCTAGGTCAACTTTAAGGTGGTAGAAGTTTACCAATCGGCGATATATCAAGTGGCAAAGTCAACGAGTACCCCTTCATGCAATAGGCCTAGACTTTGCTCAAGTAACGGACGGCGCATCTGGGAACAAGTCAGAAGCACCGTGGGCACAGCGATCAACGTCCCCCCTTGAACCGTCCATGGCAAGACGTCGCATATCCTCATAATCAGCGGAGCAGCGACGGAAGTGGACAACCCCGGGGTTTACTGTGTGACTGGTGAGCGGCGACCCAACTCTGCGACACGTTCCTGACAACCTCCTCTCTAACGACGTCTGGAAGGCCGAGAAGCCTGCATCTGAAACGGATCTATTGCCACGAAAGAGTCTTTTTCATACTGGTACAGGCCATTACACGCCCTTTACAAGGCACCAAGCTCCTTGAGCTTCGCGACGAGCCCGTTGACATCTTCAACCTTGCCGCCACCCTGCCGCACGGGAGGCTCTGTAGAAAATTATCAGCAAAACAGTTCATTGCCGGGCCGGGTTTTGCCAGCAACAATAACAACCACGCCCTTGGCAGGGAGGGCGATGCGGTATCGACCATGCGCGACTTACCCGTGACCTTGAGCACCTTCAACCGCTTCTCGACCCCGATGCCGTAGTCGGCCAGCTTCTTCTTCTCGAGGGGCTTCTTCTTGGCCTTCATGATATTCGGCAAGCTCGCGTACCGTGGCTCGTTGAGTCTCAGGTCAGTCGTGATGACCATCGGCAGCTTCCCCTTGACCGTCTCCACACCGCCGTCGACCTCGCGCGTGACGCTGACGGTGTCTCCCTCGCCGAACTTGACGACGCTCGCCGACGTCGCCTGCGACCAGCCCAGGAGGCCGGCCAGCATCTGGCCCGTCTGGTTCGCGTCATCGTCGATGCTCTGCTTGCCGAGGATGATGAGGTTGCTCTTGTGCTCCTCGGCAGCCTTGCGCAGCAGCTTCGCGACGCTCAGCGGCTCGAGGTCGTCGCCCTCCTTGGTCTCAACGTGGATCGCGCGGTCGGCGCCCATGGCCATGGCGGTCCGCAGCACGTCGACGGCCTTGGGGGGCCCCGCCGAGATGACGGTGATGTCCTCGACGCCGCCGGGCGCGCGCTTCTTCTCGCGGATGCGGACCGACTCCTCGACCGAGAGCTCGTCAAAAGGGTTCATCGAGTGCTTGACACCGGCCGTTTCGACGCCCGTCTGGGCCTTGTTGACGCGGGGCTTGACCTGTTGTTGGGTGTCGGCTTCCCGTCAGCCACGCCGATCACAAGCCAATGCAGCTCCAGGTGGTCGGGATTGTGTTGGGAGGACGTACCGCATAGTCAATGACCCGCTTCACGGGTACGAGAATTCTGAGGGCGGACATGGTGAGCTGTGCGCTGCTTCAATGGCCCGGTGTTTGATGTGCGGAGGGGTTTCTTTTTGGCAATTCGGGAATCTGGGAATTTGGAGGTCCTTCCACAAGACATCGGGTCCGTGTCGTCACTGGGGAAAATAGGACCGCCGTCCACTGTAGCGATACCGGCTAACCTCGGGTCACCGCCCCACCTTAAGCCCTTTTCGGTCACGCAGAAAGCAGGACGCCGACTTACGTGCACATATATCCCCCGCCGATGCTTTGGGATGCGTCCGTGTCCGAGGGTACTTCGGCTTTCACACTCCCGACGATATTTGTCGCAATGTTGCTTGAGATGGTGGCATGGTGACGTGGTGACATGACAGGCCCGCGCAGGATCAACGCAAGCCTTCATCGGTTGCAGTGCTAAGTGCAACCAGACAGCATCTCCTGTGATAAAACAAGTGAAATTGCGACCTCAAATTGATATTCTATGACATGCAGGCCTGCCAAAGCACGATGATCACTCACTCAACCCCGGCCTCCGTCCCCTTGTCACCGACAAACGCCCCCCTCTTACGCTTCACCAGTCATCCCAGCCATCGTTATCCTTCTTCGCCGCAGGCGCCGCAGGCGCCGCAGCACTGCCCGTCTTGCCACCCTTGCCCATAGCAGCGGTTCCGATCGAGCTGCTGCTGTTTCCCTGCCTCTGGTCCGCAAGGCTACTAAAGCTATCCCAAAAGTCCTTCTTGCTCTCGTCCAGCGGCGCCTGCCTGTATGCGCCGCGCTGACTGCTGTCGCCGCCGTTGCTGGGCCCGCCTTCGACAAACCGGTTGAAGCCGTCCTGGGCGTTACGAGCGCCTTGCTGGGCGACGCGCTGCGCCTGCTTTGCAAAGTCGGACTCGGCCAGCTGTTCAAGGGGGCCGTCTGATTAGCCCAGAGTTTCTCGTCCGGGCTGGTGCGGGCGGAGATAGAATAGAAGGGTCACCCACCTGTTTCGCTGTGGGCTGGATGTAGCCATCGTTGACCGTCTTGGCCGTCTTGGATACCGTGCTTGTGAACCAGCCGAATCCCTTGGTCAGAGCGGCCACCGGGTCCTTTTGTAAATCGTCGACGGTCGGCATGCCGGTGTCCTTCTTCTCGGGCATGGGACTGCTACCGAAGCCCGCGTATTTGCCTCCCTGGCTAGGCGGCAGGTCGTCGGGTCGGGAGGCGTTTTCGGCGCCGAGCTTGGAGAAGTACTTGTCGTCCACCTTGACCTTGCCGCCGGGGCTGGCTGAGCGGCTATTCGTACTTCCCAGTGGCGTGCCCGTCCGGCTGACAGGCTTCGGTGCCGCTGCTGGCGCAGGCTTCTTCTCGCCCGGGACGTACTCCTTACCCTCGACCTTGGCCGAGAGCCTTTCTTTCCACTCCTCACCCACTTCGCCGCTGTATCGCTCCGCGATCGTCGCGTCGTCCCACGTGATTCCCCTCATCTTGGTGTCCTCGTGCTGCTCGAAAAAGTTTCGCCAGTTCTCGTTGCCGCCGAGGCGCATCCGTTCTATCTCGACCTGCTTGAATGCGTCCATCGAGATGCTACGTACGAATGAGATGTGCACGCCGAGACCGCGGTGGACGCCGGCGCATGACAGACAGATGAAGATGCCGAACTTTGGGGAAGCCCATTGCGGCGACGGGGCGTTGCAGTCGCAGCAGACGTTGTTCTTGGCCTCTTTCTGGATCGCGGCCAACTGGGAGGCGAAGGGGGTTTAGCGGAAGGCCATGCGGTCGCAATCAGCCATACGATGTCCGGAAGAACTCACCTTGGCGCGCGTCTCGGGATCAACCTCCCACATGGCCTTGGAAGCCATTGTGGGAAGTGTTCAGTCGTGGTAATGAGCGGGGGAAAAAACGAAGTGTCTAGCGGTAGAGTGTTGAATCGAAGTACGTTGGAGGATGTCGCAGCAAGAAACTGTAGAGGGGCTTTCCTGATGCCCGATAAGGGGTTTGCTGGCTCCGGACCAGGGTGTAGGAGTCTGGGTGTGCGTGTCTGGGCCTCCCACGCTTGCCCTGCTCCGGCTTTAGTGTATTTGATTTGCTTGGGTCGGCGAGGAGAACAGGACACGCAGGCTATAAAATTGCTTCCTATTCGTCACACATATATTTGTGCAGCTTAGTGAGGCATCTCTTTGAAAAGGAACCATGCATTCAAAAGTTCCAAAAATACAAGACAAGATACAGCACTAAGTTCGCCAGGTCTGGCCCAAAGACAGGGGGGATAGCAGCATTTCATGGGGTTCTGTTGGAGACTCGGGCACGACAACAAGGTTCCAGACTGCCTACTGGAACACTTGGCTTTGGTGCTGCAAGCCAATAATCTTTCTCCAACCATGCAAATGCACCACTGAAACGAACCACATGTTGACGCTATTCTGTAGTAAACAGTGATGACAGCCATACCCCATAGACCACGCCACCTACATTTCTGTCTTCATGGACCCCATCTATCATGCGTAGCGGAACGCCTTGTCCGACGATGAGATTGAGACATTCACACAAGCTCCGCAAACCGCAACTACATCACACAACGTCATGGCTGTTTATGAACACAACTGCGGACACGCTTTTTTTTCTTCTTGTTTTTGGTGATGCACCGCCTTTCATTCTTAACTGCAAAAAGCTACCCGATTTTATGCGTTTTTGCGCCGAACTTTTCCTCTTCCTTCCAAACCGCCTCCAGCTAAAGCTACTGTACAACCCAGCATTGGGTGACGGAGAAAATGGAGGTTAGGTAACAAATACAGAGAGGTGGCCGGTAAGATCATGTGTATTAGTTTAGGGATGAGGGCAGCCCTGAACATCTTGTTTGCCCTATCTACCGAGAACGAGTCTGGTCAGAAGGCAGACGTAGATGTAACTGGCCACCCGTCTTTCGGGGGGGCACTTCCAAAAAAAAAAAATTTGAAGTCGTAACGGGTACCGCATCATAAAGCTCGTAAAGGCAGCATCTCTGAACATTGGCTCAGAGACACACCGGGGCTGTAGGTTTGTCGCCTACATTTAGGCGGTGGTGGCAGGGGCAGCGTCCGCAGCAGCAGGAGCAGCCGCGGCCTCTGTGGCACCAGTGCCGTTGACCTTGCTCTCCTCCTTGGTCTCCTCAGTGGGAGCGTTGGCCTCCTCGTCGGTCTTGTCAGGGCTGTCAATAGCGACCTTGACAGCGATTTCGCGGCCCTCAATCTCCTTGCCGTTCATCTCGGAAACAGCCTTCTGCTGGAGCTCCTCGGAGGCAAGGGTGACGAAGCCGAAGCCACGGCCCTTGCGGGGCTCACCGCGGGCCTGAAGCTTCTTGATCATGAAGCGAGGGATGGGGCGCAGGGCGATCTTGGCGGAAGAAGGCTCGTAGGCAGCGAAGAGCTCCTTGAGCTATTGGGACGTGTCAGACAAGGGTTATGTACAAGGTGCAAGCGGGAAACTAACCTTCTCCTCGGTCAGGTCGTAAGGCAGGTTGGCGACCATGACCTTGGTCTTGGAGGCAATGCCGTCGGCAGGGGGGCCACGCTCGCGGCGCTCACGGGGAGCACGAGCCTGGCCAGGCTTCTCGCCATCGCTCTTGGCGTCCTTGTTGGTGGCATCAGTCAGAGGAAGGACCTCAGAGTTGGCAGGGGCGCCAGCAGGAACCTCGGCGGCGACAGCTTCAGCGGGGGCACCGTCCTCCTATATATAATGTCAGTAACCGTACGGCCGAAGCGGATATAGATGTGACTCACGCGGCCACCGCGGGCACCACGTCCACCGCGGCCACGGCCACGACCACGTCCACGGCCAGAGGCGCGGCGGCGGTTGCCCTCGCCAGCACCCTCGCCGTTGGCACCCTCGGTCTTCTCTCCAGCAGGCTCGGGCTTGCGGGCAAGCTGAACCGAGACCTTACGCTCGAGAATCTCCTTGCCGGAAAGTTCAGAGATGGCGCGCTCGGCCTCAGAAGGAGTGGAGAGGTCGACGAAGGCGTAGCCAACCGGGCGGTCGGTGCGAGGGTTCTTAGGAATGGAGACGGACTCGCTGTGGAAAAAGGCGGGTCAGTATGAGCTGGCGTGCGTGACGCAAGTGGGTGGGAATTTGCGGGGCTGACGAGGAGGAGAGGCCACGCTGCAACATGGTGACAGCCGAACGAGGCGGTCTAGGCAACGAGTCAAGACATCACGATGCCGACTCCAGCGCCGATGCGGCACAGCCCGAACGAGAAAGCGCAATCGAGCAAGGTGTGCATGGCAGTACATGTGGGGCAGGGCTCTCTGGGAAAGGTGCAGCAACCCCGGAGCGAGCTTTCGATAGAAGCTGCAGGGGCCAACGGTAGACGGACATGATGATGATAATAATGAGAGTCGCGCAACTTACACAAGGTAGCCCTTGAAGAATTCCTTCAACTCCCCCTCCGTTGTCGCGTAGGCCAGGTTGCCGATGTAGAGACGACGGCCCTCAGCGGCGCTGGCGAGGACGGCATCGTTGTTGGCGGCAGGCTTATCGGCGGCCTTGTCGGAGATAGTGGCATTGCTCAGAGCATTGGTAACGTCATTGACGGCCTCGGAAACCTTCTCGGCGACAGCAGACATTTTGGCGGTATTGGTCTGGTATAGAGAGATGAGAGCTTGGGTTGTTTAGGCTGCGTTCCGGTGGAAGTGCGTAATAACAGATGACGTGCGAACTTGGACCCGGTGACAGGAACAAAGATTCGGATTGATGAAGAACTGAAGTTCGGTGAAGTTGAACTCTGAAACAATGAGGGGGAATTTTCTCAGGGTAGCTTGGTGCCCTAGAAAGCTTGAAAAAAGTTGACAGACGACGTTGCGTTGCGCGGTGACACAGGATCTTGAAGTTGTGATGTGGAGGGAAAGGAGAAAGGAAAGGGATGGCTAGAGCCGCGCTGACCTCAAATACAAATATTTTTTTCCCTCTTGGTGAGCAGGGGGATCAACGGACGAGGGTAAGCGAGGCGCAAACCCACCGAACAGCAGGTGCGGCCCACGTTCTAGGGACCTTGGGATGGCAAGAGCGGGTTGCCGGCTGTTGTGGCGGTGCGGAAGGACGAGGGTGCGTGTGGGTACTTTCCTATCGTGTTTGCAGCAACAGCACAGGGGTTTGGGGTTTGGGTGGGCATATGGAAGGGGAAAGGCACGAATGGAAATGACGGCGAGGCCAGCGCAGACAGCTTTCTACGTCTGCTCGCCGGATGACGAAATGACAATGGTGTTCTGTCGTGATTACCATATAAGGTAACTAATCAACACAATGACAGCAGATAGGCTGGATGTGTCTTGCTACGATAGTATTTATTTCTTTTCTTCTTGTCTGTCAGCATCCGATATCATGTATCCCGTGCCTTTGCAAGAAATCATATGCACCCGATGGTCGGTGTCTGCTGCCTCCTGTCATCTGCCATCTAATACCTACTCACCCATACTGGTTGAGATCCATCCGGAAGGGGGAAGTGACAGCGACCACGGTACGTGTCCCGGGGAGGCAAGGGCGGCGGGATACCATCGAAAAAATAGACCCACCCGATAGTGTTAGACATGGCAGGTACATGCTCAGGCAAGCCACAGAGCACGGGCATCCGAAATAGGACACGCCATGCCCCTGCAAGTGAAGAGAATACGGTACATGTTTGTACCTACTTCGTCCAGTGATGAATGGCAGGAGCTCCTTCAATAGCTTCTTCTCACCCCCATGCCTTTCAGGGCCACATCAGCCACATCATCAACAACAGCACGCGGGTGTGCCTGACTGGTTTGACTTGCTGCGCTGCGCTGTGCTTTGCCGCAGCCCGCAAGAGAAGGAATCCGTATGATCTGCGTAGCGTACAGGTACTACTATGCGTGTAGGCGGCGACAACCGCACCAACCTATCAGTGGAATGGTATGACTCTTCCCCCGCAAATTGGTTGCGATGGGATCCCAGGCCAGCCATGCCTGATCTGGTGTCCACCCGCTGATGTGCGTGTTCGTGGAGCCCACCACCAACCAGAAAGGCGACGGACATCTCGGTAGCCACGGCATGCCCGCCTCCCCCTGAGGTGCGCAGAGCAGAGGCTTGCGGTGGCTGCGTACGTAGTACATGCATTTTGAAGGCAGGAGCTTTTAAAGTGCAGTTCTTACACCTTTAATGCCGACAAGCGTCTTCCAATGCGGCAGCGTACCCGATCTGGTCGGGTGTCTCCTGTCTCGACTCTTCGGCCGACAAGAGCCGCAACAATCACTGGTAAACCCCCTATGTCCCTTCATCTGTGGCAGCGCTGCTGCCCCATTCCGGAAGTCGGTTCGCCATTTGCCACCGGTCGGTTTTTGCGATTGACCGTTTTCCAATCTCTTTCATCCAGGGACCTGCTCCGGATCGCTCAAATATTGCACGAGATGAGCCGAGAGTAGTACTTCGTGTTTCCCCCTCCCTGCAGTCGTCAGTACCCCCAGTTCAACATCACGGCTGCTCGTCGTTACACTCTTGTCGGTGGTTACGAGAGACATGCGCCGGAGATTTAAATCCAAGGGTCCACCAAGGCCAACAGCCGCCGTCTACCGATTGAGTTTGGTCCTACCCTACATCGGTTGGGCCAAGTGCCAACGTAGTACTGGCTTCTGGAGTTGCTTGCTGACTCCTTGCAGTAGCTCGCCGACCAAGCCATCCGTTCTTCTGCAATAGCAACAGAGTCAATGGCTGAACCCGTCGACCGTCAAAGGGGTTCGGGCGGATGCCCATTCGGGCCCCGTCCTCCGTCCCCGGCTGACGCCGTCCTCCCGTATCTAAGGCATGGGACCGCGGAAGGCTGCTTTGGTGTCCGAAATTGGACGAGGACGATACAATTTCCCATGGCCCACTGGATTTCGCGGAGCGCATGAAGACTTTGGGAGGGTCCCCTGGCACTCCACGCTAAAGCTCCCAGGGTCCCAACGGCGGCGCCATACAGGGGATGGAGCATGGTGAGAAGCTTCCTTTCCCCTTCTCCCGGCTTCTAATCAATTACCCATCATCCATCGTCCTGTGCATGGTCTATTATCCGAAATTCTGGTCAAGACTCGCGTATTGTCTGGACGATTACACATGGCGATTGCTGATCCACCGGCAATCTCCCAATTCTGTGGCTTCGGCACAAAAGCCCGTTCTTCAGCAAAACTGCAGACGTCAACTATGCGATCATCGTATTCGCGAAAACCATTTCGCCTGTTGCCCACCTGGGCCTATTCGTACGCTTGCCCATGCATTTATCACCAGGAAGGAGGAAGGTTTGCAAGGTGAGGCAGCGTACCTGAGTCGCGAAGCTTTCCAAGCCTTCTGAGCTGTGCTGGCGCACTAAGGAACCTCGGTCTTCTCCACAGGATTTGCTGTAGAACGGGGCGCTCTCACTCGCCTTGCGTCGAGGTGACACCAGAACCGTCCTCCCGTATCCGCGGTGGTTCCAGCCCGGCCTAGCCTTTTGCCTCATTCACTTGCCATGCAAGCCCCGGCACGTCGCATCTTTCTGCGGCCCCATTCTCCCCATTAACGCCCTAACCCCAAGATGATTAGGTACGACGCTGACGGATTCCCGCTCGGCAGCTAGCCCCGCGTGCTTTCGATGCCATCCTACAGGTACTTGAAAGCCTGTGCCTGTGGCGCACATTGACATGACATCTGGAGTGATCCATGTCCGTCTGTGGCTGGGCGTCACACAGACACTTTGTACTATAATCCTCGGTGCCCGAATACCTAACAGGCTTTCCATGATGCCTCGAGATCCATTGCTTATTCCATGTCGTGAAAACTAATGTTTGGGCTTTCGTTGATCCTCTAACGCAATGTTTAGATCACACGTCAGACTAGTCGACAGCACGTGACCCTCTTGAGGGCATTTGTATCTCCGCCACATGGCACCCGCGGCTCCGATGCCGCACATAAAACCCTATTCCAAGAAGCTGCACCACCACGCTAACAGACCCCGGGACCGCACCTAATTAAGAGTCACTCCGCCGACAACACTCGAACTCGATCAATGTCGCCGTCAGCACTAGAGTCCAGCAGCTTATCAAATTGGCATTCCAGGAGTCCAATCTCGAGAGATATAACCCGCATTTAGGCAAAAGTCTGACTCGAAGAAGAAGAGGGAAAAGACCGGATAGAGACATGACAAACCCCAAGATCGGCCCCGAGCCGGCACGGGTAGCGGAATTGCCCGGCCGGTCCATGTTAATCCTCTACGGCTCGGAGACCGGCAACAGCCAAGACATCGCCGAGGAGATCGGTCGTGACGCCCAACGGCTGCACTTCGAGACCAGGGTCGACGAGATGAACGGCGCTCAGCTGGTGAGCTACCCTGACTCCTATTCCCTTGGTACCTTGACGTTACCGGACTGGCTTAGAGGAATTGCCGACTTCCAAGGCTCGGAATCGCACTGCCAGCCTGACATGCAACTGTCCGAGCAGAACATTGATTTGTTGCCTCCATAGAGCACACTCCTCCGATATACTCTCGTCGTCTTCGTCATATCGACGACGGGCCAGGGTGACATGCCCCGCAACTCCAGCGCCTTCTGGAGGAGTCTGTTGAGAAAGAAGCTGCCTCCAGGGTGTCTCGGTGCCGTCAGGTTCACGACCTTTGGGCTTGGCGACAGCATGTATATAAAGTAGGTCTCCACCGGATCCTACGCGGTTCTCTGTGTTCATAGAACGCGATGATTCTCTGAGCTTTTTAGGATCTGACGTTGGTCACAGGTTCAACTGGGCTGCCAGAAAGCTGCATAAGCGACTGGAGCAGCTAGGCGCTGGAGAGTTTTACCCCCGTGGTGAAGCCGATGAGCAAGACGCGGATGGGTGAGTTCGAGTTCTTTCGTCGCTGCCTGGCTGTTCATCTTTGTTTACCATGCCGAGTGGCAGCAGTATTGGCCGCAAGTGTTTATATTTCTTTGACCCTTCACATCCGTTTCACTTGCGAATAAATCACCGCAATGAGTCGCTGTTGCTGCTCTTCTTCCTCGACATGCATTATATTGGGGCACTGGCTATATGAAACATATCTTCCCAAGAATGCTACTGACCCGCCTTCAGCGTGGACGAAAGGTACATGCCATGGGCGGCAGACCTGCGCAAGAAACTGCTCGATCTATACCCCCTGCCTGAGGGGCTTGCCCCTATCCCAGATGACGCCCTGCTACCACCTAGGTACACCGTTGGGCTGGCATCAAATCCGGACACACGTCAAAGTCAAGGCCAGGAACAGAGTACTGGGAGCAACACGAACTGCCATGCCTTCGAAGCCGTAGCCCAGGAAGCTCAGTCAGACAACACCGATACCGATGCGACGGGCGCAGTCGAGGATCTGGTCCAGAGAACAACCTCCATCACAATGACTGAAGACCCTCCACCAACAAATGGAGCCGGAACCCCGTCCAAAGAACCGCGCGAAGTCGAGCAACCGCCACCGACCCTCCTCCCCATCCCCGGCGGCCTAGACGCCTCCCTCGAGCTAAACGAGCGGGTAACACCGGAAACCCACTTCCAGGACGTCCGCCTTGTCCGTCTCGCCCTCAACCCAACCTCCGGTGGACCGCCTACAATACAGCCCTTTGACAGCCTGACGATATACCCCAAAAACTTCCCCCAAGACGTCCAAAAGCTCATAGACCTCATGGGCTGGTCCACAATCGCAGATTCGCCCCTTTCCTTCGCCCCTACTCCTACTTCGTCTTCCGACCCCTCCTCGGGGCAAACATCCCTCCCTCGCGGCCTTCACATCGACACCCGCCGCCCGACGACCCTCCGCGACCTTCTCACGCATAACCTCGACATCACCTGCACCCCGCGCCGCAGCTTCCTCAAGGACATGTCCTACTTTTCCTCGGATGAGTACCACCGCCAACGTCTCCTCGAGTTCACCATGCGCGAGTACACGGACGAGTTCTTCGACTACACAACCCGGCCCCGCCGCACCATCCTCGAGGTCCTTGAGGAGTTCACTTCGGTTCACATACCGCTCGCCCGCGTCCTCGACATGTTCCCCGTCATGCGCGGCCGGGACTTTAGCATCGCTAGCGTGGGCGACCACCACCACGACACCTCCGGCCCTTTTTCATCCTCACCAAAACCAGCAGCGGCCTCGATAACGACCGTGACCCTCCTCGTGGCGCTCGTCAAGTACAAGACGATCCTCCGCAAGACCCGCCAGGGCCTCTGCTCGCGCTACCTCGAGTCCCTCACCCACCCCGGCACGCCCCTCCGTGTGGCCCTGAACCGCAGCTCTGCCTCTCTCCACGGGCCGGCCCACGCCCGCCGGCCCCTGTGCGCCGTCGCTACAGGCACTGGCGTCGCGCCCCTCCGCCTCTTCGTTGAGGAGCGCCTCTCTTACGCCTCATTGGGGGGTGTGCGCGTCGGCGACGCGGCCGTCTTCTTCGGGAACCGCAGCCGGGACGCGGATTTCCATTTCCGCGACGTGTGGGAGGACCTCAAGGCGCGATACGGCGCCGCCGCCGCCGAAACCCGGGACCCAGCGGGGCCGGGCGGCAGCTTCGACGTCCACACAGCCTTCTCCCGCGACCCGTCCGCCCCGCGGCAGTACGTCCAGGACGTGATCCGGCAGCACGCGCCAACGGTCCGCGCCATGGTCGCTGCGAACGCCATCTTCGTCGTCTGTGGCGGCAGCCTGAAGATGGCGCGTGCTGTCAAGGAGGCCGTCAGGGACTCCCTCCGGGGGGACGCCGAAAGGTACCCCGACGACGCCGCAGTGGACGCCGCGTTCGCGGGGCTGACGTGGTGGGAGGAGATATGGTGAGCAGGCCAGGGTAAGCGGTTGTGGAGGGAGAACTCCCCTAAGGCGCGCTGCTCTCTGGGCGTAGACCGGGACGCAGATGGAGATGAGATAGAAGCACCAAGCGGGCCGAGGTGGTGGCATCGACGGTACACTTCGCGGCGTCGGGGAAGCACCATATGATTAGAGGCCGTGGTCAGAAGGTGCCATCGGAAAGGATAGACTTTGATGGGGGGCGTCATCGTAGAACGACCTTATGGACAGCATGCCCAACGCCGGCCGCATCGAACAGGTTGATTGGCATCACATCACGGACGGAGCGGAATCATCGTTGTCTTTAACTGATTTTCGTCTCTTCTCTATATGAGGACTTGTTCTATAAGCCTCAAAGTCTTCAGTCTCATGAAATGTGGAAACATGTACATATATGCCTTCATAATCCCGGGGATGTCGTCCCGCCCACCACCTTTTCACGTCTCTCGGGATATTCCCAAATAAACAATAATCATCTTCAGAAAAGACGCTCGAGACTCTCTTGCATGTCGGGCCCTGCCGTTCCTGCGTCATGTTTTTCGTTACTCGGGACACAGTCCATCCTCTGACGAAACAAGCCAGCGCCCCATGAAAGGGGAGGGGAAAGTACAAAAGAAAAAGAAAGGAAGTGATCCGGTTCTCGACTTTGTATGATATGTGAACGCCCCGACATATTTCGCTCGCTGATATCTATGACCCACGTTTGAGGGGGTGTTCCCCTGTTTATCCCAAACTCCGTCGCTCTGAATATACGCGCCCGGGAAAGAGGAAAAGAGTGAATAAAAAAATAAAGATAATAAAAATGGAGGGAGAGAGAAGAAACCGAAGTGAAAATAGCGTGCCGTCCGCTCTTCTGCGAGGTCGAGTATTATAAGTGGTATCAATGAATGGCAAAAAATGGCCAAACGGAACGGTCAGCGCGTTCTCAATTCTCCCAGCTGTAACGTCGTTCCGCCGGCTGGGGAATGTGAATCAACTCGGTCCCGTCGAGGCGGTGCAGGCTTCGCGGTGAGCCCGATTCCAGGTCCTGGTTCCTGGCCTGCTCCCGGAGGCTCTCTTGCCTCGTAATCTCTTGTGCAATCAATTCCTCCTCGAACTCGGTCCAGTTGCTTCCCAAGGTGTCGGTCGAGGCGCGGTTCGCGGCGACGATCTCGGGAACAGCAACGTCGGGGATGACTGGGGGGGGCGCCGGTGGCGGGGGTCTCGGAGGCCTCGCCGGCGGCGCTGGTAGGGTGATGTTATCTGGCAAAGGGCCCAAGCAAATCACGTTTGTGAATTCCATCGGCGGCGCCCTGCGGTGAGTCGGAAGCGGCGATGTGGGTAGAACAGAGACCGGAATGGGCGGCGGAATGTTTGAGGAGTTTGCGGTACATGACGTGAAGACCTCACTCTCGGGAGAAACGGGATAGAACAAGGGGTTTCCGGCGTTGTTGTCCGTGAAAGCCGGTCCATGGAACGACTGGCCATCCATCCAGGGAGACAGGAGATCCGACGAGTGGTTCGTCCATTCCCCTGAGCGGAAGCTCAATGGTGACGGGAGTGACCCGCGAACCGATGTTGGGGATACAGACGGCAGCACCCAATACTCTTCGGGTCTGGAAGTTGTAATGGAACTCGTGTCCCGTAACAATTTCTCTGAGGGCGGGAAGGCTGCTGGGGTTTCGGGCGGGCTATATGCCGGCACGGGGCTTTGGAGACGAATTTCTACGGTTCTTGTTCCCGCGTCAAATGGGCCCATGCTATACCTGCCGCCCGCTTCGAAATCTGTTTGTGAAAGCGCCGACTTGCAGTCGTCGCCGCCCAGCTCGGCGGGGTTCGTGGAAACTGGCAGTTCGTATAGAGCGTGGTTGGCGTCAGCCCCCACCTCGGCAGGATGGGAAGAGCTGCCCATAACCTCATGCGCGGAGGCTCTTTTGGCCTTCTTCTTGCCAAGTATCTTGGTGAATACCATGGTCACCGGTCTCTTGGGTGGCTCCGGCATGATCGATGAGGCGCCATCCTTCGCATCCTCCAATGCTCTGATGTTTGCCCTCGACTTCTTCTTCTTGCGGCGATAGAGGCACCAGCAAGTAAGCATGATGACGCAGCCCGCGATCGCTCCCGCCGCAATACCACCCATCTGCGCCGTCGAGAGGCCCCGATGCAGGTTTACCGGAGACGATGGCGGAAAGGGGCTGTTGTTTGGTTGTGCCACGTTATGGAGCTGGACGGACTCTAGCGGCTCGTCCGGAAAGAGGGCCTGGTGGAGAGAGAAGACGCCAGTGTCGTACTTGGTGATGAGGTAGGCTTCCTGCAGGAACGATCTCCCAATAATGAAGGTGTCCGTCAGGCTGGATGCTCGTCGCAGAGGGAAGTAAGGAACGGCAGGGTCGCCGTATTGGATCGCGTCGCTCTGGAAGGGGTACCGCAGGGCCTGGGCGAAGGCGGCAGCAGTGATGGTGATGTTGACGACGCCGGGGACAGTGAGCGGGTGGCCGAAGTCGTCGTTGTTGTCTTGACTGGTGAAAGTGAAAGTGAATGAATAGGACGAAGCATGCTTGAAGTCGGTGTACTGGCCATCTGTGAGTGTGTACAGCTCGAGTGTGCTATTGTAAGTCAGGTTGAAAGCTTGGGCAAACTGGTCGCAAATAGCGTCCGGCAGCCAAAGATAGGGAGTCGAGCTGTCGATCATGGCGATAAAAGAAGTCGACATGTCAGACAGAATGCGAGTGCTAGTGTTCCAACCACCCGGCAGCACCTTATCCTGACCGGTTGTCACCTCGATGGCACGGACGAGGGCGTGAGGTAGTCCATCGTTGGGATCCAGGGAGAACTCGTTGTTGTGCTGTACGAATCGGCTCTCATCGTAGCCCCCTAGAGTCAGAGAACAGGGCGTACCAGAAACGCCCACTGCACGCTGTCAGGTCAGATATCGCATGGGTAGGGTTGTCACACTCACTGTAGTGGGCTCCAGCAGTGTAACCGTAGCTGTAGCTGGGGATGCGACCGTGTTGCTTGACGGCTTGAGAGAGGGGTGACTCGGCTACCTGGTTGCCAAAACTCCCTTTGGTGACGCCGAGGCCGAGAAAACCAAGGTAGTAGCTAGTGGCGTTGATTGACGCAGTGATGATGTTGTCCATGCTCAATACTTGATCGCCATCCAACAGAGTGGCTGAGAGGGTTTCCAGTCCATAATCCCCACTCGCACCGTTGTTGAGATAGTCGAAGCCAAGCTGCCATGTGCCCAGAGAACTCCAAGATTTGGAGTCGGCCACGTCGAAGACGCCACCTCTAGCACTATTGCAAAGGGTATCGTCTTGTTGTCGCATGTCAGCCAAGAGCGTGGTAGCGGCCGAGCGCATCGACATGCACATGGCACAGAGAGAGGGTGGAAGGAGGACTCACTTGCATCGCAGCCACCAGCTCCGATGACCCAGAATTCGGACAACGACGTGCTCGCGAGGACATTGACAGTCTGACCGGGGGTGCCAACCTGGAGCTCGATTGCCGACCAGTTTCCGTCGACACCGTACCTTGGAAGGGTTAAGAAGGAGAGGCGCACGCCGGGCTAGAGCGGGACATACCAGCCATTGGAAGGAGTGAGGGCGACGGCGGATTGACTCTCTGCGGCGACTCGGGCAACGAGTACCGATGTGATGAGAGTAGCGGAAAGCATGTTGTCGGTTTTGGGGCGGGATCCGGCTGGCGGTTCATTCGAGGTGCGCCTAGTCACCATGTCGTCTTTGCGATTTGCATTGGCGTCCCGGAGGAAGGCTGGGCGTGAGAGGGTGCTTCTCCATCAACAGGAGCTATTGTCAATACCGTCTAGACAATGCGCTTTGTGTACGGCGATGTAATATCCTGATTGCTCTACTGGTTTGCAGCGCAGTAGGAAAGATGGGTCGGATGAGTGTTGAAGCTGTGAGGGGGGCGGGAGGATCAAAATTGAAAGAAATGGAGGTGGGAGAAACGCGCAATTGAAGACTAACAGGAAACTGACTTCTGTCATTGAGTTGAGTGGACAGCAGCCTGGCCATGGCCACCCCGGCAAGGGCAAGCACGAGAGGCAACTCCGGCTCAGGGCTGTGCCGCTCTCAGCATGCCGAAGGAAGGGAAGTACAGGGTATGAGACAAGGACCAGGTCCCTCGTCCAGCACCGGTCTGGTGGTCCTCCCTTCTCTCCGTCCACTTCGTCCACTTCATCCACATCGTTCTCAGGAAAAGCTGGGGACCGGGGTGCAAGCCGGGGGCTCCCTGTCTTACCATCGACATAGGTGGTGCTTGTGCCCGCTTCGGGTCAAGTGCGGCGGCACCAGGTAGGTAATGCAGGTGTGCGCTGCCATTGAGAAGGTTGGTACCCGTACTCCATACAGCACATATATACTACGTGACTGGGTTTTGCACCGGGAAAATCACAGCGGTGAGATATTGCAGTGCTGGTCTAGAGGTCCGCTGGTAAGACTCGAGTTAGACGCGGTAGGCGAGGGAAGGGGGCAAGAAGCGGGATCTCGTTCAGAAACGTCCCAAGTATCCAGCAACTCGGCGACGTCGTGACGACCTGTTTGCGCGCCATCTTGGCGCATTTTTCATCTGTTTGCGATTGGAGCAGCTCTTGGCGGTATGAGAACCGACCGAGCCGGTGGGCTGTCGATGTGATGGCTTTGTTCTTTCTTGTTCTTGTCTTGGTAACCTCTTTTTGAGTTTGGGTCATTTCTGTAACGAAGCACTACCGACCTAGGTAGGCCGGGGCAGGCTAGGAAGTCAGCCGGCTCCCCCAAGACACCAACTATTGACTATTGTATCCGTAAGCTGCTTTGATATGGTTTTTCAACTGGAGAATTGGTAGGCAAGGTAGGAGAGTTTGTGATGCACAATGAATTGAAGCGGCAGGAACCCGCCTATAGCCGCCAGCTGAGCCGCGCTTGGCTTGTGGATCGGCCAGACCTTGTATGTCTAGGCTGAACGCCCCCCCTGGTGAGATGCGACGAAGCGTTGAGTCAGGATGAGGAACT